ACGTATTTTATTCTATTTTTATTTAATGAATAGAAAGAGTTTTTGAATAATAGAATAAAAGGAAAGCAAGGTTATTGCGTAATTTTTTTGGGTTTCGAAATATTTTGGAAAGATATATGATTTCATAATTTTTTTTGGGGAAGGGAAAGCTTGTCAGCACTTTTTGGAAGTGGAGTTTTGCTCAAAATTGATCTCAAAATCTGAAGTTTCTGAAACTTGACTTAATTTTTTGAATGTCTTTTAACTGATCTGAAAATCAAATCCATCAAAAACCGGGTTTATATTGTCATTCCGAAAAAAAGGAACCTTGGAAGAGAACCGAAATGGCCTAGGAAACCAACACTACAGTAGACTTCGCAAAATTGTGGAGTCAATTGCGAAATTTACACGCTGGCTATTTGCCAACCAGTTTGATGTGCATGTGTCACGTCATTTTTAGTCTACTGTACGTGAGCGCCAATTCAAACGAGGGTTCTTTTATTTTCGGATTGACAATAGATTTTCTGAAAATAAATTTGATTTAAAAATTTTGAATCTGTAATAATTTTTGGAAGAAGATACAAAATCTTGAAAGATAATGTTTTCTGAAGTTTGATTATCTTCATCTTTTCAAAAAACAACTTTTTTCTGCAAATGACACTTGCAAAACTCTATGAATGGCTCAAAAGTGTCAAAAACTTGTGTTCATCTACTAGATCTCATATTCTTCCCAATCCACAAAAAAAACTGACACGTTATCGGTCCACACCCAAAAAAGAGTACGCCGCTGACCTTTTCCATCTAACCTCTCTGGATTCTCCTTCTCCACAATTGTTTCTCTTATCTTTTTCTTAGCACCCTTCACCCTTTCTTATTCGTATTCTTGACAAGAATCATCCATATGCGCGCATAAATTCATATGTTTTTCGATACTTTATGTACGTTTTTGTTTCATTTTATTTGATTTGATTTGAATTCAAAATCCAAAATCCAAAATCATAATAACAATAAATCCTTCCAAATTTTATTTGTTTTTTTTTGTGTGTTATCAAGATCCCCCCATGTGCCAGGTCAACTAGATTTATATCTTTTTTCCCTGTGCGTTGACTGACAGAAATAAAATATATTTCAACTTTTCATTCGCTCCTGCGCCCTTTTTTTTTCGCGCCACAAATTAATTCGTGGCTCCTTTCTCTGCGTCTCTTCACTCTTCGCGTTGTTTGTGCTTCTGCTTGATGTGGTCAACATTATTATCATAATTAGCATAGTTTTGGCATACACATATTGGTTCAATTATTCAGTCGTTCAACTGTAAGAATTTTTTTTCTTTCTTTTTTTGACATATGTTTATTTTTGGTTTATATATGTAGGTCTAACATAAGTAGAAGCCTAGAAAATGTTAAGAAAATTTGTGAGCTTGAAGGTGGAGTCTGACATGAACATAGCTCCAAACTACTGTACATCTGGATTTTCAAGCCGCGGTGTTTCACTGTTTTTTCGAACTTTGATAATTTTAACTAATGTTTGAGAAGCTTCCAGAAAAAAATCCTTTGAGGATTCTACAAATTAGAACACGACCTTTTGGCCCAGAAATTTAACGTTTCGCTTAAAAATCTTTAAAGCCTAATTTTGTGACTAAATCTGTAGAGCCTAAACAACTCGAACTATGTAGAACGTTGAAATTCTGAATCTGAAGGGCCATAGATCTGAATCGGACCAGAATAATCTGATTTTCTAGAAGCAAACTATGAACTTTTGGCTAGATTTTTTAAAACCAAATTTTCAAAATCCCATTGGATATTTCTTCCCAATGATCTGATTTTGGAAAACTCTCTGATCAAATTTGAAATATTTTCGAATTTCTATCCAGATTTTCAAGCCCTCGCTCGTCCTCCCATTTATAAATTTACATTCGGTATTCCAAAAATAAATAATACAATATTTATATCATATAATAATTATTATACAAACAGTCATTCTATATTTCCATCTTCCCAAAACGGGGTGTCAATGGTTTTTTGACATCTGCTCAAATATGAGCTCTCTTCCCCCCTCCCATTTATCTGCTCTTTTTGTTTCTCCCCCCGTTTTCTGTTGTTCTTCTCCATGTCAACTCTTCTAAATTGACGCGACTAAAAGGAACATGGTCATTTTGTTGTTGTATGTGTGTGTGGTCGCTCTTTTTGTTCCTTTTCCAAATTGAAACGCGTTCGTTTTTGGTTTATGACTAGTATAATATCAGGGCTAGATTTTTGAAATCGATTTTGGTCAGAAAACATCTTTGGGTTCTCAAAAATTATCGATTTTTCTAGTGTTAAGCAAAAAAGGTTCCCTTCTTGGTCATACTTCATACTTTTTGGCGTCGTTCGCTTTTTTATGACAACACAATATCATTGCCCTTGTTATTATTTTCATTTTCATTCTATTTTTTCTGTATAGTATTTTTTTGGGGCGCCCTAACAATAATAGTGACGGGCCGCGTAACCGAACACAACTGCCCACAATACGTAATTCGATTTTCTGCCGAGTTGTGTGTTTCCCTCAACCACAAGTTGTTTTTTTTCGTTAAGCGAGAGTGTGATGTGAGAGCTGGAAATTTGGAATTCTGAAATTTATGCTCAAACTTTTTAGAACCAGAATCGACTTGAGCCAAGTTATGAAGCTTAGCTGTAAACCTTGGCTCAAGAAAGTTTTGAAAATCTTGTGCTTTTTTTTAAAGGGGATTCTTAATTTAGTTCCCAGAATTTTTGATTTTTGAAACCAGACATCTATCAAAAATAATTTTGAAAAATTTAAAAATGCAGTCTAATCTTCAGAGTACAAAAGTAGAGAAATAATTTTTATAATAAAAACAAAATTTTTTTAAAAAATATTTGATTTCTGGTGTTCAAAAAATTTTCAAAATTTCGAAGCTCCTTGAAATCGCTATCCAATTTTTTGCTTTTTATTGTTTCTCTAAAAAATTTCTCGATTTTTTAGAAATTCGAAAAATTTCCTGAACTAATTTCCAAAATTTTGAAACTCTTAAAAATTTCTATCAAAATGTTTTATTCTCTTCAAAAGTTCCAAAAACTTTCCTTGTTGTTGTTGTTTTTTTTCTCCCCAAAAATTATTCAAATTTTATTTGCAAAATGTGTTCCGACCCCCGCAATTTGATTTCTTCCGGTTCCTTGCTCTTTTCTTTTTCTCCGCCTTCCTATTTGTTACTTTATTTATTCCATTTCAATCTTTTTTCATTCAAATATTCTTTGCTTCTTGTTTGTAATATGATATCTTTGTTCGAGTTGCTTGAAAAGCTGTGAACTTTTGTTCCAGGCTCACGAAAGTTTTCAATTTTTCTTGTTAAATCGAAAATCTGTGAAACAATTTTGATATCAAATCTGAGCTTTTATGTTGTGAAATATTTTAAAATCTTTTTTCTCAACATGAATCATCTTTAATTCAAATCCATTGTCTTATCCATTCAAATCTGATCAAATCAAATCATTTTTCAAATCTATACATCTCACTTCCCACTTTCTTGCCTTTCTGCCTGCCTTCTTTCTTTCCCGCTTGCGTTTTCAAATTAATAACAATAATAGGGAAAAGAGGTCATCATCTGATACACATTTTCTTTTTTCTCCACTTTTTCCTGGACGCCATTTCTTCTCTTTTTTCTCTTATCTCAATTTTTTGCGTCTTTCAAAACTTTTTTTGATTTTTTTATTTTTTATTACGCTGACTGACTGGAGTAGAGTTTTTTTTTCGGAAAAAGAAACATGGGTGGAGCTTGCTATTTTCTCTAGGAAAAACAAAAAGAGAATCATTTTTTGGCGAGGAATTTTTTTGACTCATGAGTGAACAAAAGTTCTTATCAGCTGCTGGGAATGATGTTTGATAAGGCTCATTAAATTTTTTTTTTTGATTTTGAAACTAGAAATTTTCGAGACTTAAAAAACTGGGTGGTCCATAGAATATTAGAATTCTAAGGTTATTTTTTGATCTACAAGATTCTGAAAAAAAATTTGGGAGTCAGATAAGGTTTTTAGAGTTCGAGGAACTTCAGAAACTGAATTTTTGAATTATTTTTTTGGAAATTTTATCAGGCCCAATTAATTTAAAATTTCCTCGTGTTAATTTTTTTTGAAATTGAATTTCATGTCTACACTCTCTCCATTCAAAGTTATCTCTAATTTTCAGTGTTCAGATTTTCAAAATTTCCTAGCATATTTTATTGATAAATGTTAATTTGCAGAGGCTTAGAAAATTGAAAATTCAATTTTTCATTCAGATCTGAAATTCCATTTTCCCAAAAAAATCTGAAGTTTCAAATCAACTTAAAATATTAGAAAATTGAAATGCGGATTTGAAATTTAAAAATTCAACTTTCAAGTTTATCCCAAGGTCCTCAAATGTTCCCTTCACCTAGCTTTACACTTTTTCAATTCAATTTTAAAAAGAACTCACATCAATTCCAAATTCCAAACTCATCCAATTTCATCCTCATCTTTTTTTTCCTTTCTCGCTCGCTCGCCCGTGTTTTTTTTTTCATTCACTTGTCTTCTTGTCCATTCCATTTCATTTCATTTCAAATAGCCACAGCCCTCTTCTCCTCCCCCCAAAAATGAGTATATACAACAACGGCCTCTTTTACTCATTTTATTTCATCCCCCCTTCCCATCTCATTACTTACTAGCTACTACTTTTTCCCCTTCCCTTCTTCTTCTTCGCCTTTTTAACTGACCGACCTTTATCCCCCCCAAGAATTTTCCATTTTTTCCCACCGTTGATGTTGTAATTTTTGTCGCCGCGCGAACCTAAACTAAAATTTATTATTATGGTTTTTCTGATCATCTTTTTTTTGTTTTCGAGAAGTCAAAACCCTTTTTTTATAGGTGTGTATTGCATTCAACTAGCCTTGGTCATTTAACAAGAAAAAAACTTTATATTTGAGACCCCACACGACATGACAGTCAGTTGAACGACTGGCTGAGTAGGGATAGTGTGAACAAAACAATATATTTTTGTTTCGAATTCAAATTATGATCAATTATTATATGTCAACAAGGAGAAGAAGCTGCGCAAGGATATGTTGTTTAGCACTAATATTTTTGATAACAACTATTGTTGATGGGGCGAATCAGCCGAAATCTGGGGGGACATCAACGTTATCTACAACTACAACTACAAAAGGTGGTGTAACATCTGCCACATCAAAAACATCTTTAATATCGAATGTGAATGCTAATAAAACAGAGGTGAGGATTTTTTTTGAATATTTTTTTGATCTACAAAATCTTGAAGATTGTTGAGAGAGTGCTGACTTTTCTTTACTGAAAGGGAACTTTTTTTTTAAATTTTTCGAAAAAATTTAATTTCAAACTGTCCAATTTTTTCTTTCAAAAATCCTGATTTTCACCGTCTGCTCTAATATCATATAAAAATATTGATAATAAAGCGGAGGTGCGAATTTTTTTTCCCGAAATTCATTTTTTTTCCCGCAATCCGTAAAATCCTCTTGACGGAAAAATAATCTGATTTGCTACTTTTTTCCACACCTTTCTTCTTTCTCTTTGGAAAACAAATAGTTTTATATATATTGATATTATTTTATTCATCCAATTCCTACCCCCAATAATAAATGATATAGAACTAACTCAAATAAACAAATATATGAAGATTTTCCAATATTTACACAAGATTCATTAAGAAATGGGTGAAAATAAAAAATAAAAAATATTTATAGGAAGTGGAGGGAAGTGCCAGCGGACCACACGGAAGGTTAGCCGATGTTGAAACGAATGGCTCAGGTTATCCAACTGATGATGAAGATGGCGATGATTTCCATGGTTCAGGAACTCCACCGAAAGCCGTGGCCAAGCCGAAATTTGTGCCGAAGCCAACAACAACACCTGCATCTTCGGTAAGATTTGATTTTTTTTTTTGAAAAACAGATTTTAATTCTCGGAATTATTTTCAGAACTTGTATCCAGTCCCAGTGCCAGCTGCGAAGCCAGATGAAGTTAAAATCGATGACGACGATGACGATGATGAAGATGAAGATGAAGATGACGAAGATGTTGACGACGACGATGATTTTGCCGATGAAAATATTAATGATGATGAGGATATCTTCACAACTAGCACTACAACTCAAATTCCACATATTGTTCATTCATTGTATGTTTTTTCGGGGATTCTGGGATTTGGGAAGGGGGGTAGATCAAAAATTCATCTGAATATTTCGAGCTCTTTGGATTTCTGAGCACATCAAAAATATGTTTCTACCTTTAGTTAAGCCCCTGGGACCAGAAAGTTAAAAATATGTTATTTGTAGTCACTTTTTCTCTTTTCAAATCTGGAATCTAAATCTGAATCTGAATCGGAATCTAGAGGTTTCGAGATTTTTTTCAAAATCTGGGAAACCTCCTTTATAGATTGAGAATAAGTTCATCGAATCCAAGATTTTCCTATTCCGAAACTTTTTGGTCGAACTTTATTCTTGATGTCCTTCTCGATTCCAATTAATTCAACACCTAGCCAATCTATCTAGCACCCCATAAAAAACCTCCCAACCATGCCCATTTCTAGATCATCATCATCAACGCCAAGGACAACAACAACAACCACAAGCAGCCCATCTTTGCCACCATCAAAGACTCATCCAACATCAACAATCTCGTCGTCTGGCCCATTCTCACCGTTCCATGAAACGATGACTAATGGATTCTATGCAGGTATGTGCTGTTGTTATTTATTCACATTTTATTACGATTGGCCAAGAGGCCCAAAGTGACCGCCATGAAAATGTGATGTGTAAAATTTTTATTATTTTTATTTCTTAATGGGTGGTCCAGGTGACAAATTGAACGCTAAATGATTAATTTTTGCTTTGCTATTCAAATTTCCTCATCTCATCTCATAAGAAAAGAATAAAAAAAACCAGAAAGCGGGAAAGTTTTTTGAGGTTTATACATAATTGTAGGGATTAAAATACAAGTGAATGTGAGCACTTTACAATGTTTAATTGTCCTTTGAAGTTTTGCCGCAACATTTATTGATTTTTTTTGGCTTGGCTTCGCTTAGAAACCAGAACCTTTGTGTAGTTCTCCTTTTTTTCTCTAAAACCAAACAATTTATCACATTGTTTGTACTACAAAGAATATCTTTTGTGGCCAGTTTGAAAAAAAATGAACAAAAGGTATACGCAATCAATCAATTTGCGATACAACATAAATGCTCATCAATGACAGATGCCACACACGCACAAGATGATTTTTTTGATGATGTTGTTGTGGGGTTTTTCTTGGAAATTTTCTGAAAATTTGGAAGATCTGGAAATTTTTGACGCTTGGAAAATGCAAAAAAAAGGTTCAGCTTGGAAGTTTGATAGGCTGAAACTCATCTGAGAGAAAATTCTAAGTCTGCAATTTTTTGAAACACAAAAACAAATTCAGAAAACTTTCAAATTTCGAAAAAAACAAATTTCGATTTCATTGTCAGTGAAATTTTTTAGCTTCATATTTCAGAAGTTTATTCATTTTTTTTTGAAACTATCCTATTTTTTGAAAACAATAAAAAATTAGCTTCATAAAATTTTTCCGAAAAATTTTTTTTGATTCTGAGCTCAACTTCAAGCAAGCTTTTAGCCTGAAAAAACTCTGTCATTTTCCATTGAAAATTTCCAGTTTCCTATCCAAAACTTCGGATATTTTTGTTGTTGTTCAAGAATAATATTTGAAAAGTGACCAATGATAATCCCCGGAGACCCAAAAATCGCGCGACAATGAAGAGAGTTGTCAGAAAAATGTTCGTTGGGGCGAACAATAGAGGGTGCATATTTGATTTTACGACACACACACACACATGTATTGAAAAGTGGGGGACACCCAAAAACATTTTGGCAGGAAACACACGCAAACATTTTTATTATTATTACTATTTCAATTCTTTTCATTTTTACCGAGAGGGAAATGAGAATGAAAATTTTTGAAAAATTGAGGGCCCAGGAAAAAGGGAACCTGGCACATAAATAATTATTTTATTTATAATCCATAAACCCAATTAGGCTCCAATTTCCGGGGTTGTCAAAAACAATTATAATTGGGATTGGAAGGATTTGGAAACCAAAGATTTCAAATGTTTTGGAGTTTAACTTAGCCTAAGTTTAAGCCTATTTTTAAGTTAAAGTTTTTCAAAAAATTTTAAATTTAGGTTATATTTTTACTTGTGGAATTATTTTGTGACTTTGAAAATAGGAGAAATCTGAACCGAGTTACAGGAACTCAAAAATTTTCAAATGAAAAATCACCTAGACTCTGGAGGAATCAAAATACAGTCACCTGAAGTTTTAAGACGAGTTATGGAAACTCGAAAATCTCACAATAAAAAACCTTGGAAAATTTCAATTATTATGTCAATATTTTTCCTGAATTTAATTTTCAAAAAACCTGGATTTCCCATCCTAAAAAAATCAATAACTTTTTCAATCAATATTTTTTTTCAGCAATCGCTGGAGGTGTTCTCGTCGCTGTCATCACTGCAATTCTACTGGTATTATTTGTTGTGTTCCGAATAAGGAAAAAAGATGAAGGATCATATGCGCTAGACGAGCCAAAACAGACGAGGCCCTACGCAACATATGCCTACACAAAAGCATCTACCAAAGAATTTTACGCGTAATCCCGATTCTTTTTCATATTTTTTTGTCATCTTTTTGTTTCTGAAACAGTTTTTCTCTCTTTCTCTTTCTCTTCATTCCAATCAATGCCATATATTTTTTTTAAAACTTGAATTTATATTTAAAAAAATTCAAAGAAAAAATATGAACTGACTCATGACATTTTGATCTTCCTTCGTTGTTTTTTATGGTGCCAAATTGTCTATCCTATGCAGCTAATTTATATCCATTTACCAATTTTTTTAAACAATTGAACGTGGTTTCTCCTGGTTGATATGGCACTTATTCTGATTTTGAAACTTGCCCTACAATCATCATTTTTCTTGTGTCTCTAATATATATAATATATTTATACCTCTTTGAATAATTGTTTTTCTAATTGTCCTAATACATTGGTCTTGCTCATATGTATTTTTTAATGGAATCAAACAAAAAATAATAAAAAATTTTATCAACATTTTGTGTTTTGGAATTTGATAATGTTTTCTGACAAGGAGTTGTGCCTTGAGGTTGACAGCTTGAAGGAGTCATGCCTTGAGGTGTTTTCTGACAAGGAGTTACGCCTTGAGGTGACAGCTTGAAGGAGTCATGCCTTGAGGTGTTTTATGAGAAGGAGCCGCGCCTTGAGGTTGACAGCTTGATGGAGTCACGCCTTGAGGTGTTTTATGACAAGAATTTCTGCCTTGAGGTTGACAGCTTGAAGGAGTCATTCCTTGAGGTGTTTGTTGACAAGGAGCCGCGCCTTGAGGTTGACAGCTTGAAGGAGTCATGCCTTGAGGTGTTTTATGAGAAGGAGCCGCGTCTTGAGGTGACAGCTTGAAGGAGTCATGCCTTGAGGTGTTTGTTGACAAGGAGCCGCGCCTTGAGGTCACTTTTGACAAGAAACCACGCCTTGAAGGTATGTCTAACAAGGAGTTACGCTCTGAAAACCTCTCTGACAAGCAGCCACGCGTTGAAGTCAGCTTTGACAAGAATACAAGCCTTGAGATCTTCTCTGGAACTATTTTTCAATACCATATTCTTTAAAAAAAGTTTTTGTAGCTACAATTTTTCAAAGTTGAATGACAAAATTTTTTCCCCAAAAAAACCTTCATATGTAAATTTTCCTCTCCGAATAAAAAATAAATAAAAAATAAAAACACACATGAAAAATAACTTTGAAACCTGACAAAAAAACAATCAAGCACATAATTTGAGAGTAACCATAGTGATAGCAATGTGAAAAAATGAGCTGGCTCTCATAATCAGCTCTTTTTTCATTTTTGGTTATTTTTTTCACGCGCGGCATGAACTTCGGATAGAGTTACACTATATTCTGCTCTGCTCATGAAGTTTTTGCTAATCGTAATTTTAATTATTTTCGAAGTTTCTGCGATTCTAATCAATCAGTGTTACACATCTGGCTCGAATTGTATCACTTTTCAAACTGCACAATTTCAATATTCGAATAGTGTTCAAATAAATTCGACAAGTTTTCCGTATTTGGATGGAACTTCGGATACATCTTCAAGAAGTAAATTGAGTGAATTATTGGGACAATTGGTCTTGCAGAAAAATGTATCAATCGCAGCATTGGTGGGTTTGGATTTTTGAAAACAAAAGATCTGACTTCAAATTCCAGGTGATTCACGCTGGTGACAATAACACAATCCAGTGGAAAATCTCCCCCAACGATGATTCTGAACATCCAATCGAAGTCAAAAATAGCATCGAATTCGCACAAAACATCGATAATTCTTCGGTTTATTGTTTTGATGGTTCGGAATTCACCGAAGATCCTGATCGCGTAGGGATTTTTTTTTGAATGTTATTTTTCCAGTAACTTAAAAATTTTTTTTCAGATTTTGATAATACCTCCTGAATATCAGTTTTTCTACACAAAAACAGTCTCAAGTATAAGTTGTTTACACAGTTCTTTGGTGGTTTTACCGTTTGTTTGGGACCAGTTGAGTAGATCTGGAATTCGGGGAGCTTCGTATTTTTCGTATACAAATTGTACAAAGGTTAGATTTTTTTTGGCTTTGAAGGTGGAGTCTAAACCACGCCTTGAGGACTTTTCATATGTTAATGAGCCACTACTCGAGGGCTTTTTATGTGCCTAGGAGAATCCCCTTAAGGGTTTTTCATATGCAAAGGAGCCACGCCTTGATGGCTTTTCATATCTCAAAAAACCATGCCTTGAAAGTTTTTCATATGTCAAGGAGCTATGCTTAGAGGGTTTTTCATATGCCAAGGAGCCACGCATTGAGGGCTTGCTTTTCATATGCCAAGGAGTCACTACTTGAGGGCTTTCTGTGTGTCAAGGAACCACTCCTTGAGAGCTTTTCATATGTCAAGCAGCCACGCCTTGAGGGCTTTATGTTTGACAAGGAGCCACACCTTAAGAGCTTTTCATATGCCAACAAGCAACATCTTAAGGGCTTTTCATATCACAAGGAGCCATGCTTTGACGGCTTTTCATATCCTAAGGAGCCACGCCTTCAAGGCTTTCCATATGCCAAGAAGTCACTCCTTGAGGGCTTTTCATATGTCAAGGAGCCACGCCTTGAAGGATTTTAATATTCCATGCGGTGTCCAAAGTAAAAAATATAACAAAAAAATGCGAAAATATACCGTTCAAAGTTTAGCTATCTGCGTCTCTCGAGTATACATACTATTTCTCTGTTTCGTGTCTGCGTCTCTCGAATAAGACACACTATTTCTGTGGTATGTATTCCGAATATAAGACGAGCTTTGTATATATTCTCGCATTTTTTGCTATATTTTTTACTTTGGACATCGCACCAAGGATCTACGCCTTGAGGGCTTTTCATATGTCAAGCAGCCACTGCTTGAAGGAGTTTCGAAGTTTTATTCACCAACAAAATGTATGTTATTCAGGATTGTGTCAGTATTCCCATCTCATCAAGTTTGGTTCAACTATGTCCAGTGGATACAAAAAAGTTTGTCATCTCCAATCCTTTTTTTTCTCAAAATTTTTTCCAGTGTTCCTCAAGTCAAAATCGATATCCTCAATGATTTCACAATTGAAATGACTGATGATCTTCTTGGTTTCACTGTCAAACGAGTCAACAAAAATCTTTCGTTTCCAATGGGAATCGTCGATTGTTCGAGTTTCATGGAGAGTTCCAATATTTTTGGGGACAATGCGATTTGCCTTGGTGATGGTGAAAATGTGGCAATTAAATTTGGCAAAAATCCAAATATTTCTGTTTTACAAGAAATGAAGACAAAGTGAGTTTTTCTGTTTTTTCTGGATCTACCTGAATACCCGACTTCCAGACTCTCTGCAAAATCTGCGTTCATAAAATATTCAACAAATTCCGTTTTTCCGAATTTCACAGTCTCCCATCAATCTGAAATCGCATCGTGTGCGAAAACTGCAAAATTCGAAGTGAAGCAGATTTCTGGAAATGGGTTTTTACCTTTAACCTTCGAATGGACGGTTCTAAACGGAACGGATGATATGAAAAATCTGGCTAGCAAAACAAATGATCGATTGTTACAAGTTCCCAGAGACTACGTGAGACTAGATTTTCCTTTTTTTTTGTTTTTCAAAAGTTTTTTTTTTCAAAAAACAATTTTCTTTTCAGCTCTCTTCTCAAAACACAGTAATTGTAAAAGCTTGTAACATTGCTGGAAAATGCACGACAAGTGATTTTCTAATCACTGAACTCGTCGATGATAGTTTCGTATTTTCTGTGAAAATTGATGGATATGAACATGAAACTCCAACATCTTTCGGGTTGAAATTGCATGCGAATCCGAATTTTCAACGGTGTAATGATAGCTTGCTTCCGAAAGATGTACAGTATGAATGGCAGATTAATGGAGAAAGCAAATCGACTGATGATGGCATAAAGTTACCAGTGAGTTAGGCTTTTTAGCCGGCCCTCAAGTTTGAAGCCTACAGCTTCTCAAGCCCGATTTTGTTTCAGGCCTTCCGTTATGGCATCGAAGAATATGTCAATGTCACATTGATTGCCAGATATAATGGAGAGAAATATTATTCATCTAACGAATCAAAAACAATTCATGTAAGTCTAAAGACCTTAAGGTCCTTATGCTTAATTTTTACCCCTTCCCTTGATTCCAGTATGTTGGACTTCCTTTGCTTGTTTCACTTGATTGTGTTCAAAAACAAATTGGTTTGGATCGAGATTTGACAATTTATGCGAACGCAAATGATCAGAATGAGAAAAATGCCAACCTTGAATATAAATGGAGTTGTGTACTTCTCAATGGTTAGTCTACATGAAAAAAATAAAATAAAAATTAATCTGGAATTTTCAGAAACTCTGAATGATTGCGAGTTCAACAAAGTGAATTGGGATAGATCATATTTGTATATTTCTGCCGCGAAACTTAAACATAATCAGAATAAAAGTATGAATTTCACGGTGAATGTGACATCTGGAAATTCATCTGATAGCTCGTCTTGTGTTGTTACTGTTGCGCCTTCAAATCTTCCCGATGTTTCGTTTTATCGATTGGCTGAAAATAAGCAAAATGTGAATGATTATATAAGGTAAGGCAAATTTGGAAGAAAATTTCAGAAGAAATATTTTTTCGAAACTTTTTTTCGCGTCCCCGAAATCCATTCGGAACAATACCTGTTGAAATTTGATTTCAAAATGGGCAAATTTTCTTGGCGCCAAAATCTACAGTAATCCTATTTACAGAATTCAAGCAGTTGTCCAGTCATCTTCATCAATGATAAATTTAACTTGGGAAGTTGTGCGCGATTCTAACTATGGCTATTTCAACATCTCATCAATTTTAACTAATCCCACAACAATTATTGAAAATCTCCCATCGGATGCACAAATCGCGGTATCACTCACAATCCCTCCAGCATCATCTGAAAAATTTGAATGGCTTGGATTGTTGACTGGAAAAACATTTGTTATACGATTATGGGCGACTGATCAAAATGGTGCTTCATTTTCTGATCTTTTTTTATACACAAATTCTCCTCCCACTCTTGGAAAAATTGATGTTTCATATGATGAACCGGTAATTGCTCTTGAAACTGCTCTGAAATTCTCTGTTGGCGATGGTTGGAATGATGATAAAGAAGATCTACCGTTGAGTTATCAATTCGGGTTTAAGACTCATTTTGAGAATAATGTAACATCAGAATTCTGGCTAACAAAGAGTACTGTAAAGTCGATTCAATTTTATTTCTCATCAGGTAGGCTTTTAAAAATTTGATAAAAAATCTTGGAGAATTTTATAGCTGGTGATACTACCCAAAACCTCACAGATGCTTGTGAACAGCGAATTGGGCATACTGCTTTGCTGAAAGTTTGTGATCGCTTAGGATCTTGTGTCACAGGAGAATCTGACATTATAACAGTTGAAAAACCATCAAATACAACAGTCGCTGTTTCATATTTGATGAGTTTGATAAATGATGATGTGATAAATGCAAATATGATATCTGCAATCGCAAAAATCCATTCATTAAATCAAGAATTATGCACAAATGATTTTGATCATTCATTAAGTGACAAAGTTATGCTTCTTCTTTTCGATTCACTTTCTCAAACAAACGAAAGTTCTGAATATCTTGAAGCTATCAAAGCTGGAAATCTATTAATGCCAGTTGTCTCAAGTGAAATATTATCATCTGTTATGAATGTTCTCTCTGAATATCGTAAAATATCCGGGCATTTTACGTCATCAAGTGGTACAAGAGCAAAACGAGCAGTTGCAACAGCAACCACTGAAGAATCCACAACTTTGGCAACAACTACAAAAACCTATAAAGCTACAGAATCTGAGGTTTGATAATTATTCACAATTAATTAAAAAAAAATCAATTTCCAGGCGAATGATTTGCTGAAAGTATACGATATCCTGATCGTCAAAGATAAACCTGTGATTGATGTCTATTTCTTGAATATCAACGATTTCCTTACTGGATTTTGTGTTCAATTAGATGAAAGTTCTGATCGTATAATGTCAGCAAATGGTTCAGGCTACACATCAATTCAAAGTCAAAGCGTCAATCCAAAATCGAAAAATTACACGGGAAACTTCTATATCAGTGGAACTGTCAGAACAAACATAGAATTTTCCGATTATTTTTGATTCATATTTCCAATATTGGAAATGCGGCACAACAACTTGCCAACATGTTTGTCTTGGTTCCGCGTGGATTAATGGAACTTCGATTTATGATAACTCTTATATGAATACATATTTGTTTTCAGGGGTTTCAGAATTGAATTCTAATCGATCAGTTTCAGATCTCTATCAGGTAAGAAAGGGACAACTGATCTTTTAAACATATTTTCAGATAACCCTCATTTTCAGATCAGCCTTATTGATCCAGTTTCCGGAACATTAGTGACTATTTCTAATGGACAAATATTGTACACAGTTGATATTCTGGTAACCAATTATAAACCAATTTATTACTATGATGTGAGTTTGCTTTAGATTCTTCTTCAGATTCTGTAATGATTTTTTAGTGTGTGATTTTCAACCAACATGTGGGATGGGATGCAACACTTTGTGAAAGTTCGGAATACGCTTTTACAAAACACAGCAACACTTTTATTAGATGTAATTGTTCATCGCCAGGGATTATTGGGTGAGGATATATGATATCAGGGCTGGAATTTCTGGGTTTAATCAGCAAGATTTTAATGTCAGCTCAGCTGATAGTTTCACCGCAGCTAAAAATATACTGACCCATTTTTTTTTAAATTTCCGTTTCAGAATTCAAAAAAAAATTAGAAATTACAAAAATTTTGTTGCAAAATGATGAATAGGATTTTTGAACTGCCAAAACTTATTATATTCCAACATAAAACTGAATTTTCTCCAGAGTTTTCAATGTGAATGCTCCAACTCCGGATCCTCTCCCAGACCACAATGAGATCTCAATAACTATGGTCATTGATGTTGATGTTTCTTCCGATGATCTAGCCAAACTTTTCATCAGAATCGCACAGCTTTCTGAAGTTGATGTCTCGTGAGTTCTTATACAGGGTGACCTCAATTTTTCAATTTTTTTCTTGAAACAGGAGATTTGTGAAAATATCGAATAAAGGGAATCGAACAATATCAGCAACTTTGCGTCCACCTTATAAAGTTGGTCAGAAATCGAATAGTTATTCGATTCAGGCAATCGCGAGGACTATTAGATATCAAAAATTGTTGAATGTGATAACAGTGACCAGTTTTAGTTATCAGGTTGTTACAAGAAGTAAGTAAGAAAACGAAATTTTGAAAACGAATAATCAAAAAAAAATCTTGCAGATCTAACCGGGGACTCAAATGCAAGGAAAATCACAATGAGTTTATATCGCTCGTATTTATCACAACTCGGAACGGATTCCGATGACATTGCTAAAAAATGGACACAATCAATTGCAACAGCTTTTCAGATTTCGGAATATCGATTTAAAAATGCGAAAATATTTTTTGGAATTGTTTTCAATTTCACAATTACTGTTGCGATGAGCGATGAAGTTCAGCCATTGACAGCTGATGAAATTGCGTTGATGATTCAAGAATGTTCAAAGTATGGAGAATTAGATTTCACAATTTCTGATGAAATTGTGCAAGTTAGTCAACTTCAGGATAATGAGATAATCAAACTTGTTGTGATAACTGGTAAGTATTCCGAGGTATTACCTGAAAATTCATATTTTTTCAGAAACCAACGCGCTCATGCTGGCTCTAGTAATTGTGCTATCTGCAGTTCTAGGTTTTGGCACACTTCTCATCGGAGGTGCAGTCATTATTAAACTAAAAACTGATAAACTTATTGAAGAGGTAGGTGGAATCACTATTTTGAATATGACGTCAAAAAAAAATAAAATTTCAGGAGCGACGCAGAGCAATTTTGAATGAGCAATTTCATCATCCACCGCCAGAATATGGAAATTCTGAAAACTCATACAATTCTGAATATACACATCGGCGTGTGAGACAGCAGAACTATTAATGAAAATGTTGATACAAAAAAATAAATTATTATGTCTTCAAAATTCGATTTCTGTACTAATAGGGTTATTCTTACTCACATTCAGACAAAATAAAAATAAAACAACAACACTCCGCTTGCCTGTTGTTTGTATATCCCACTTTCTTCCCCACCTCCTTCTCTCACACACCATAAAAATCTTTTATTTTTGGTATTTTTTGGCGTCTTCTCTCACTTATTGTTAAAATCCTTCATCTGCGAAAAAACAATTAAATAATTTTTTTTTCGAAACTTCATCCATGGCAAAATTAGGAAGCATTCCTAATTTAGCCACGAGTCATTTTTTGATCAAAAAACTTGAAATTTTTAATGAATTTGGTTGTAATTGAGATTTTTTCGTGATTTCCCATGGCGTATTTTTTTTGCTCAGTTTACTTTGTTAATTAATTCTTTGATTTCAGACATGACCGTGTTCAACATTCGTTTGGTTGGAGAAAAAGACGATCGTTTGTTCAAGGTTATCGAAGTCGATAATAAGGTTTTTTAACTTTAATAATTTATTCTTATTGCCATATTTTTTTTTATGTATTTTCAGATTCTATATCTTGATCACAGCGAAAAAAAATTATTTTTTCTGTTTCCGTGAGGTACGGTGCGCAAAACAGAAAGTGTTTGCACACACAAAGGAAAAAAACAAAAAACAAAAGGGGAGAACACACAAAAACCGTGCGCACATGCAATAATATTGCAGAAAGACGCTGCCAGGGGTTGCACGTGGAAAACTCCGCCTATTTTTTTTTGAATTTCCGCAACGAATTTTTTGTGTACAAAAAAATAATTTTTTTTCGCTGTGTTGATCTGAAGAAGCTGATTGAGAGTGTGACGTATATTCCTTCCGATTATCAACAAATTCAATTCCGTGGTGAAGATCTTCCCGTTGTTGAGCGTCCTATTCAAGACATCAAGTTTGGCGAAGAAATAGTTGTTGTAAGTTGAATTTTTAAATTTAGAATTCACTTTTCATTTGGGCTGCACGCGGGCCACCCCGCAATAAATCACCGTGCAAAATGGAAAAGTGTATACTATACCATGCAGCTAGTGAATTCTGTAATAAAAAAATAGTAAAATGGCTCTGTAAAATTTTTTATTTTCAGCAACATACTCATCTTCCATGGTATTTCAAGTACAAAGAATGTGTTGAGTTAGTGCTAAAGCAACGCTCGGACAAAGGTGAAAACGCAAGAGATGCTGTCAGATATCACGAAGTTTTAATGAAATCTGGCTTTTTCGATGTCTACCTTCAATTCGACGACTATCGAAAACAAAAACATTCTGAAGTCGCCTCTTGGACCGATGGGGACATCAATTTGATTCGTGATGCGGCAGAACAATACTTCCACCGTCTTCATGATCTGAAGAGAGGAAGTCAAGAATCCGATTTTATTTGCAACTTCGAAGACAAAGATCTCGAGTTAGATGGAAGATCTACTAGTACACTGGCATTTGTTCGGATCCATGGCGAAGACTTGGTTTCGAAGTACTACATCAAGTATGTTTTTGATTTGTTTTTTATTTTTGATCTGTAACGTTCAGATGTCACCATTTTGGACCAGACAAAAGCTGGGGCCATCCTCCGGACATCAACGAACTATACTGCTACAAGCTGATGGAGTTGATCGGCGTCGGACCAAAATGTCACATTGTTACACCCATCATCAATTCTGGAACAAAAACAAGTGTGTAAGGATTTATACATATTAGTAACAAGTAAATATAGCAGCATTTAGGTACATTGCCACAAATTGGGAAGACAATTTTGAGCTCATGGAGCAAGTTATCAGAGAGAATAGTCTTACCGCTGATATGGTCGTTCAGCTGGTTTTGCTGCGATTGCTTCTATTTATTGCCGATCTACACCTACAAAACTGCGGTTTGTTTCAGAGATCTGAATATTATTGATTTATTGATTGATTTTAGGGGTTTGGAAAGGGACTATTAACACTGCAATCGTTGATTTCGAACCGAAAAACGAGATTACAATTCATGATGATATCAAAGCAGAATTTTTTACAACTTTTCCACATCCCGAATGGAAAGAAGAGTTCAAAGAAGTGAAAAATCAATTGGACGACAATTCATGGTTGAAGATCGCTAAACAGAATTTGGATAAGTGGGATTTGTCGCGTAAAATCGAATTGGCTCAAGAACAACTCGAAGAAATTTTAAAAGGAATGGAACTTGGCTTTGAGAAGCGAAAATTATGCTATAGTCCCACAGATCAACTGAAGGAATACTTTGATATATTGAACAAGAATTTGGAAAATCTTCAAGTTTTTTTGAATTCCACGTCATGATTCTTCAATTTCTTCAACAACTCCAGAATATGGAAATTCTGATAATTCTTACAATTCAGAATATACACATCGACGTGTGAGACAACAGAATTATTAATAAAAATGTTTATACAAAAAAATTAATTATTAATAATTATACTAACAATAAAAATATTAATTATTATGTTTTAAAATTCGATTCTTGTACTTACCAGAAAACCCTCAATTTCTAAGAAATTTTTAGATGTTTTCCTCAGAAAATGCTTCCACGTTGAATGTCAACTCACATGTTCATTATAATCATTTTTTTAGTTCAGTTTTTCTCTATTCATTTTTTATTTTGTTGAAAAAAAATGAGTTTGGACAACAGCACAGAAAACAATGATTTTGGGAATTCTTCAGGTGAATATTTAATAAATCATATTCCAAGAGATATCGGGTTTTATTGTTCTATACCATTCATTATTTTGGTTTTAACAACTCCAAATGAGGAAAGAAAAAGTATAATCTACCCAATTTACAAAACGATATGCAATCTTATCCTGGGCTATTTTTCAAGTTATATCTACATTCTACTTGCTGCTTTTATGTATACACGTTGTCTTGATCCGGGATTAATTTTGGGAGTATTTTATGGATTTCTTTTTGTGCTTCCTCATATATTTGGTGGAAATGGTAGCAATATGTTATTTTTTCTACTCATCGGCGTTCAAAGAATTGTAGTTATTTTGAATTTTGACAAATTGGAAAAGTATGTACAAGGAAAATATTTGAATCGAGCTCTTAATTTTATTATTTTTTGGACAATTGCTTTGAATTTTATTGATTTGACAAATTGTCCAATTCAAAACTATTGCGCAGTTTATTCAACGATAAAGAATGATTTTGAGTGTAATAAAAACGCATTTATGACATTGGTAAGAAAACAAGACGATAATTTCAACAAAAATATACGAAATTGTTATTTTTTCCAGAAATCTAAAACCTCATTTTATACGTATGCTTGTTTTGATATTATGATTCCAGCAGTCTCTCTTGCAATACATATTATTTTGCTTCATGCAATTCATAAAAATCGTCACATTCTATCAGAAACTCGACGTAAATCAGAACTTGCTATCATTTTTCAAAACTTACCACTTTGTATTTATTTTATCGCTCAGATGATTGGAATTATTTTTTATTTTATTATTCAAACACCAAGTCCATATATCCAGTCATTGATCAAATCAATGATTTGCCGAGATTCAACAAATTTCAATTCATTTCCAGTGACATATACAATTGCACATTGGAAAAGACTTCGAAATATCATGTGTTGTTGTAAATGTTCCAAAAATCGAGTTTATATTGATAATTTAGCAACTTCTGTTCCTGGAAATTGAAATGTAGAATTATAATTTAGTTTTTAGTTTCAGAACAAACAAAACACAATTCAGACATTTCAAAGATCAAATTTTATCATTCATCGCCAGAATATTTAACAAAACTTATTTTTAATGATAACTCGGGCAGAAAACGGCGAGGTCGCTACCAATCGGGGCGGAGTCGCTACACGTTTCGGGCGACTGGCCCGAGGCTCTTTGGGCAAGCTTGGGGCGACTCGCCCGAGCGTGAAGCAACTTGCCCCGTTCTCGCCCCGATCCACTCTCTCGGAGGGTGTCCAGAAGCATTTTTCAAAAACTGTATTTATGGAGCAAAAGTAGATCTACTTGTAGTTCTATTACCCTACATTTATATGGGCCATTTAATAAATGAATCACTGTGAAATCCCGGAAAAAAAGCATAAAAACCATGATTTAAAAAATGGGCAAAAATTGTAGCGAGTTGCCCGGCACTCGCCACTTTTGAGGCGCGTTTGGGGCAACTCGCTACAAAACGAGTCTCGAAAATTGTGTAGCGAGTCGCCCCGAGCTATGTCGTTTTTTGGCCGAGAAAATATTTGTAAAAATAAATAAAATTGTTTTTTGATGAATTCATTCTGGCATCTGTTACAATTTCAGGCTTGAGACTAACATTGGCAATGTTCAAGCCAGTAAAGAGAGATTCAGGTTGTGAGGCTAAGATTTTTACTAATTGTGAATATACTCCGAATTTTTTGATATTTGTCTTAAGAGAAAAATTGAAAACGCACTCTGTTAAATGTTAACTCATAAATGTACATTATAATTATATTAGTTCACATAATCAACTTCAGTTTTCACTCAATTCATTCTTGATTCTGTTCAAAATGACTTCGGAAAACAACACACACAACATTTTTGATGATACTCCAAGTGAATACTTGATTATCTCTATTCCAAATGGAATATTTCGCTATTTTTTAATACCATTCGTTATTTTGATGTATTCAACTCCAGATGAGGAAAGAAAAAGTATAATCTACCCAATTTACAAAATTATATACATTCTCATCTTGGCGGATTTTATAAGTTTAACATCCACTGTACTTGTTATTTTGATGTTTGTGGGTGGTTGTACGGATTGTGGCCTCCTTTTAGTGCTATTACGTTTAACTCTTTTTGTGCTTCCTTATATATTTGGTGGAAATAGTAGCAGCATGTTATTCTTTCTGCTCATCGGTGTTCAAAGATTGATAGTTATACTGGATTTTGAGAAGTTGGAAAAATATGTACAAGGAAAATATTTGAATCGAGCTCTCACTTTGATTGTTTTCTGGATGGTTTTATCAAATTTGATTGATGTTACTGATTGTCCTATTGAAAAATACTGTGCAGTTTATGCAATTTTAACTGATAATTTTGATTGTGCAAAAAAACAGGTCGATAAAAGTGGTAAGATAAAATGTTTATCACTTATATATTCTCAACTATTCTTTCAGAATTCCAAGATTCCATTCTACACGTCAGCTTGTTGTGAGATCATAATTCCAGTCGTTTCTCTTGCAATACACATTACAGGGTGACAACAAATTATAGCGACAAATTAAACTAACTCTGGCGACCGTGGTACTTAACCGATCTCTATGAAATTTTTTTTGGGACTATTCTGACTATTCAGGACCACACAGAAAAAATATCAAGAGTTCTCGGAAGGTTCCCGATATTTTTCCTGACATTTGAAGAGTTTCGAAAAATATTTCCGTACTCGCTAGACACTTTGTACAGCAAAAATTTTCCCTGGCTGATAAATTTCATATTTATTGCTCAAAATAGTTTTTCTAGATCATAATACACACTTTTTCACAGTTATAATAATTCCTAATGTTCAAATGAGTAATCCACCGCGGTTCAATTATCATGAATTTTTAGAATTTTGTGAATTTTCAAATCCAGTCAAAATTAAAAATTCTCCCAATAATATTTTTTCAACGATGTTACTGCTTCAAACTGTCCCAAAGATGTTTAGTGAAGGTTCCTAGATCACAAATATGATTTTCAAACAGAAATTTTGAAAAAAATGCAACTTTTTTAAAAATCATAATTTCTTCAAATTCATCAGTTGACTCTGATAATCCGTTAATAACTCTAATTAATGATGAGGATTCATGCTCAAAATTTTTTCAACAATTTTCGATAATATTGAGACAATTTACATTCATGCATTCTTATAAATCTTGGAATTTTATCTCAATATTTCAATTTGTTCGAAAAATGAAATTGTGATACTCGCAAGTGGTGGTTCCAAATAACCACATCCAAAAAAGTTCAAAAGTCGGATACCTGTTATAATATTTGTGTTGAACCCTCCTCAATACTTACTTTATCTAAACAAAAATTTATAGTTGTAGAATATTACGTTCAGAGCTCAAATAATTAGCTCTTAAAATATCGAAAATTGAAAAAATCGTAAAAAAGAGAAATTTTTAAAACGATCGCTTTCCAACTTTGTGAAAATTTTTGTGTTCATAAACAAGTTAGTATACTGATTAGGTGATATAAAATGATGGTTTTTGAGAAAAGTTGAGCAATGAAATCATGAAAAATCATTCCGTGATTACTGTGTAAACAGTGTAAACTTTTGTCGCTTTAATTTGTTGTCACCCTGTATATTGCTTTATGCGATTCACAAGAATCGTCACATTCTCTCAGAAACTCGAAGAAAATCAGAGCTTGCTATTATTTATCAAAACTTACCACTTTTCATTTACTATATTGTCCGAATAATCGGAATAATTTTGCTTTTTCTGATCCAAACACCAGATCCATACACTCAGTATATGATCCGATCATTGATATGCCGAAAGGATACAAATTTTAATTTATTTCCAGTGACATATACAATTTCACATTGGAAAAGATTACGAGATATGATGAGTTGTTGTAAATGTTGTAAAAATCGAGTTTATGTTGAAAATTTAGCAACTACTATGCCAGAAAATTAAAAAGCTAGGTAGAGTTACATATAATTGATTTTAGTTTCAGATCAAACAAAAAATTCAGACATTTCAAAGATCAAATTTTATCATTCATCGCCTGAATATTTAACAAAACTTATTTTTAAGCATAAATTGTTTGTAAAAATGAATAAAATCGTGTATATTTGTTTCAATGATTTCATTTTGACATCAAGATTTATCACAATTTTAGGCTTGAGACTAACATTGGCAAAGTTCAAGCCAGCAAAGAGAGTTTTAAAGAAAATTGTCGTTAATCAACTGTTTTATTTATAAAAGTTGTGAGGCCAAAAGGTTTGCTATGAGAAAAAAATTAAAAACGGTTCCTTGTTAAATGTTAACTCGCATATGTACATTATAATTATATTAGTTCAAATAATCAACTTCAGTTATCATTCTATTCATTCTTGATTTTTTTTCAACATGAGTTTGGAAAACATCACAGACAACAATGATTTTGAAGAAAATCCAGGTGAATATTTGATTAATTATATTCCAACTGGACTCGGTTTTTTATGTTTTGGACCATTCGTTATTTTGATGTACACAACTCCAGATGAGGAAAGAAAAAGTATAATTTACCCAATTTACAAAATTATATATATATTTTTATCTTGGCTTATTTTGTAAGTCTAACATTCTCTGTACTTGTGGCATTGATATTTGCGGGTGGTTGTACGGATTGTGGCTTCATTTTATTGCTATTCTCTTTAAAGGGTTGGTGCTCCGCCAGGGAATTTTGCTTGGTTTAGATAGGAATAAGGTGCTCCTGGAAGGTTCCAGTTTTAGAAAAAATTCTAGTATCAATTCAGCCCATGTTTTTCCTCAAAAACACAAGCGAGTTAAAACCTACGAAATAAAGCATGTAAATGCGCTCTAGCCCACAACTTGTTTTTGAATTTTCGTGTGTGTGTTTGCACACAACTTTGAAAACAACACTGTGACGCCTTTTTGCAGACGATTTTTTCACCAGGAAAGCACCAACCCTTTAACTCTTTTCCCGCTTCCTCATATATTTGGTGGAAATGGTAACAATATGTTATTTTTTCTTCTTATCGGCGTTCAGAGAATTATAGTTATTTTGAATTTCGAGAAACTGGAAAAATATGTACAAGGAAAATATTTGAATCGAATTCTCACTTTGATAGTTTTTTGGATAATTTCATTAAACTTTTTTGATCTTACTAATTGTTATATCGAAAACTGCACAGTTTATGCGATGATGACTGGTAATTTTGAATGTACAAAAAGCGGATCAGCAAAAGTGGTGAGATCCAAAAATTTTGTCCACATATTCTCATGTTTTCTGTTCAGGAATACAAAATTCCATTTTATATGTCAGCTTGTTCTGAGATTATAGTTCCAGCATTTTCTCTTGCAATACACATTATATTGCTGTATGCGATTCGCAAAAATCGTCACATTCTATCAGAAACTCGAAGGAAATCAGAGCTTGCTATCATTTTTCAAAACTTACCACTTTTCTTTCACTACATTCTCCGAATAATCGGAATAATCGTATTTTTTCTGATCCAAACACCAGATCCTTACACTCAATCTATGATCCAATTATTGATATGCCGAAGTCATACAAATTTTAATTTATTTCCAATCACATACACAATTTCACATTGGAAAAGATTACGAGATATGATGAGTTGTTGTAAATGTTGTAAAAATCGAGTTTATGTTGAAAATTTAGCGACTACTCTACCAGGATAATTAATATGTAGTTTGGTTCCTATGGCTAATAAAAAAATTTAGAAATGTCGAAGATCTATTTTTAATGAGCATTTTGATTTTCCAAAATCTGATGGCCTGTGAGACAAATCTACATTTGAAATTCAACTCATTCACAAACTTCATGCAAAAGTTGAATGTCCAACTGCAAAAAAAAATAATCACGAAACCCTCATCTAATCCAACAAAAAACGATGTTGCCAATGGAGATATAAACCAAAAATAAACTACTTATTCTTCATAAACATACAAAAAATGATGGATGTATACTCTCAACTTCTCAAAAGATAATCATTATTCAGCGTTTTCTTGTTTTCATATGCGTAAATTTATGTTTTTTTGTGACTAACTTCCTTAGATTTGACAACACAAGCAAATGTCAAAGATTTTTGGTGTATGTTTTGAAAAAAAAGGGGGAAAGGGTGGAGGGAAAAGCGGCGAGACATAGATAGAAAATAAAAGATAGTGTCCACCCCGATAGACCAATCAAGCTATATACTATGACAATTTATACCCTCTGGGCTATTTTTCTTTTTTCCTTTTTTTTCTGAGGACATGGACAGAGGTCGACTGATTTATTATTGAGATATTCTGACGATTTCAAGTTTTCATGCTTTGATTTAATTGTTGTTTGAACTTTTTTTGCACTTTTACATGTTTCGATTTAGCAGAAAACATGTACTTTTTTAGCTTTTGCACATTTTTTGTCAAATTCAGGGAAAGGCTGAATGGGAAATCGGTGCTCTCAAAAGTTAGGATTTTTGAAATCAAAAACATTTGATGTTTTTTGCATTGAAGGGGAATTCTTCTATGTCTCAAAGTCGATTTAGGCTAACTTATTCAATATTAGTAGCAGGGCAACTTCTTTGTCAATTCCAGCCCCAATTTCAAGATTAATTTAAACTTTGTGCTCCAAAGTTATCGCAACTCTTAATATAAATTTACTTCTTTCTCACATCAGCCTTCTTCTAAAAAATATTCTGAAACTTTGGAGACATGTTTCTGACACTTCATACATTTTTGTTTTTTCTATGTGTTTATTTACACTAGATGAATTTTTGGTTTTCAAATAGTTATTTTTGAAATACATCCTAATTAATCCAGGAAAACATTAATTAAAATACTGAATTTCAAACTAAAAATTCCTAACTTCATTATTTTTTTGCTCTGAACTTTGGATTTTTTTCAGGAAAAAAAAATATTTGTTCATTTATGTTATATATATGTCCTGAAACTTTGGATAAGTTTCTGACACTTCCCATGTTTTTATTTATTTTTTTGTCACTTTCAAAAAAATGTAAATTTTCTAGTTATTTTTGATATATCTTACATCTAGAAATCATTAATTCAGGAACACATTAATTGAAAGAAAGTGCTGAAATTTATTCGCTGAATAATTTGGTATTCGTGGGATGTTGACGTTTTTATCTAACAAGAAATGAATAATTATAGGGTTTTCTCATGAGTTTTCAGAATTCATAAAGTTATTTGCTTCATTTTTAAGCTTCAGACGGGTTTTGTGAGCATTTTTAAAAAAGAGCAAATTTCTGAAAATGTTTCATCTTTTCAAAATCTTCAATTGCCAAGCAGAGTCATTTTATATAGAGTTTGCACAAAATTTTCCATGTGGCATGAAAATGATACCTTTTCGAAATTCGAAATTCCAAAAAAAATGCTCTCAAAATATAAAGTCAACAAAAATATCCACCCACTTATTAAATTGTTTCAAATTTCATTGCCCGATTCACTTTAACAAAAGGGCGGGTAAAGAACCCTTCTTTTTAACAAAAAAAAAAGAAGAGGGAGGATCAGAAAAGAAAAAGAAAGAAAGAGGAAAAAGGAAATGAGAAGAACGTTATGTAGTACACATTTTTGAGTAAAGTAAAATAAGCTGACCATTCCATTCCATTTTTAATCTTTTTCCTTTTCCTCAACTTTAACTTGTTGTCGTTTTTGGTTTGATTGAGTTTTTTTCTTATTTTTGGCCCAATCAAAAATAGTATATATGTATTTTCCTCACTCACCAAAACTTTTCTGGTAGATCAAAAATTTTCAAAATCCCATAAATCATAAAAAAAACCTCATCATGTCCCAATTTTCGCAATAAATAACAAAACGACCTTCTCTATCACTTTCAACCAAAACTTTTCATTTTTCTTCTGTTTTCTTTACGACTTTTGCAATATTTTTCGGATTTTTTGGAATTCACTTGATAATTTTTAACATGATTAATTTTCACGCGTCATTGAGTACATATCTCCAATTTTTCTTCTTCATCTTTGTATTTTTTCTCAAGTATTTTTTTAAAATAAAATTAGATAGAAACATACTCGCATGTATTGTGTGTGATGAATTAAATATTGTTTTTGGCGTTTTTCATGAATATCCAATTTTACTTGACCTAACTGACTAATCTTCCCCACATTTTTCCAGACTTCAAGATGTTTGAAAAATATTTTCCTCTAATTTTATTGCTTCTAAATTTTGATGGGTTTTATGCGATTCAATGCCATTCATGTTTAACATATTGTAAAACAATCGACGGAAAAGTGAGTTATTTTTCGATTTTCAGAAGATTTATGAAAAAAATCGTACAATCTCAAGTTGTTTTTTACATTAGTATAAACTTGAAAGTCGATTTTTTTTTCTTGCTTTTCTTTTTTTGAGTGTGCAGAGCTATAATTAATTGAATTATAGCTGCAGAACACAGAGCCTTGTTAGAAGCTTGAGGTTCGGGCTTTCAAAAATGCCAGCCTGGTTTGATTTGATTTTTCAAAATCCGAGTTGGACGTTTGAGTTCTAGAAGTTTCATCCTGAAGCTTGTTATCAAAGCCTGGGCTCGGAATCAGATCTGGGTTTTAAAAATTTGAGAAAAAAATCCAAGCTCGGCCTGGGTTGATGAATCTGATTCTTATTTCAAACCCATGGGCTCAATTTATTCTGTAGCTCAATTTTGAAGCCTGGGCTCAAATCTGGGCCTTCCAAAATCGAACAGGAAAGTCAGAGTCAATCAGACTAGTCGCTCCAAGGACCCTTGAGTTTCCAGGAAATATTTTCAAAAAGATAACCCCCCCCCCTAACCAATTTTTTGTGGGGTTTTGGCCTCTAAAGGCATGAAATTCCCTAACATTTTCAAAAGTTAAGGGCCTCCCTCTGAATTCGGAGTCCCAGTTCATGTATGTTTCTGATACCTCCTGGGATCTATTGGTTTTTTAGACACCCCCAAAGTTTATCCAGTAAAAATTGATGTTCCAGGTCGACCCAGTAAATTGTGATTGTCAATCTCCATCCAATGAGCAATGTTCAGCTGAAGCATGTTTTGCAAAAATTGAAATTTTCTCCGATGAAAAAACAGCTATTGTTCAGGTAACACTTGTCTTTTTCACTTTTCTACTAACACCATTTCAAATATTCTTTTCAGAAAGGATGCATATCCGATTTCCCAGCTGGACAAAGAGGTTGTCAATATGCGAGCAATACAGATGCAATTCACTGTTTTTGCGATCAAAATGAATGTAACACTCGACATAAGGTGAGCATTTCTTGCACAAATACAATGGATAAGGAAGTGTTTTTTCTTTTTCTTCATTTTTCAAACGTTTCGTGTGAGGTTAAAATGAGATGGATCAAAGATGACAACTTTGCTTCGGGGTAGAGGAATTTGAAATGAAATGAAATGAGTAAATGAAAAAAAAATAGACAAACTTTGTACTAATGCAACTTTTTTTTATTGAGAATTGGGAAAAAATTTGAAAATTTTGAATTTTACTTGAAATCAAAACTTTGAAATTGAGCATTCTAGAAATATTTTTTTGGATTTCAAATCAGGAACAAATGATATAATTTTTCAGAATTTGAAAAAAATAAGTTCTGCTCATTTAAAAGAAAAAGTTCTAATTAGTACAATCCTCAAAATATTTTTCTTTTTTATGAAAATTTGTCATCGGCTTTTTTAACCAGGAGACGAATTTTTGAATTTAAATTGATTCGATTGAATTTTAATATTGATCGATTGAGAACCAACTCATATTCTGAACTAGGAAAAATTTCAAGTTCAAATTTCAGATATTGATTGCCTGGGGGCTAACATCCCCCTATAAAAGAAAAAAAAATAGATCAACATTTTCCAGCTGAACATGTACATCCCCACCCGTCTCCCATCCGTCGAATGCTGCTCTTGTTCTTCAATGAACGGTGATGATTGCGACGCGGGATGCACCAATAAATGCCGCGGAAATTACTGTATCGTTGACTTTGATGGAAATGAACAAGGTTGTGGTTTGGGATATCCAAGACTTCCTTCGTTCTTGAGAACTGATGATTATCTCCATTATCAAGGAGGTTATTTATGCACCAGGTAAGTTTGCAAATCTGTTTTTCAAACAAAATTTGTACATAATTTTTTAAAGATACGAGTCAAGTTTATCGCACGTTATCAATGGATGTGTTTGTACCGATCCATCTGGAACATGTAACGATATGAATAAGACAAAATTATATCGAGTGAGTTTTTTCAAGACACGATGATTCAATTTAAAAAATAATTCCAGCAAAAACAAGTTATTGATCGACGCAAGGATAGTCAACATTATTGTTATAGTTTGGTCCACAAAGCGCATAGACCATTTGGACAAGAAGTTTTTTCAAAGTAAGAGACATTTCTGGAGTAGATCTGGTCAAACTTCTGATTTAAAAAAATCAATTCAGATTAGTCTGCTCTTTCAAGAAAAAAACAAAACTAAAATTTTCTAGATCTTCAACCTGTGAGGGACATTTCTGCTTCATCTCCCTAACCACAAGCGAAATAGTTCTAGAAAGTGCTGAATATAAACATAACTACGAAGATCATGAAGACTTCATAGGAGTTTCAAGGCCAAGATATGAATTGCAAGTTGGATGTATCAAAGTGGATGATGATGAGGTAACTTCAAATTTTTTTTGCTGAAAAAAATGATTTTTTTTGCAGAAAGTGAACGTTGGTTGCACTGTAGAAACACAGGGGAATAATTCGGAAATATTGACGAAACATTGTATTTGTGATAGTCATCTGTGTAATTTCTATCATCTCGCAAAAGGTTCACATGATCCTAGACCAAAGGCAAAATCAGCGGAAGTGAAAATGGTGAGTTAAGATTTTTAATATGAGCAATGCCTGACAATCATAGAAATTGTATTGATTTTCAGAACAGTTTCAGTTTGAGCCTCTGAAGTTGAGATTCTGAACTCTGAAAAAAATCTCTAGATTAAAGCCTTCAGAAAAAAACTAATATCTCAAAATCACAACAGACTTATCAGAAAAATTCCTCTTCCAGATTGCAACCCATTCCAAACCAGTCCGATTGTACACAACAACATTGGAAGAGCGATCTTCGACAATTCTAGTCTCCCGAATTTCCACCCTCAATCCATTTAATCTCATCATTTCTTTCTCCCTTTTCATAACATATTTTTATTTCCTCTAAGCTTTCCCATCATTAAAATTCTATTCAATTCAATGCAGGTTCTAAAATCATAATAGTATTTGTTACGGTTTTTCAAATAAAATAAAAATAAAAATTAATTCAGATCATAAATATTTATTATTCAAGAAAAATAAAAACAAAATGATGATAAAAGGAATGTTTTTGTTCATCAGAAAAATGGGGGAAACAAGAATGAAGATAAGTATTTATACCAGAGTCATTCACGTATTTTTTGCAAAAAAAAATATGCCGAATAAATTATGTCTTTTTTCAATTTTTTAAGCTTAATCAAACTCAGGATATGAAGTGCGAAGAGCAAATTATTGTCTACATAGTCACCAAAAAAAAATGACACGGCTTTTGTATGAGAAAAAAAATTGAAATGGGACTAGTTAGAAACATCGAATTTTTTGTTGTTGAAGAAAGACGGTTTAAGTGTATAGTTGTAACTCGTAAGATCTTGCTATGGATTCATTTCTACGATCTCGATCACCACCATTTCGTTTCTAAATATTCACAAATTAAAAATCGTCTTATAGCAAACTGGTTGATTAGGGAGATCGTATTTTCAAAAAAATCAAACAAAAGTTAGCAACGGTCACCAAAAAAACAATATTTCACAAGAAAAAAATGGATTACCAGTAGGACAAGACGTCAGAAAATAAATCAATAAATAGTAAGTAAACATAAAAATTAGCAAGTCATGGAGCTTTTTGTCTGATATTATAACAACAACCGGTGTGAATCTTAGTTAGGCAAATTATAAAAATTAAAAAAACCAAAAAAAAAATCTATTAATTTGAATGAGCCATGTTCTAATTCTTATTCAAAGTGAGCAAAACAAACACGAGAAAAACGATGAAAACAACATGAAAATTCAGCTTTCACATTACCGCATGTGGATTTTTCATCATTGCTGCTTGGCGATATTCGACGATTAGGGAATTGAACTTTTTCTCCAGCAGCTGAAAATATGAGGGTTTTTTGGAGAGTTGAGGTTCTGATTTTTCAAAGCTCAAAATCTAGTTGAAGCAATTTAATTTCAGAATTGTAGGCTAGGTTTCTGAACAGTGAAAATTTTATTTTCTGAAATTTTATCAATGAAAAATGGTTTTGATTTTTCGAAATTCGGAACATCGGAAGTTCAGCTTCAGAATTTTGCGTCTCATTTTCAGAAGCTTAAGCTTAGGTTTCATGAATTGTAGAAATGTTGATTTGGAAAGAGAAAGGTTTAGAAAAATGGGATTCTGAAAACGAGAATGAAAAGGTTTTTATTTTTTCATGCTCAAAATTTCATTTTTTTCATACTCAAAAATTGAAATTTTGAATTTTGTTCTAAACCCCTCCCTGCTTTCCCAAACTTTTTCATATAGTTTGCCATAACAAAAACTATTATTTACACACTTAAGTGTATGGTAAAACAAAAAAATCTATTTTTGAAGAGCTCCGAATCTTCTCCCTTACCTGTCGATTTTGCATGTCCTGCGAACCAATTTGTAAAGTATATGCAAATGCTTGAGCATCAAATGTGTCATCTAACGCAATCAAAGCGCCGTGTATTCCACTATCGGTTAGATTTCGAGAAAATGCGCCTAATCCAATTTCTTCCACCCATCTTTGGACTCGTTCATTTGACCATACAAGAACATCTGCAAAATTTTGAATTTTAAACAAATTTTGACGAGAAAACAATAAGAAACATACCTTTATTAATATTCTCACAAGCTTTCCTTCTATCCGACAAAACCTTCTTATCATAATTCACTTTTTTCAAACACATGATACCATATTGTAAACTGGCACGATGAAATGTGTCAACCATTCGAAGATGATTTCTCAAATCTCGTTTTGATAAATGCTCCAACATTCTGGCATCCAACAAACATTCCATGAATGCTGATCGATATTGTTGCAAGCCAAGACTTGGCAACCAATCATTTCCAATATATTCGTGATTCATATCACCGAAAGCTAATGTTAGTCGAGCTGTTCGAGGGGCAGATGGTGAAGTTAGAGATACCATTTCCTGCAAAAATCAATAATCTAATCAGAAGTTAGTTTGAAAAAAACCAACCTGAATAGCTAATCTCAATTTCAATCGATGCAACGGATTCGAAATGCCAATCTCTTTCTGAATCTCCTGATCACTCAACGCCGACATAATCGCTCCAGATTTCACATTCGCTCTACAAGCCGCCACATACCACGCGGGCATTCCAACCCACAATTCCAGCCACGCCACAACTGTTGGTCCATTCCAAAGTGCAAATGGTGTTCGAGCTTTCATTGCCTCCTCTAACAATTCGTGCTTTTTCCTTTTTCTTCGATCATAATCTGCTTTTTGACCTTCGTTTCCAGATGCTTCACCATCCGAGTAACCATCACCATTTCGTCTGCAAAATTTATTGATTTTTTGGGAGGATGAGGAAGGAATATACTCACTTGAAGAGATCATTTGATGAATTTTTCTTCTTATTGAAAAATCTGCCTAATGTTTTCAACCCGCTTGAACTGTTTGATCGTTTTTTCTTTCCAGTTATACCATCAGTGGATGAAGCTACCGATGAAGCTGGACTCATACGATCTCCCTCATATTGCATCTGAAATTTTGGAATTATTTTTGATTTTTAAATTTTCCTGTATTTTTGGTCTAATTTTATTTACTGAACTATTGAATTTCAGGACTGATTTTGGGATTTCAATCTTATTCCAGGCTTCAAAACGCTTTTCTGATCATCAAAAAAAAAACCCCTAGGAATCTTGAAATTATAGATTTGATTTTCAAATGTCACAGATTGTAAAACTCACATCATCATATCGATTATATCGCCTCGGTGTATAATCAAGATCTCTCACCATCGAATCATCCGCATATTGCTGATTCCCACCTCCATAAATATCATATCTCCTATCACCGCTCACATTCGCCGGCAAAGTATTATATTTACCCCGCATCACATCCAATTGCGGACTTCCACGCGGCGAACTTCTCGTCGAAATACCCTGATCGTCATAGAAGTCACGATTCGTTCTTTCCAATTGTTCAGCAACTCTTTCAGCGTGATGTTTCTCTTGTTGAATCAATCGAATCTCAGTGTTAATCGCGTCTAATCGATCTTGTAGCATTGAAGCAAGCATATGAGCATCTTGATTGTTTGCCGCATTCAATGGATTCGAAATTATCTCCTCTTGTTGTTGAACAACTGATGCACCGCGTGGAAGTGTTGATGAACCAACATCTGCCAAAGATGGTGAACTCGAGAAGGCTTGTTGTACATTTGCTAGAACATGTGCTTGTTGTAATCGATCCCATTCTTGCTCATTCAAAGTTTGCACTTTATTCGGATCGTCTTGCAACGCACCAATTCGTCCCTTATTTGGTCGCCGAACACCAACTGTTGCGTATGCAGGTGGTGTCGGTTTATAAACCGGATATGAGGTTTGTGGCGGTTGTTGAACCACAGCTGGCTGATTATACGGTATCGCGTGCATTCTGAAGAGAAAAAAACGTTTTTTTTTGGATAATGTGGATCTATTTTTTATAATTGGGTGATACTGTAGATAATTCTGCAGCTGGTGCAGCTGGAAATTTGAAAAAAAAAAGTTTTTTTTTGGATAATGTGGATCTATTTTTTATAATTGGGTGATACTGTAGATAATTCTGCAGCTGGTGCAGCTGGAAATTTGAAAAAAAAAGTTTTTTTTTGGATAATGTGGATTTATTTTTTATAATTGGGTGATACTGTAGATCTGCAGCTGGTGCAGCTGAAAAAGTTCAAAAATTTTCAAAAAAAAATTCAGGTCTTTGCAGATCTTAAAATAGATTTGACAAATTCAAAGCCTAGATCTAAAGTAGATTTCCACTTTGAAGTTTATAATTTGAACTTATCCTAAATCTGAGAACATTTGTAAAAGCTTCTTGATAAAATTTTGTTGGAATTTTTTCACAATAAAATTTTCCCGATTTTTTTTCAGATTTGAGAAAAAAGAAAGTCAGTTTGATTCTGATAATCAATAATTTCAACAACAAAAATCCAGATTGAAATTTATTTTTGATCTACAGAGAAACTTTACCTCCCAAATTTTCAAAAAATAACTAACCTTGATTGGAATTGAGCAGTTCGAGCATTATACAATTGTTGTCGAAGATTTTCAATCTCCTGTCGAAGTGTATCATTATCCCGTGTCAGACGTTCCTTAATCCGTTCAGCTTGATCATAAATCTTCTTGGTACTCTCAAGTTGTTGTGTCAACCGATTCTTATCATCCAACGCCTGCATTCGTTCTTTCAAATGCAACTGTAATCGATCATTCGATTCCGACAACAATTTATCAACAGTACTACTCAATCGTTGACTATGCTCCTCATTCATTCTTTCCCGTTGTACAGCTCTTTCCAATTCCGCTGACATTTCCTGCAACTGTCTTTCCAGTCTCTGAACTCGTTCTTCAGCTGATAATTGTTTTTGTTCAGCAGCTGTCAACGCTTCCATCCTTTGTTGCAATTCAGCTTCAACTGATGGTAGAGATTCTGCTTTTTTGAGACTTTGTGCCAATTGTTTTTCAGCAAGTTCCAGTCGCTCTTGAAGGGAGTGCACTTTCTCTTCATTCAATCGAACAGCAGCATCTTTATTAGCCAATTGATGTTCTAATTTATCATTGAGATCTCGGATACAAGTTGTTTCTCGTTGTGCAGTCATTGATCGACTTTCCAATGTGTTTATTCGGGTGTCTTGATCATTTCGCTGCGCGTCAAGTTCACAAATTTGATTTTTCAATCGTGTAATTGTTTCTTGTGCCGCATGCATTTCTCGTTGACAATCTGTCAAACTTCCTTCCAGTTCGGTGTTTCTGAAAAGAGAAGGTTGACATTTTGAAAAATTAATGACATCTGCATAATTAAAGGGGGCAGGAAATCTCAAAAGGGTTTTCAAAAAATTAAAAAAAACATTTTTTTTTTTAGAAAATTCCAAAAATCGCCCTCTTTGAACTCACCGATTAGTGACTTCCGATGATTGCTTCAATGAATTCGACAACTCGGTTTTCAACCTCTCCAAAGCTTCTTGCATTTCAATAAGCCGATTAGCGCTCTCGCTGCTCATTGAACCATTTGTCCGCGCGTTTGACGCCTGTCACAAAAATAAATGTCAATTAATTACTCTTTCGCTTTTCCCCCCAACTCACCATAGCTTCTTCAGCTTCAGCGGCAAATGTTGCAATTCTAGCTTTCAGCGATGCATTCTCATCACCTTTCATATTCAGTTCCTCTTCAAGCGTTGCTACACGTTCCATCGCAACTCGCAAACGCTCTCGAACCTTTTCATCAAGAGCTTTGTGATGTTCAAAAAGTGATTTGAGCGCTTTCAAAACTTCAACTTCCGATGAAACACCAGCCGGACTTTGAGCTTGTCGTTTCATAACAGTAACCCGTAATGATCTTTCATGTCGTGAAACTAGACATTCCAAATGTTCCAAAAGTAGTCGAGTATTGTTTCGTTCAGCTTTCAATTCAACAATCTCTTCGTCTTTTTCCAATAACTGCTCTTTAACTGTACATAATTCCCGTGTCATTGTTTGCAGCTCCTAGATAAATTATTCTTATCAGAAGCCATGAATTATTTGAAAAAAATGTTCGTTTTGAGTTGTAAAACTGTCTGATTTATTATCAACAAAAACTTCAGAAATTTATTTAAAAAAAAATATTTTTTTGATCTACCTGAAATTCTGAACTAACCGAAGGTAGATGTTGAGTTTGCATCTCAAACTGTCTCTTCAACATATCTCGCTCTTTTTCCACATCCTTCGTCTTCATTCCAGCTTCATCTAACTGAATTTTATATTGTTCGAGCTGCTCTTGAAGTTTATCGCGATCTTCTAACATATTCATCATAAGCTGAAAGAAAAAACATAAATTTATTATTCCAGTCATAAAAAAATAAATGAGACAAACCTGCTCGATATTTGCATCGTGTGTGGTCTGCTCATCAATCGGACCACCGTGATCAACACCATCTTCAGTTATTGTTGGCATTACATCGCACATCATTGTACCATTGCTCCAACTCATTATGACTGAAAAAAATATTTTTTTTTTTTGATTTACGGCAAATCTAGACCAACCCAAAAATCATAAGGCAAAATTATCCTATTCACTTTTGTTCGCGATTTCAGGCTTCGATCATCTCTTTTCAACAAAAAACCCTTCAAATCTGCAAAAAAATCAATTTTCAACGGCGAAAAAATCAAATTAACCGGAAGGAAATTCGCTGCTATGATAACAAGATTACATACATACACATGTGAAAAATGAATGAGAACTTTTTCTCGAAAACAAAACGACCTTGTTAGAAAAAAAACATTATTTTTGTCCTGCTATATATAGTCATCTAAAAAAAGGTCCGGATGGAATTGGGGCTAACCTACAATTATAAATGTACGAAAAAAAACGCGATGGAAAATGGGAAGGGGAAGGGGGAAAAGCTATCCTATCCCATAAAAAATATGCACTTTCAGAACGACTACAATTGTGAATTCGATAAAATGAAACCCGCCTAAAAATTAGATATTCATTTTCATCTGCTCTTTTTATCGATTAGAAAAAATTGAAAAATTTTTGGAAAAATTCTGCACTACGATTTTTGGAAAAAAACGAGATTTTGGAAAGAAAATTGGACCCAAAAAATCCTTTTTTTCAGTCGGATTTTCAGATAAATTCAGAGAGGGCTGAAGAAATTTGGACCGAGATTTCTCAGAGCCCAAGAATTTCTGGAACTCATGAAAAAATCTGGAATAAAAATAAAAGAACACTCAAAAATATATATGGACTTTTGAAAAAAGAATCCAGCTTTTGAAAAATTGGACCAAAAAAATCAGTTTTTCAGATTTTCAATGGGATCGAGACTTTCTGAAATTTGGACCTAGAAAGTTCCTGGAACTCATGGAAGAAATCTGAAACAAAATTAAAATAAAATAACAATCAAAAATATATATGAAAATCTTTCGGATTCTAAAAAAATCTAGAAAAAAAATAATGTTGCGCATTCTGAGCCAGACAAAAAAAAAAGAGCATTTTCATTAAGACTACACATGTTCATTCATCCTCGAAAAAAAAATGAAGAATGTATGTGAATGTATACAAATAGATAGATATATATATATAAATATATTTTTATGAAGAAAAAGAAAGATGGAACAGGCAGAGAAGACAACTGATTGGTGATTCAAAAAGATAAGAAAAGGAGGATGAAGAAAAGCATCATCAGGCAGGAAGGCGAAAAATACAACATAAAGTATATATTGTCCAGTCAGTCAGTCTACAAAGAAGTAAACGGACGGCGGGGAAAAAGAAGAGGAAGAGCAGAGGCAACAACTTTTTTCGCGAATGAGTAAAGAGAAGGGGAGAAAAACTAAAGACAAAAGAGAAGAGCACTACTATATGTTCGCCACTCTCGCTTCTTCTCCAGCTTTTTCTTTTTTCGTTCCCTTCGAATTACACACTCTACGGTCACTGGCTAACTGAACCAAAATGAGAGGACCATTGAGAAAAAAAAACGAGGGGAGAGAGAAGCAGAGTGAGAGAGATTAGAGAAGCAGAGAGGAAATGCTTGCTGAATCGATAAAACAGAGTGGTGTGGGTGCAAAATGGTGGGAATAGAGAAAAAGAAGAAGATACTACGATTACTAGTAGTACTACGAGAGAACGACGACGGCCATCCAACATTTTTCGGGGTTTTTTTTCGAGGAAAAAAAAGATGGAGAAATAGTACATAGAAAGACTTGCACTTTGACATGTTATGTAATTGAGGAGATAAATAATTAGTGAGTGGTTTTTGATTAAAACTACTCTGGGCTGAATATTTTTAGAAGAAACTTTACAATTTTTCGGGGATTTTAAAAGGTGAAAAATTCAAAAACAAAGGGGATCAGTGACCAGAAAATTCTCTTGGAAATCAAAATTTTTTGTTAAAGATTTTTGATGATTCAAAATTTGATTGCACTTGACAAGTTACATAATTTTGGAGATGTAATAAGATGAATAATTAGTGGGAGTGATTGACACATTTACAACTACAGTATACCTAGAAAATGTAGTTTTCTACCGTATTTCAAGGGTGGTTTTGAACCAAATCATAGAAATGTGATAGAATTTTTTGAAAACTTGAGTTTTCGAAAAATTCTAAAAATAAAAACAATCAATAAAAATTCAGGAAAATATATTCTCAATCAATACTTAAGTTAAAAGTTTTCAAAAAGTTGTAATTCACACAGTGAACACTGTTTTGAAATCAATGTGAATGTTTTGAGAAATTTTCGGGAAGGTCAAGAACCTCTTAGGTTTTTTCGAAGTGAAATTACCATTTTCGAAAAGTTCTATCGGATTTCTCATAAAATTTTCTAATCACATTCAATCAAAATATCAAAAATTTTGAAAATCCTTTTTCCGCCACACTCAAATCAAACAAATAGTTTTCAAAAATCATTGAGTAAATTCGAAAAAAAATCAATTTAGTACTTGAGTTTTGGTTCATTTTTTATACATAAATCAAACAAACCTGATGTTGAAAATAAACTTTTTAAAGCTAATCAGATATTTTCAGAGCTACTAAAATTTGAAAAGTGTTTTATGATTTTCACAACAGGAAAACTTAACTTACAATCAAACTTTCAGAAATTAGGTCAGTCAAATAGAAAAAGGCATCAAAGAAGAGCCGAAAATGATATCATATCTTAAATAATAACAATAAGAAAAATGCGACGAACATTTATGCAACAAAAACAAACACGTTTCATTTTTGTTTCGTAATAACTAACATGAACCAAAAAAAATGACTAATCGTAAAAAAGCAACCCAAAGATGGAGCGAGCGAGCAAGCGAGAAAAACTGCAAACAGAACGAGAAACAAAAAAGTGCAAAGTTTTAGACAAACATAGAGATGACATGAGAAAATATGTATGTAAATTGAAGACTCATTTTATATTACATATTTCATGCATTTGTTATTTCGGGCGCTTTGCGAAGCGAGAAAAGCAGGTCGAAATTAGAAAAATTTGCGGGGCCAACACGAGGAGACGAAGAAAAAATTAGAGATGAAAGGGACGCAAAATGACTAATTTGGTGGTTTTTTTTGTTGCTTTGGTTGAAAAAACATGTATTTTTTGACACAGGGATGCTTGACGTTTTGAAATTTGGCTGGGTTACTGAATTGGATCATCGGAGATCAGATCCCATTTAGGCTTTTCAAATTTCATTCCAAAACTTCTCTAATTTTTAAGTCTGCCTAGGATTACTAGTCTGAAAATGCCTAGGATTAAGAAAGGCTTCAGAATTTTGTAACCACAAAATTACAGAGCCCTCTTCAGCCCCAGCTCCGCCCATAGCTTGAACATTCTTCAAAGGTCTGGTCAATTTCGGATCATTCAAACAGGAAACACATAAAACGTGACAAGTCATTTCGAGCAAAAAAAGAGCTAAACAGAAAATGGAGCAAGAAGAAAAAAAAAGAGGAAAAACGATGTCAAAAAAAAAAACGATTATATATGTGTGGTCCGAAAAAAAGGAGCAAGGGCAAACATGATGGAAAATGAGCTTTGTGCACACAATATTATTACCTTCTTCTTGTTTTGTTTTTTTTTCTATATACATATGTAAAATGAATGTAAAAGAAAAAATAAGGGAGAAAAGGGGGAATATGATTTTCAGACAAGACCGACAAATATTCAATTTTCAGGTTGTTGATTCAATTTTCTTTCGGCGCATTTAAATGATTGAATATATATTGAATGGAAAAAGAGTTCTGTATATATAAAAAAAAATATTTTTGGAGTCTAAAAGCGAGAAAGGTTTCAAATTTCAGTTACAGGATATCTAGATTTTTGATTCAGAAAAATGGAGGGAATATATTCAGATTTCAACTGATGAAAATTTACAAATGAAGTTCACAATTGTGAAAACATTTTCACAGTTTTAAATAAATTTTCGAAAATCCTCAATTCGAAAAAAAACTGAAAAAAAGTACAATTTTTGAGCGAAAAAATCAAACCACAAATGAAAACATAAGATTTTCCATTGTTTTTTTTTCAAAAATCCTCTCCAAATCACTATTATCCCAAAAAATCTCAACCAAGAAAAACTAAATAATCAATATATTCAAAAAAAGTGTCAAAAATAAAACATCCATATGCATATTCCAAGATAAATGAAGTATATCCTCAAAAAATGCCGATTCCGAAAGGGACGCGTGTCGAGACCCTTTGCTAAACAACATGCAAGCGGAGTGTCGTTGGAAAAATTGCAAGGATATGAATTATTTATCCTGAGTGTTATGGGAAGATTTATGGGATCTCCCGGGAAGAATGTGGGGAATTTTTTGGAGTTTTTATTTTTGGTGTGCTGTTTGAGCAAAATTTGTTGTTTTGTTTAGATGTTTTTTTTCAGACAACCTTTTTTTTTTAATTTTAGTCTTTTCAACTTTTTATTGGCATTTTCTGAAGAAATTTTTGAAATTTTCTAGAAGCACAGTGTTTTCTAACAAAAATATTTCCACGTGTAAAAATTTTCAATTTGTTTTATAATTCCTCATGTGAAAATCGTATATTTTAATTGGATGTTGTTTTTATCAAAAATATTCCTGCCCAATCAGACAACTGTAATTTTTGTGGGAAACTTTTTTCTAATTAAATTTCTAAAAAAATTTCTAAAAAATAAAACACGGTAGCTACTCTTTTTTTCCAGATTCAACTATGAAACTTCTCGTCTTAATTATTTTTGCTTTCGCAATCAGCCCAACTTCTGCACTCATCCGAACCGTTTTAATGGATTATTGGCAGCAAATCGAAAAAGAAATCCAACCAACAGATAATCAATACAATTTATTCATTTTTTCTGAATATTCAGAAGATCGTAGAATTGTGCGCAATCATGCAAAATCAAATGAAACATCGCTCACTGTCATTATTCACGAAAACCATTGGTTAAGATTGAAAATCGTGTGCGGAAATAGCTCGGAACCAATGTTGCTAGAAATGCAGGCCGCTTATCGACACCTTCATCTTGTTGTTGATTGTGATTCGTTTCAAGCGGTTTTATATCCACATCGAAAATATGTTCGAGGAGCGCTGATTGTTTTCGTGGTGTTGTTGGTCGCGTTAGTTTTTCTTGAACTAAAAAAATCAATAAATGAGTTAATTTTCAGTATACTTGTCTGGAAGAGGGAAGTTATCAGAACATTAATCACTGATCGATATCGAAAGTCAAGACAGAAATTTGCTATTTTCAAAAATGAACCGGAAGACGGTCAAGACGTCAATTTAGCATAACAACAAGTACAATAGGAACCAGAAGTTTTTATGCATAATAATAATTTTTCATAATCTTGCCCTTAATGCTGTCCCTAATGATCTACCTCTTTAATAAACCTCATATTATGTTTGATCTGAATAAAGTTATTACAAGTTAAAATTCTGTATTTTTTGAACGAAACAAAAATAATTTGAAATCTCTTCTTTTTCTTGTAAAATAAAAATAGATTTATTTGAAACAAATTTAATTCGAAAGTTTGTTTCCTGGTCGAAAAGTATGTAAAAAATATATCCACGTGTCAAAATTTTCAAGTGTTTTTTGTAATGTGAAAATTGTATATTTTAATTGGATGTTGTTTTTCTCGAAAATATTCCCGCCCAATCAGACAACCGTAATTTTGGTGGGAAACTTTTTTATTGTATTTCTAAGTTGGGCTCCAAATTTAAAATTTCAATTTTGTCATCCTCTGAAAATTTCTTGTCAATAGAACTATTTTATACCTATTTTTTGCAACATTTTCAAATATTGATCGAGAAATTCACCGATTTTCCAAGTCAATATCTGTTTTCAATTAATTTCGTAAATTACTTAGATTTAGAAGCTAGTTTACACGGTGTTTTATTGGTTTTTCGAATTTTGAAAACTTTTAACTAATGTTCGAGAAGCTTCCAGAGAAAAATTTTTGATTGTATGAAAACTCGAGTCATTTGAATATTTTGCGGTTTGAGATCACTATATCTGAAAAAATATATCCACGTGTCAAAATTTTCAATTTTTTCATAATTCCTCATGTGAAAATTGTATATTTTAATTGGATGTTGTTTTTCTCAAAAATATTCCCGCCCAATCAGACAACCGTAATTTTTGTGTGAAACTTTTTTTTATTGTATATATATACTAAAAAATGCCTCACAGTAGCATTTCTTTTTCACCTACCTACTCTTTCTTTTTTCCAGATTCAACTATGAAACTCTGTCTCGTTTTCTGCGCAACAATTTTTGCATTTGCAATCACCCCAACTTCAGCAATCATCCATACCGTTTTAATGGATTATTGGGACCAAATCGAAAAAGAATTCAAGCCAACAGATGATCAATACAATATATTCATTTTTTCTGAATATTCAGAAGATCGAAGAATGGTGGCGAATAGTGCGAGATCGAATGAAACATCACTCACTGTGGTTATTCACGAAAGTCATTGGTTAAGATTGAAAGTTGCATGCGCAAATAGCTGGAAACCAAAGATGATCGAACTGAATATACTTACGCGACACCTTCATCTTGTTGTGGATTGTGAATCGTTTCAGGTGGCATCACAACCACATACACATTATGTTCGAAATGCGCTAATTGTTCTCGTGGTTTTGTTGGTTGGGTTAGTTTCACCTTTAAATTAAAAAAAATCAATAAATACTTGACTTTTCAGTTTACTTGTCTGGAAGAGGGATTCTATCAAAACATTCATCACTGATCGATATCAAAATTCAAATGTTATTCCACATGAATTTGCTGTTTATAACAATGCATATGGAGCGAGTCAAGACAATGTCATGAATTTAGCATAACAATAGGAACCAGACATTTTTATGTACATTAATAATAATCTATCCATAATCTTACCCTTTATGCTGTCCATCTACCTCTTTGATATATTTGATCTGAATAAAGTTATCAGAAGTTGATTGTGTTTTTTTGTGAAGCAAACGGATATTTTTCAAAATCTCATGTTTTTTTCAACTTTTTTCCCACGAAATTTGAGTTATTTTAAAGATGTCTGACAAAAAAGTCTCTAACAAAAAATCGATTTATTCGAAACAAATTCAATTCAAAAGTTTGTCTCCTGGTTAAAAAAAAGCTTCCGAAAACGACAAAGAAACACAGTTTCAAACTACTGTACATTCAAGCCACGGTGTTTCTCATTTTTTTTCGAAATTGGAAATTTTCCAACTAATATTTGAGAAGTTTCCAAAAAAAAATATTTGAGAATTCTACTAATTGAAACAAACTCTTTCAAATGAGCATAATTCATTTTTTTTCTCACATCAGGTTCCACCTAAAATCTTAAAATCACAGAAACAGTAATAATTTCATCCCCATTTCCCCCTTCACCACAATGTTTTCCAAGCCAAAAAATTGCTTTTTGACTCATCGTTTTTCCAAATATCCGGTTTCTGATCTACCTACTATTATGTATCAAATAGCCCCACAAAATAAGCCGTGTTTCACAATTTTTTGGCTTACGTCCAATCCTGTGGTTTTTCATTCACACAAAATCCGCGCGCGCGGCTATTCTATTCATCCAACCATTTATCCGCACCGCCCATTTTCTCTACCTTTTTTGTCCATTTTAGTTTAGTACATCCGAATACTACATACATATTATTCTGGTTACCAAACAACCGCCTTTTCAAAGAAGAACGGAAAAAAAAGTGTCGGTCAGTGTCTGTCTAACTAGTAAGGCCGTTATTTACGGAATCGCCTATTCATGGTTTCTTTTCTATTTTTATTACTTCGTAAGTTTTTTTATTTTGAAATGTTGCGAATTTTTGTTGGCAGAGGGTTTTTGGGATCTACAATAAGATTAGGATTTCAGAAAATCAATTCAACCCAGGATTTCATAGGAACTTTTTTTATTTTTGAAAAATGTATATATATTTTGATATCTGGAAAAAATAAAATTCATATAATTTGGAATAGTTTGAGGTTTGATTGTGTAAATTCTGTATGAGAAATTTAAATGAGGATTTTCAAAATCTGGAGTTTCACAATTCGTAACAAAAATATTGGATCCTGAAAATCTTGAATTTCAAATAAATTTGAAAAAAAATTGACAAATTTCAAAAAAATCGGAAAACACAGCATGCTCTTTCAAATGAGCACAACCATTTTTTGCTCAGAATCCACCTTTAATTTTTGAAAATTCATATTATAAACTATAGCAGAGACTTCTAAATAATTTTCTAGATTTTCCGCAACTTTTGGTCCACATTTTCCAACTTCACAAATTTCAAATCTAAAATTTTTCGTATAGTTTCCCCCTTCTCCAATAAAAAATCCACCAAAATCATCCAAAAAGTTGTAATATTTGCATCACCTTTTAGATTGAAATCGTACAAAACTGTACGGTTCCGTTCCATATATTACAGCCAGCAAAAACAAATAAATAACGGTTCAAAATTGTGTGATTATCGAGATCAAGGACATCATCACCAAAATATTCATATAAGCAAGCAATTTTCAATGTGCGCGTAATTAGAGCGTTACACAGTTGTGTGTGTTATATTGACCAACATTTGAGGGGAAAAAGTGAAAACTATAATACAGTTGAACATGAAAATGAAAGAGATTATTGGGGGAAAATACGGGAGAGAGCTGGGTTAATCTACTGTGTTAGCCTATAATCTCAAAAGGAGGGAACAAAGCTTCTGGGGTTTCAAAAAAAAACTTTTTTTTCAGAATCCACATTTAAATAACCTTCAAATTCCATAAAACTATAAAATTTCAGCATTCGTATTTTGCGATGAAAATCAACTGCGACCTGCCGCAATCATTCCATGGTCCCAATATCAAAGACGGCTGAACAAAGCCAAACAACTAGTTCAGGTCCCTTTTCTCCCCATTTTTTTCGAGTTTTTTTCATTTTCATTAAAATGAAGACTCACATCAACCAACAAAAAGCTTTTTTTCATTTTAGAAAGAAGACATTTCCCTAATGAGTTCCGCCGATCCAACAATGAACTCATTTTTTAGTGGTAGCTATGAGAAACCGGAATATTTACCAAAGCATCTGCCAGAGAGGTTTGATAGGATTTTCATTAGCAACAAAAAAAACGAAACGAATTTTAGTGTTGAGGAAAATGGGAGAACAAATAAGATGAGAAATGTGATTCGGCCACAAATTCGAGGACGATTGCCAGCAGAACCATCCGATTTTAGAAGAAAAGAGTTTTTGGAAACAAGATTGGGAAAGTATACAGAAGGTTTACACATAATTTTGTTGGAAAATTTTGATTTTTAAATTTTTTTATTATAGAAATCGATCCAAAACCAACAATTCCACCGAGAATTTCTATGAAAATGCGGCCCAAACAAGAACCTGCTGCAAAAATTCCTGTGAGTTGAAATTTTACAGAGGTCGTGAAGGCGATATTAAACTTCAAAAACTTCTCTTTCAGTCTGTGGCAATTCCGAATGGCGTTCCAATGTATGCAGCAAGTTGGGAGAATGGTCAACCGAGGTATTTGACTGATCGAAAACCGTTAGCACATGCCGCAAATACTTATAATGCAGCAGCTGCGGCGGCACCGCAATGGAGCTCGGTATGATATTTAAAGGGAGGGTAACAGGCCTGTGCCGGACATTTTTTGGTTTTTTTAGTGAAAATTCCATTTTCCGCTTTTTTTAGTTTTCAATATAGCTCAATTTTTGAAAAAAAATTCTGACAATTGTTCAAAAAAATTTTCTGAACTTTTTCGAAATTTAAAACATTTTTTAAGATGTTTTCAGTTTTAGTAACTAGTTAAAAGTAGTTATTAGATTTTCTGTAAATGCACAAATTTCAGGAGAAAATAAGTTTTACGACAAATTTGGTGCTGAAATTTGAAACTTGAAGACTTCAAAAAATTTTTCAGATTCTCAGGTTTTTAAAATACAATTTCAGAGTTACCTTGAAAGTTCCTGAATTTTCAAAAAAATTAAATCTTATATCTAGTCTCAACCCATCCAAACTATTTTTATCAAAATTTCATTAAAAAAAAACAGAAAAAACTCATTTTTCAGCTCACTGAAAATGGAATAAACGCACCAATTTATGAAAAAGCAGTGGATTCCAACATTGTCAGCTCAATATTCTCTCAAAGTCAAGCGCGAACCGGCGCAATTCAATCGCTTCCCCAACCAATACAAACCCAATATTTCGAAAAACTATTGGCAGATGGCGCATCTTTGGAACAAATCACAAAACTTGCCAAAAACCTGTTAGGTGTTGGTGGTGGAGGTGAAAATAGTGGAGGTGGCGGTGGCGGGGGAGGAGGATTGATTGAAGCAATGACGTCAGCGTTGAGAGGTGGACCGTCGCGTAATCCACCAACGAGTTCTGCTGCGCATGATGAGTTGACGCAATTTACATCATCTGCTTCGAGACCGCAACCTTCAATGTTTGAAAAATTATTGAATCATGCTGCGACTGCTTTAAATGATTCACTCAAAAATAAACAATTACAAGATAAAGCTGTTGAAGCGATTGTCTCAAAAAAAGTCGAAGAAGCACCGACAGATGAACTCAAACCAACTGCAAAATTGACAAAAGATCGAGAAAACTCGTTGAAATTATTGGAAAATATGCCAGCCGAGCAACGAAAAATGCTCGAAGCTGCAATTCAATCGGGAGAAATTGACGCGGATTCACCAGCTATTAAAATGCTTGTCAAAGATGATTTGACAGAAGAATCAAAGAAGGAGAAAGAAAATAGGTTGATTGAGTGGATCCGATCAAATCGCCCTTCAAAATCTGCTGAAGTTGTGACAGTTTCAGACAAATTACCATATTATGGCAAATATTTGGGAAGCTTTGCTGAAACAGTAAGTTATAGATATGTAGCTGAAAATTCCAAAAATGTTTCATAAAAATTTCCAGCCAAACCTCAAGAAAAAGTTGCATCCCTCTGGATCTCTTTGGGCTGTGAATGATAAGAAAATCATCATTTCAAAATTTGTTTTCCAACCTGGAAGTTTATTGAATGGTAAGCTCACAACATCAAACTTTTAATTCTTAATATATTTTTTTTCCAGAAAATGTGACCTTCTGGATGGGACCAAAAACTGCCAGCGGAAATATTTTGCAAGACATTGTGCCGTCTGAAAATGGATTCTATGTGAAACCTGTGCCAATTGATATGTCTGTTTTTGTCTTGGAAGAACTTCCGGTAACTTAAATATTCCACAGGCTCCCCACCATAATGTCTTAAAATTCCAGGCAATTGAAGCTAGACCTCGAGAAAATGTGAATTCTGTGAAAATGTTAGCTGGAGTTTTGCCAATCGTTGCAAATCACACGAGAAAACGCAGAGACGTAGAAGAATTGAAACGTAAACCGATTGAATTGATAATGGAAGGAGGTGTTGTGAAATTGGAGCCAGGCAAAAATGATATTCAAAATTTGAAAGAAGATATGGTTTCGGCGATTCCTGCTGGTTTCAGACTTCAACAACCGGAGGATGATCGATTGGATTCAAATGTTGGTTTTTTTCAAAAAAGATTTGTGCTAGAAAAAAATTCATCAAATTTCAGACCCCTCTACCCCTCGACTGGTATGCCGGTTTCCAACCACTTATGATAACTCTCCCCACTTCAAAATCATTCAGTGATCTAAATTGGATTGCACTCCGTGATCATAAAAGGAATGAAACTGTTGCCTCAATTTTACTACCAAATGGTCCACTTTTCCAAGTTCCAAAGGTTATTCAACTACGACCACTTTCACCAAATAACATGGCTTATAATATTAGCTCTGGATCTATACAGGTAAGGGATTTTGAGGTGGAAAGAAATGTTGATGTTTTTTTAGATTATTGATATCAAGACAATTCGAATCAACAATTTTTCATTTTTGTCGGATGATAATTCAGTGTGGTTTATGGTTGGGAAAGATATTCTGCCGAATGTTGATGGACATATTGTTCCACTTTTTGATCCGTTAGTTTTTTTTTACTTTGCAATAGAAATTCAGACTTGTAGAACTTCCGAATTTTATTAGCAGGATTATTTTTAGAATTTCAAAAAGTTTCGATTGCCAATCATTGAAAAAATATCACAATGAAACTGTCACTTTGCGACTACCTGGTAGAATTGATATGAAAGATGTCTTCTGGTTTTCAGGTAAGGATTTTACGATTTTTTTTGGAAATGTTTCTAGAATTTTCTATGGGACTTTGTTTCAAAAAATTTCTAGAAAAATCTCGAGCAATTCACATGTTTCTGTGTCAACAAAATTACCAGACATCTTTTTTGTTCTACCCCTCAAGCCAAATTTCAAGATAAACTTCTAAAATTCTTCTCCTAATCCCTCTCTTCCTCTTCTCTTACCCAATAATTTCCAGTATTCTCAACAAAGCAATTAATTTCGTACTCGCATGTCTATCTACCTTATAATGATATGCAACTCGAACCAGATCTCTCCTCAATACCGGTAAGAATATATAATTATCACAAGCCAAGTGAATAATAAATAAAAATCGGCTTGTTTATTGGCAGAAATGTAATGTCATGGTAACAACCATTGTTGGCATAGTTACAAGTTTCTTTCATTTTTCAGACACCAACGTGCAAATTCAATAAAGCGACAATGTTTTAATAAGTATTTTCATTCAACTTTAATTAATTGATACGGTTTTCACAATTTTTCATGTCTTTTACCTTATTTAAACCTAATATTCATTCTCTTCTCTTCTCCAAAAAAAAATAAATAAAATATTGATTTCGTTTACAACCCACCGCGCGCGCACTGCTTATTGTTTAGCAAACAACAAGGTTAGCGCGCTCTAATGGACAAGGTGTTCGTTCTCATTTGAAATATTATTTTTTTGTTGTTGTTGGTTGCTTCCTATTTTTTTTTCTTTCGAGGGATAAGTTTTGTTGACTTTCAACCTGCAGGTGTCTGTGGGACAGGTGTAGACGAGGATTATCCCCGGGTTTAGTGCCCAGTGGTAATAATAATAATGATTTTGTTTGGGGAGAGTAGGACTTATTTTTTATAATTTCCCATATGTGAAGTGAGTAGATTTTTGGGGTTGCGCCTTTGAAATTTGAGTTAATCAAATTTCATCCTTTTCGAAATTCAGGGTCTTTTGTTTTGCTTAGGTCACTTTTTACAAGCCGCCTCCATTTGTTTTCAAGTAAAAATTTGTGAATCCCGTTTTCTTTAATTAATTTCGAGAAAATTCAGAGACCTCTTTTCAATCTCACTTTGATCAAAGAAGCTAAATTTTTGTAAAATAAGGATTTATTCCCCAAATTTGGTGTCCTTTTCATTTTCCACAACAAAATTTAAAAAAGGTTGAAATAGTCATTTGTTTAGATTTTTCTCATTTCTCCGGTCAATTTTCCAAAAAAATAGCTTTCAACTAGCCGCTTTAAACAATTTTTAAAACAAATTGTTTACACGCAATAAATTTATTTTTGACTCCTTCTTTCTTTTTTCTCACAAATATTTCAAATGACCTTGAAATGCTCAATTTTCAATAAAAACATTGTCGCTACTTTACTAATGAGAAAATTTTTTGTGCTTTCTTTTTAATATATAATAATTGCGTGTTACAATTCTATGGGCGGAGCCCTTAGGGGCTCTATAAAAGAGAAACATTTTCTTTAAATTTTTCGTTTTATCAATGTCTGCTATCTTGTCTTGTCTAGAAAAATAATATTTTTTGGGAAAGTTTTTTCTAGAAATATGTATATACATATTCTGATATCGTAATTGTTTGTTCAAATAAATATTTCATACCCTTCTGAACACGGCTAACTAGCATATTTTTCCCATTTTCCTATTCTCCCCCTGCTTGTTAGTTATGTTGCATGTTTTTTTGTGTGTCCCCCCTCCTCAATGTTCTTCCAGGGGGGTACACTATGCACTCTCCTCCCTTTAACTCGTCGTCTTTCTACTACAACTCAAACTACACTCACAGAACACACACACACACACAAAAAATGGGGGCGGAGCCAATAGGGTAGACGCAGCTATAGGAGAGAAGCAAAGACTAAGGTCGATGTGCCGTTGTTTCGCGTGGCATTCATTGAGAGAAAGGGACGCCGAGAAATGTGGGTTAGAGACGGAGAGCGCACCGAATGTCTTTGGGCGTCTCTCACTCTCGCAACTCTCTCTTCGCTCGCTCCATGTGCACTCACTCATTTCTCTTCTCATTCGCCTATCGCATCGTCTCGCTGTGTTGTGTGTGTGTGTGTATTTTTTTCTTCTTCTTCTTCTTCTTGGCGTTTGCGATTGATTGTAACAGGATTTTCCTCGCGTTTTTCGCAACTTTTATCTTCTCGTGTTATGTTTTTTTTTCTTGACGGCTGATAATTATCATCATCATCATCACCTTAAACACATTGTTCTTTGTTTTCTTTTCTTTTTTTAAAAAAAAGAAAGAATGTTTTGCTTTATGTGTACAAGGTTAACTTATCGATCGATTCATTTTTTATTTATTATCATCACAGACATTTTGATTATAGATGGCAGACGACTCGTCAGACAATACAGAAACACCTTCAGCCGCTCCAACTATTGAGGATAATGATGTTGATGATGTAAAGGGTAATCCATGGGATTCTCCACCACAGGTAAATCATTTCTTTTTTTTGAAAAAAATTCCTCAAAAATACTTTTTCAGAGTCCAGTAAATGGTGTTGTACAGCCTCGAATTCATGCACCAGCCGATAAACCAACAAAACATACAAATCAATTGGAATACCTTTTGAATGTTATACTCAAGGATACCTGGAAGAAAAATATTTCGTGGCCTTTTAGAGCTCCTGTTGATGCAGTTGCTCTTCAAATTCCGGTGAGTTTGAGAATTTTTACTTTAAGTTCCCCAAAATTGGCGTGAGACCCTTAGCGCCTCAAAAAAGGGAGTTAGAGTAACTCAGGAGTGATATTTTTCTCACGAAATTAATTTTATACAAAAATATTATTCCAGGAGTACCACAAAGTCATCAAGAAGCCGATGGATCTTGCCACAATTATGACTCGCGTCAAAAACACTTATTATTGTAATGCACAGGAGGCCGTTGAGGTAAGATTCTATTTCACTTTCCAAATCGAACCTCTTTTTCAAATGTATAATTCAGGATCTCATGCGAATGTTCAACAATTGCTACACCTTCAATCCACCACATTTTGGAGTTTATGGAATGGCCAAACAACTTGAAGAATATGTTTTGAAACGATTGAATGAGCTGCCTGCAGTTGTAAGTTTTTTATTTGTTGCAGAAAAAAAATCAATCAATATTGTGTTTTGTAGGAAGAAGAGATGATCAAAACAGCTGCAAAACGTGGCCCAAAAGGGAAGAAAAATAAGAACATCAATAACGATCCGAATAAGGTTAAAGACGAAGAGCTTACACCAGAAGATAAACATGTGATTGACCATTTTCATCGGGCAACTAGAGCCAGTAAGTTCTCACGAGAATTTTTGGTTTTCCCGATGTTGTTATTCCTCTTGTTGTGACTGTAAATCTGTTTTGTTTTTCCAGTGTCTTCACTTCCCGATGAGAAAAATATCAAACCAACTGATTTGATCAAAGGTATACATTTTTTCCTGATTTTTATCCAATGTAGTTTCATTGTGAATTTGATTTTGTTTATTTTTGAATGAATTTCAAAATTGAAACCAAAATTCAATAATGAAAATCCATGTTTTCAGATTCGCCAAGCCGTGAATCTTCGGTTGTCTCAATTCAGCAAAAAGATGCGGATAGCTCGATTATTGATGGGCAAGAAGATAATGAACCATTGGCTTCAACATCTTCAAGCATTCCGGAAACTGTCGCGACTTCTTCAAAAGTTGGAGTCAAACGCAAGGCTGATACAACAACATTTGATGATGAAACTTCGGCAGCAAAGGTGAGCTTGGATCTTGGCTTTCCAAGATTTTTGAAGATTCATAGGTTTTTTTCAGCCGCTGAATAAGATCTTATTTTTACCCCCTCACTGATAAGAATTTTGTAATATCGGTTCTAGAACTCTTTGTGATCGCAAGAGCCCCAAAATCAATAGAATTTATCCACCTAAAAACACAACCTCACGAAAATCCCCAAACTCCAATCAATATTTCTTATTTCAGATCAATTCACGCCGCGAATCATCACGTCCAGTCAAAAAACCCAACCTATTCCTCGACTACAACACTCCAATGACACCAATCCCCCAAAGAAAAACCAAGTCATCAGAAGCGATGAAGTTTTGTCAAAAATTGCTCACCGAATTGCACTCGCGTAAATATATCGGTTTCATGTGGCCATTCTACAAACCGGTTGATGTTGTCGGATTAGGTTTGAATGACTATTTCGAAATCATCACACATCCAATGGATTTGTCAACAATTAAAAAGAAGTTGGATCGTAAAGAATATGCGACTCCACATGAGTTTGCTGAAGATATCAGATTGGTTGGTTTTGATTTTTCCTTGGGATTAATTTAAATCCTTTTTTTTTCAGATTGCCAAAAACTGTTCAGTGTATAATGCTCCAAATACAGATGTTTATGTTCACGGCGTTGATTTCTTGAAATTATTCGAGGGTAAATTTCGCGATTGCCCAGCTGAAGATGATTATCTCGATATGATTCCACTCACTGTTCAAACTGATTTGAATGACGATGAAAAATTGAACAGCGTTCTATCGATGATTAAAACTGAGCAGAAGAAAGCCTCGGAAAGAGTTGACCAATTGCGTGCACTTCACGAGAAAATGTATGAAACGCTTCTTCATCGACGTGAAGCAAAATTGAACGGAACAACCCCGCCAATTGTCGACAATGCTGTTTTGATTCAAATGGAACGTTTGGGAATTCCAAGCGCTGCGTATTCGTCAAATGATGTGAGTGACATTGTTTTTCGGAAGATTTTGAAATTAAATCTTTTTGTTTTCAGACATCTGGTGATGATATGATATCACCAACAACTTCGGTTCGTTCGTCTTCTCGTGCGCCAGTTCCCAAAGTTTTTGATGATGTTAAGATGGAAGTTTATACACCAAAACCAGCTCCAGTTAAAAAGAGGTATTTTTTTTGTGAAGCCCACTTCCGATTTTTTAAAACAAAAACTTTCAGCGTCAGCCGTCCATCAGTCACTCTTTCTGCTGAAGTTGTCCCCGTCGAACCGCCAAAACTCCCCGATGGAACTGTTCGCAGAGGTCGCCGCCCAGGATCAAAGAACAAGCCGAAGAATCTAGCTCCAAAGAAAATCTACGAGTTTGATTCGGAAGACGATTCGGTCAACCAACCAATGTCATACAACGAGAAAGTTGATCTTTCTGCCAAAATTAGCCGTCTTGAGATAAATCAAGTCAGCGAAGTTGTCAAAATCATTGATGCTCGTAAAGCAAAAACCAACACTGAAATGGCTTGGAATGAAGAGATGGAGATTGATTTTGAGCAATTGGATAATGTTACACTTCGTGAACTCGAAGCATATGTTAATGCTGAGTTGAATTGTCAGAAGAAGCCCAAGAAATTGATGCGTGAGTTTATTTTTTACATTTGTATTTCAAAATTTACCTCCAGAGGAACTTTGGTAAACTTTCTCCAGGAGAAAACATCCTTGATTGTTTCAAAGTTAGTCTAACTCTTTATGTCCCTAGCCTCCCTCAAATATTTTTAAACAATATTCAATTTTCAGCTATCAAGAACCCGGCTGAAGCTGAAAGAAAGAAGCAAGAAATTCAAGCGGAATTGCAAGAATTGAATGCTCCAATCCCAACATTGAATGATATTGGAAAAATCTCGGCAAAATCGTCTGCTCCAGTACCACCCATCAAAAAACCACGTCTTGTATGCTCTGAAAGTTCAAGCTCCGGATCGGATTCCAGTTCATCATCTTCAAGTGATTCATCTGATTCTGAAGGTTAGGATTGTGAACGTTGTATATATATATATATATCCAAAAAATAATACCCGTGAATAACCGTCTTTTTGTTTGTCTTCAAATCAAAGTTGTCCTAAATTCTCTGTAAAGCACACGTAAACTGAACTGAACTGAAAATTGCAATTTCAAATACCTCAAATCTTATCTCCGATCTTCTACAAATTTTTTACAAAAGCATCTGACTTTAATTGCAAAAAAAAAATACAAAATTACCTCTGATAATCATACTTAATTGATTTTAAAATTATTTTATTTATATCAAATGCAATTATCTTTGTTGCATGCATTTTTATGAAAGATAATCTTTCATTTTTTTACGTTTTTTGATCTCTATTTACCCCCCACATTTATACGTGTCATCTGACCGATGTATTGTTTCATAAAATGATTCTTTTTCTACATACAAAATGATTTTTTGATAGGAAATTTGGCAGGTTTTTGGAAAAGGAGGGCTTTCAGAATCTTAGACTTTCTTAAAAATCTCTTCTCTGAATCCCTCTCACTCACTCTCTCAGATATTCCACCACAAAAGTTGATGTTATTATATTTTTTAGTAATAAATTTTTCCATGCAGGTCCAAGATTGGATGAATTGACATCGCGTAAGAAGACACCGTTGCCAAATCGAATGAAAAAGAAGGAGCCAACTCCAGTCCCAAACCCTCTTGTTGAAGAGCCACCAAAGAAGAAAGTTGAACCACCACCGAAGAAACAAGTTGAACCACCAAAGAAGAAATCAGTTTCACCGGTTGCCACTATTTCGAGACCAGCTTCGGTCAGATCTGTGACACGTGAATCAACGCCGATGAATATGAGAAGATCGAAATCTCGTACTGCATCGCCGAAACCTGAATGTGAGTTTGAATTTGAATCCAATTTCGAAGCCTCCCCACAACTTGAAATCTCAAAAAAAAAAATTTCAATTTCAGCGCAAGACAACTCACCAGCTGACATTCTCGCTCGCTCCTATGTCCACCCCAAAGGTCATGCGAAAATTGAGAATATGCCAGTGATTCATCCAACTTTTGACGCCTCAATCTCGATTCTCGATCAAATTCTTCCCGAAAATCTCAATTTGGACGCTGAAAAAATGAAGCGTCAACGAGAGAAGGAGCGTCGTGAAAAGGAGGCGAGAGAGGCTGAAATTGCTCAACAACGACGCATTGAACACAATAAAAAACAACAGGAGAAGGATGAGCAAGAAGAGCAATTGATGTTGTTGCGTCAAGCTGAAGTGAGTTTTGAGATCAGAAAAGATCTTCTCCGAAGTTAAATCAATCGAATTCTCAATTTTCCAGGCTCGCCGTAAACGTCAACTTGAATTGGCTGACACAGTTGGTGTAAATGAGCAACAAGAGATGATGTTCAACTTTGAAACCAACTTCTAATTTTTTTTGTTCCATCGATGCCAAACCCAATTTTTTTATTCACTGAGCAGGATGTCATAATTAATTTTTTTTTATAATTCACTATCTCCTCCTTTTTAATTAAAACTATGTATCTTATAAGAAAATAATTCAATTTTATTATTATTTATTTTTTGTTTCTTTCCAGAACCCCTTATCCTCTCCTCCCACAAAAATTTTAATATTGCCAGGTATTCTCCCCAATTCTCCCACTTTCCCATTGTTTTGTTACCCATTTTTTTTCTAAATTTATTTATTCGTGATCTCACTTTTTATGGATTGTTGTTCAATTTTAATTTTCATTTTAATATTATTTTTTTTTGTTTTCTTTTCCCGTTCTTGTGAATTTATCCCACCACACCACCCCCTTCCTCAAATTGCCTGATAATCTCAATATTTAATTTGTCTTTTTTTTCTTAGCTTTAGTAGCAAGTTTTCTTAATTATGTTTCTTCTCATACACATTGATCTATTGGTTTTTATCCAAATGAATTTTTTTTTGCGAAATTTGAAGGGTTTGATTTTTGTTAGCAGCGCATTTGCTCAGATTATGACATGTTTTTCAGAACATCTGATGTGTTAATAAAAATCGTGATTGGCCGTGTCTTTTGGAACCTCAAAAAACTTCTCAAAAATTATTGAATTAATTTTTTAAAACTGACAAGATTAATGAAAATCTCTAAAAAATAAGATTTCTGAAACATTCTATCTAACCTCCATAAAATTTGAATAATATTTCAAAACAATCTTTTCTCTGTCTTCTTCAAAATAAAAACAATTCATATTTTATTCCCTTTATGAAACCAATTTTCATCGGAAAATGTGCAAAAGGGGCGTCTTGACCAATTTTCCATCGAAGTCTTGAGACAATGAGTTGTTCTCTCATTTTATTTGTTTGTGTTCATTTTCCCCTTTTTCTTTTCCCCCTCTTTTTCTTTCTCTCTCTCTTTATTTCTCCAAAATTTCCTATTGCTAGGTTTGAAAATCGACTTAACATAAGATATCTAGATTTTTAAAGATATTGTTTTCACTTTCTAAATATGTTGGAGAAATACATATAGTATACATACAAAAAAATGTATTTTTTTTCAAAAAAAAAAAAAAAAAAAGAAGAAAAACGCGTTGAGTTCAAATCTATTTTCAATCCACATGTTTGCTAATAAAATCTCCTTTTTTTGCTGCAGACACGACAAAAATCGATATAATCTTTTCATTTTCATAAACATCAATTGTTGTTTTTTTGTCGCTGTTTTTCTCTTCAAACCTTTTATTTGATTAACACAAGTATGGATTATTTTTTCTCTCTGCTTTTTTTCTTTGTGTTTCTTGCACACCAACCAGTTATTCAATGTGTTTCGCAATACCAACTCACATTTTTTCCTTTTTTTCTTTTTTTCAACCAAACACATATTTTATTTTACATATTTATTCAGAAAAACCAAACGAATGGCGAAAAAATTGCAAAGATGAGACATTTTTTGCTGTTGGTGGTGTATTTTTTGTATTTGATTCAAAATGTTCACGCAACCGAAAATCGCCTCGATATGGCCGCTCAAAGAGTGAGTTTTCTTTTTTTCGAAAAAAATCGGGCTGAAAATGAGCTGAAATTGATAGGAATTTTCTTTTTGGCATAACGAATCTTTCACAAAAATTTTTTTAATAATAAAAAATTGATCAAAACATTTTTTAGAAGATTTTTTCGAGCTCCTGAACTCAAGAGCTGTTCTGAAAACAAAATTGAAACTAGAATTTGTCTTAAAAATCTGCCAGATCATATGAACTTAACTTCGTAATTTTCCAGAGAGCAACAAATATCCACCACATGGATACGATTATCTTGTTAACATATGTTTCAATAATGGTTCTGATTGTGCTAACAGCTTGGGCATTCAAACATTATCGATTGCGATTTATTCATGAAAGTGGTGTTACATTGTTTTTTGGTGAGGTTTTGAATTTGATAAAAATAAATTTTTTCTCAATTTCCGGAAAAAAGGTTATCAAAAGGTTTCACCTTTGCTGAAAATAAGTAATTTATCATAAATGATGAATTGCCGGAAATTTGAATTTTTGGGGGTTTTTTTTGATAATGAACTTTGATTTTAATTCTGTAATTTTGACGGAATTTCAGAGCAAAATTAAGCTTGGCTAACTTTTTCCAAAAAAACAAATAAAAAAAAAAATACATATTCAGGCTTGCTTATCGGATTTGTCATCCGATATTTTGGCCTCGGATTACTGGAATCGCAAACCTTCGATGTTATCACAAAAAATCGGACAATCGTCAAAGAACCACCAGATTATTTGATGCTAGAGGTGAAGCCTGAAGGTGGATCAAGAGTTTCATTTCACTACGAGCTTATTGAAGGATTTTTTGCTGACAAGAGAAAACGAAAGGAGCAACAGATTGAGCAAAAGGTGAGGATTTTTGGAACTTTCAGCTGATTCATTTTATTTTCAAAATATTTTTTTCAGAGTGTATTTTCTCCCGAAGTCTTTTTCAATATGCTCATCCCACCGATCATTTTCAATGCTGGATATTCTTTGAAAAAACGCCATTTCTTTAGAAATATTGGGAGTATTTTGGCGATTGTATTTATTGGAACAACCATTTCATGCTTTGGAACTGCGTACGTTTTTTAATTTTTAAATTTTTGTGCACCGGTAATTTTTGAAATAATCTTATTTCAGATTCCTGATGTTTATATTCACCACAATTTTCCGAATGGGCTTCACATTCAAAGAACTTTTGTTTTTCGGAGCTTTGATTTCTGCAACTGATCCTGTTACAATTATATCAGTTTTCAATGAGATGAACGTTGAAGCGGATTTGTTTGCGCTGATTTTTGGCGAATCTGCGTTGAATGATGCGGTTGCGATAGTTTTGTCACAGTAAGTTTTTTTTGAAAATGGATGGAGAGGTTTCAAATATGCAGTTAAAATATCTGAAAAAAATTAGTTTCTGAAATTTTCTCTAGATTTCTAAAAGTAGAAGCATCTCCTCAGATTTCTGGATATTTTTTCGAAATTTTAAGAAAAAATCAGAAACTCCTAGACCTCCAAGATTATTTTCCTGAAGATTCAGAAATCTTCCGGGAGTTTTGAAAACACAGATATTCTAGATGAAAAATCTGATATCCATTTCTGAATTTTTTCCTAGTCTTCTACAAATTTGAGAAAAATTACATAGGCTTTTTATATTTTTCCGAATTTCTAGAACAATCAGGAAAATCTCATAGGATCTCTGGGCCTTCTAAAAAATCTAGAGAAACAATTTGATCTATTTCCAGAGTCATTGAAAATTTCTCAACGGCTAGTGAAGCTATAACATTACACGATGTCGGACAAGCTGTCGCCGGTTTCGGTGGAGTATTTTTCGGCTCTTTGACCCTTGGATTCGGAATTGGATGTTTGAATGCCTTCGTCACAAAAATGACTCTCATCGCCGAACATCCATTGTTAGAAAGCTCTCTATTTGTTCTCATCTCATACATCTCATTTTTACTCGGCGAAGTTTGTGGTTTAACTGGAATTGTATCAGTACTATTCTGCGGTATCGCTCAAGCTCATTATACATATAATAATCTATCAACCGAATCACAAAACAGTACCAAACACTTCTTCCATGTGAGTTTTAAAAATTTTTCTCGGAAGGTTTTTTATTTTGAATTTTTTTTAGATGATAAGTTTTATCATGGAAAGCTTTATATTCTGCTATATTGGAGTTAGTGTATTTGTGACAAATAATCAGAAATGGAACTTTGGATTTTTGCTATTCTCGCTGATTTCGATTACTGCGGCAAGAGCGATGTTTGTTTATCCGCTCAGTTTTGTGTTGAATATAAGAAGACGTCCGCAGATTCCAAAACGGTATAGTTTTTGCGGATTTTTGGAGGGACTGAAAAAATGTTTTTAGAATTTGAATAGTTTTTCATTAATACGAAGATTTTTAAAAAAAATTATGTTTTAGAAAAATAAAGGGATTGAAAAATTTCTGAAATTATCTGCAAAAATAATACCAGAAGACCGATGTATTCAAAATTTGTATTTCTAATCATCATTTTCAAGACGGAACATTTCGGAACTCAAATTTTTTGGAGGTTTATTTGGTAGAATCTTGAATTTCTACTGAAAAAAACAGCTCAAATTTCCATATCCCTAATAAAACTTTTTTTGTTCCAGATATCAACATATGATTCTATTTGCTGGATTGAGGGGAGCAATGGCATTTGCATTAGCAGCAAGAAATACAGCCACTGAAAATCGTCAGATTATTTTTGCCACAACTACTGCCGTTGTTATTTTCACAGTACTCATTAATGGTGGTTTAACTGCGTGGATGATTGATTATTTGAAAATCAAGTGAGTTTTTTTTTCTTTTTGAGCTAAAAATAAATATAAATATAAAATATAAATGAATCACGAGGAAAAGTGCAACCCTTAATTAGCGGGGGATTTTAATTAGGGTTTGGGTTGAAAGGAGAAGCTCTGAAAAAATTGGAAATGGAGAAATTTGGAAGTTTGTTAGGGGTTGATTCACTGATTTGAATTTTTAAAAAATTTTCCAATTTTCAGACACGGAAAAGATGCAATCGAAGAAGGCCAGCGGCTCGAAAGAGGCATGAATAATCTAAATCAATCTGAAAATCCAGACGATCCAAATGTTCCAGTCTCAATGGCCCCACCCGGCCTCAATCCTTGGGATAAAGCTTTCCTACCCAGAAAGTGGTATCATTTTGATGCAAGGTTGGTTATACAAATTTCAGAGATGCCTCTAATTCAAGAAAATTGTTTCAGTTTCATGAAACCACTTCTGACACACGCTACACCATCCCTCGAACAAACTCTTCCTCCATTATGTCTACCTCTCACTTCATTGCTCACTTCGAATCGTCAAAAAGCGGTGAGTTTTTCTAAAAATATTATTTTTCATTTTGTATTGTGCTGTGCTATTGTTCAGGGTGAAACTTCTACACCATTCGAGGATTCGGATTAGATGTTGTTGTGCCTATTTCTATTGCACCTTTGTTGTTTTTTCTCGTACTTTGTTTTGATATCAAGTAAGCTTTGTTTGAATTTGGAGTTTTGTAGGGAAAAGGTTTTTGTTGTGCCGTGCAATTTTTGAGGCGTTTCAGCCAAAATTACGTTTCTACATAAAGCTTGGCTGAAAATCGAAAACCAAGGTTCAGATTTGCATTTAAAAATTCAATTTTGACATCTAAGAAATTCTGAAAATTTTCATAATAAGCATTTTCAGCCAATTTCAGTTTGAATTCTTACTAAAAGATCTAATTTTGAAATCTGAGATTCTGGAAATCAACCATCTGGGCAATCTGGATTTCAGCCAAAGTTTCGTTTCTGAAAAAATTTCGGAAAAAAAATTGACAATTGAAAATCTACGTTTAGCTTAAAGTTAAAGTTTGACTGAAAACATCAATTTTGAAACTTAAAATTACAGAATCATTTCCCAAATACTGAAAGTTTGAAATCAAGTATAATAAGAATTTTCGGCCTATTTCAGTTCGGATTCTGACTGAAAAATCTAATTTTTAAATCTGAAATTCATGTCAGAATTTCTGAAAATCAACCATTACAAAAATATACAAAAAAAATCTACGACCCCCAAAAAATTAGCTGTTCAACTGCCTCAAATTTACCTATGTGATGCACAAAAAAAATGTTTTAGCTCACAAACTCCACCTTTAAATTGTTTCTCCACCCTGTATTTTCAATTTCCAGGGTGCCTTCGAAGAGCCATATAATACAGTTGTTCAATCGGGCTCAAATGTTGTTGATGGGTCTGCTGGTGTTTCGGAAGAATGTGTATAAATTTGATTTTTATTTATTTTTGTCTTCTTCTCACTTGTGAATTTTTTCCGGTAATTATTTAAATTATTTTTCTTTTTTTGTAGGTTTTTGTCAGCTTATTTTTGTGATTCTTACAATTCCAGTTTCATCTCAATTGTAAATGTGTACCAGTACTTATGCTTTATTTTTTTTGAACATGATGAATATTTTGCTTGAACATCTGAAAATTTCCCAAATTCAACGTTCTGAATGAGAAACTGAACACAAATAGTGTACAATATTAGAACATCGGTTGACTGAACATTATTTGCATCTGGTTTCCTGTTTTTTTGGCTGCTCTCCTAATTTCATACATGCTCAAGACAACATAACAAACATATATCCGTTCCTGAAATCAACTTGATTCTTAATCTAATTTTTTCGAAACCCCTTCTGACCTTGTTGGTTGGATTTCGTATTAACAGCAAGTCTCGCCTTGAAGGCAAAAAATGACCAATCCGCGAATAAAAATGAAAATAAAATAAAATAACACATTTCATTTCGAATGACCATTGAAGCGTATGATAATTCACAAAACATTTTTCATCGTCTTTTTTTTCTTATATATCATAAATGCTTTTGAATGTCACACAGTCAAGAAAAAAACATAGGAAAAAAAAAGAAGAAGAAATTTGCATGGGTATTTCGGGTGATAGAGAAAGCAGAGAATTTTTCAGAGAAGAGCTGAGATGGCTCAGAAAACACCGTGAAACTTTAAAGCATAAGAAGATTCTAATAAAAATGCTCCAGAATATTTTTTTAATTTTATTTATTGAAATATGTTGGGGAGCAAAAATGTTGTTTTTGTCAGACATCAGCTTTTAATTTCAGGTTTCAATAGAAGTTTTAAATTTATTCACAGAAATAATAATTCTTCACAGAAATTTTGAAAATTTTGTAAAATTAATTTTCCACAATACAAAAAAAGATTTTTTCTGTGAAATAATCTTTGAACACATTTCTGGTATACTCCAACTCAAAAACATTTGTAAGACTTTCCCAAAAAGTACCGTAGGGGAACTTTATTAAAGAAAGGGATTTCCAGGCATCTTCCTGATATTTTCAGAATCCTCTTCCCTTTTCAAAAAGCACACGGCACAGTCCAACAAAAAGTCACATACATACATGTAGCGGCATAAATTCGTGAAGCGGAATAATTCGCATTTTGACTTCCGAGCTTCTTCATTTTCTTTGCCGACGTCTTCTTTTTTACAGAGTCTCCTACCACACCGAGGAATTTTTCAAGAAAAATGCATTTCTTCTGCTCGTTTCCTTTGTTGTTTGGAATAGAAACTACCGTAGTTCTTTTTTTCGCTTGTTTTTCTTGTGGTCGAAAATAACTGATTTTTATTCATTTTTCCTGGAGTGTGTTTTTTTGAGGAATATTTTTTTCTCGATGAAAAACTACAGTAATCGGTAGGATTGTGATGTTTAAAGAGACAAGATATCAAAGATCTAAAGTTCTGGGAACTTGAAACTAGACAATATAAAAGTCCAAAAATAAAAGATCAAAAATATATGGATCCTGGAAAGAATTATTGATTTGAAAGGATTACAGAAGAATTTGAGAATAGAACCAATTGAAATTTGATCTGAAAATAAGTAATAAAAATTTTCAGAAATCTTCTCAAAAACTTGGCAAGAAAAAATAAATGTTTCAGATTTTATAGATACTCGAAAAGATTGATTAGATTTTCATGAGCCTATTTTTAAGAGCACAGAATTGTGGCTCCAAGGTTCAAAAAAAATGTTTATTGATTGACTGTAAATGAGCACAGAACTTCAGAAAAAAAGGCCAAAAGCTTAGGCTTAAAATTCACAAGTACGGTATTCGCTGTGAAAGCCAAATGGGAACGGTTTCAATTTTGTTTAATGGTATGGTCTCGGAACAATTTGAGAGGATATACAGTACTCGGGTGATATTAGACTTGAAGTTCTGGAATTTTTTCGAAACATTTCTGAAAACGATTCAGAAAATCACTTCGAAACTGATAAAATAGCCAGTTTCAGATCAAATGATAGATTAAATAATAATCCAGGCTCAAAATCAGCTCTGAGCAACACAAAACAAGTGCACAATCTAAATTACATCTCCAAATCCGATAATCCGGGCAAAACTAGCTACCAACAATTGTCATTCTCATAATTATTTATAAGTCAACCATATTCTAACACCCAAAACAAATCCACCTTTTCTCTTCAATTCAACAAAAATCGCCCCTATATCCATTCACTTCCCTATTATATACAACAAATTGTACATCTGTCTGTCTGTCAGAAGAGACGTGACACCTACATTCATACTAGTTGTGAATTACTTTTGCTTGCTGCCAGCCTCCATCAATAATCCATATAGTATTCCTCTTCCATAACTCCGCCCTTATTGGAACATGATTGGCCAAACAACACATTGAATATGAGGCAAAACGAGGAATAGAAGAAGTTTTGAAACGTTTTCCCTCACTTCTCGCATCTACTTTATTAGAGACCTTCTTGTTTTTCATTTTTTGTTGAAATTTTTAATTGCTTGCTCTTTGAATCAAATACATTCGATTTCAGATTGAGTACAACCTGAATAGGTGAATAAAAACGTTCGAGCGATCTACTGGAAACTGAAGCGTTGTCAACCGAGAGAGAACGTGCGGTCGGTGAGTTGTAAAATTATTTTTTTTCGTTGAAATGTGGAATATTGATTTGGTACTATATGTGAGAATACATTCTCATTTCGAAAAAAAATACTTGATTTACTAGTATTCCTTTGAGTTTTTGACAATGATTTTCATTTTCAAGTAAGGTTTTGAATTTATTATATATCGATGAAGTTCCTTGAAATTCAGAAATGTGGGAACCAAAACAAAATTCATTTGAAGAGTTAAGGTACCTTGAAGCCCTAAATTTTTCTCGAAAATCCCAGAAAATTATTTCATTTTCAGAAAGTTTATGGGACACTTTTTCAGACATTTTCAGCAGAGTTATTAAAGATAATCTTTGAAAAATGAAGTAACAACTTTTTTTAAGATATGTTGAACTTTTCCTTTAGAATTTTCAAGACTAATATCATCTTCCGGTGATTTTTATACCAGATTTTATGATTATGAAGCTTCATAGTTCATAACGCATTTTCAACTTTCTGGAATTTTCTGAAACTTGACTGTGAACATTCAATTTTTCTGTTTTCAAATTATTAGGAAGACTGATTGAAATTGTAGTTATGATATGAACTTCAACTTATACTTCAAAGTTCTGTGAGACTTATAACATTTGTGTGATTTTTTTCAGATTATAAGCTTTCCAGATATGATCAAGCTCACATACCAGAATCTGAATTTTCATTTGATTTTTCCTTCTATGTACTCTAGTTTACAAAAATCTCCGTATCCAAAAATTCTGTGAGACTAATTTTGTTTTCGTCAGAGTAATTATTTTGTGAACTTGAATGACAAGAGCTTTTTCCAGAGCCTGAATTTTTCAAACCTTTTTGTAGCTTGAATTTTCCTTTTGCTCTAGATTTCTGAAAAAACCCATATTCAATTTAATATAGCTGAAACTCAAGCAAGTCTTGCCACATTTTTTTGAAAATAAACTTTCCAACAGGATCTTTCTATATTTCACAACATCTATTTTCCAATCGTAAGATACACATATAAAATCAATGTTTTCTTCCCTTGCAAAAAATCTAGAACAAAATCATACTAATATGTAAGTACACAACCAAAATAAGAAGGCAACCTTCATTATCTCCTAATTAGTGCATTCTTCTTTTCTTATTAAAATTCTCTGCCAGTTGTTGAGTTTTGATTTTGCACAAATTCAGAAGAGCGTGAATATTAGACACTTTTTCTAGAATTTGAATTTGAAATTGAAGTATCGATTTTAAATGGGTCGCAAACGTGAGTTAGGGGCTTTTGGGGAGTAAAAAAAATATTTTGGAACCTGATCTAGAGTAAAACTTTTGGTCTCCCAGGATTCTTTTTCGGAAAATACGTGGCCCAAATTTCAGAAGCTTACTGCTGATCTTGAAAATCTCACAACTACCAGCCGCAAAGTGAGAAGAGCAAAAAGCTTTCTCGAACCCTCTAATTCAGACAAAAAAAAGGAACTTTGTGAATGAAAGCTGTTATTTAATGTCACCAATACATATTATATCCCACCACCACACTTTTTTTTGCCTCAATCAATCCGTTTTATTTCATTTCACACGCTCCTCTGTTCTTTTTTTTCCAACATTTCGTTCGCTTTTCAAAATTGACACCCATTAAAAGGTTCGCCAACCAACCAGCCACCCACCCGCTGTTCGTTTTTGTGTTGATCGAAAAAGTGAAGGAGAATGTCATAACTGTTGTGTTTGATTGGGTCTTTGTTCGAACACATTTCTACAAGTAATCATTTTCTCTTGGCCTCGTGTCCAAGTTTGGCGTTTTTTTTTGGGTGGTTGTTGGAAAAAAAAATTTCGCCAAATGGCAATGATTTTTATCTCAAGAGCAACTAAAAAGTTATTAGGTTTTCTGATTTTTTTGAAAGATTATTTTATGAGCATTTTCATTTTGTTTTCTAGAAATTTTTGGAAAAATTCAGATCGACGTTCTGAATTTTCGATTTATCGGGCTTCAAAAACTGTAAATACTGTAGATTTGTTGGGAGTTGAAAAATAAATTCGAGCCGGATTCTTGAATTTTTAAATTTCAAAGCCAAACATTTTGTCAGTCTCAAGTTATCCCAACTTCTCAAAATTATCTCTGTGGGCTTTCTCTAGAGCCATTTTTTTCCAGAGCTTTCAGTGTGAGAGAGCTTTTACCAAATTTTGTAGTTCTCAAAATATTTCAAAAAAAGATTCGGGTTTTCTAGAATCCCCCTTCAACAATCCCGTTTCCATTTTTATTTTGCTCCACAAAAAGTATTAAATCAAAACCCCATAATTTCATTACCTTCTCACAATATTGCACAATACCTACCGTATGTCTTTTCTTCTCCTCTCACTTCCGACAAAAACAAAAAAAATTAGCACATTTACTTCCCCTACCTGTTCAAACCCATCTATTAAACACATGTCATTTCGGAGTTGGAGCTAATTAACAGATTTGTTCTCTCTCGGTGTCGGCTTCCATTTTTAGAAGCTAGGATTAGTTGCAAAACAAAACATATGTTATGTTAGTTTATGGGTCAATCAACAATTTTTTGTATTGTTCATTTTTGGGCCTTTCCTGTTTTTGTCGAGAGAAAAATGATGGGCTCGATGAGCTCGGCTCAATGAATTTCACGGTGATATGATTAAGACACATGACGCATGATTTTGCACTTTTTTAGAAAAAAAGTGAGAAGTGCAAAGTATACACCTACAGTATACCTAGGGGGGTAAAAATAGATTTGAAAAATCTCAAGAGCATCGGGAATCGAACCTGAGACCCTGGGATTGACAGCAACTCCTGAGCTACCTACTTTCCCAAAAAGTGACCGTTTGATCTACTGAATTTCCTGAATTCTACAGTATACCAAAACAAAAATGCATTCTGGTATTATAACTTCAAAACCTCCCAAAATCCATTACCATAATGGATCCGCCAATTTTGGGCGCATCTCTTTTTTCTTTCTTTTTTTGTTGTTACGGTTTTGATATCCAACACCATCTATTGTATTCACTCTCTCATTATATAGTAATAATAATTTCGCGCAGGCACCAACCATTTTCTAATTAGACAGAAAGGTAAAGGAATTCATAACAAAGTTGTTTCGGGGGAAAAGAGAAGGAGTACTGTAGTTTTTACAAAAACCTTCACTTTTTGATTGATATTTGTATGTACAAATTGTGGTGAGGGAAAACTAGATGAGAATGAAAAAAACTACTGTAGGTTTTGGGGGGAGCAGTTTCTTATTTTTGGGGGGATCACTTTGTGAAACGATTCATTAGCCGGACCATCTGGTACATTTCAATCGCCTCTCAAATCCTTGTTGTTATGGGGTGTCATTCACTGAGCGTTTTTCTTTCTGATGCAACAATTTTCAAGTGACTAATACTCTCTTATTTTTTCTTCGCAGTCACTTATTAATATGAACACATCATGATTGATTGAGGAGCAAAAATATGTTCGGTGAGTGAGATGATTAATTAGGAGGAGGAGGAGGATATTTTAATTAGGAAGTTGGAAAAAAATGTTGGACAAGGGAACTTTTCTGATGAGAATTGCTAGAATAAACTCCAAAATCTGAAAATTTTCAGTAGTTTTTTATCGAGTTTTCGAATTTATTCCTCTAGTTCCAAACTGAGTTCTACAAAAAAAATGAAAAATTTGAACTTCATATTTCTCCAACACAAATCTCTCAAAATAAAGTTCATTAGCCCTTTTTCTCATTTCCAGTCTGCCTAATTAGAAAAAATCTTTGAGAAAAACCCACAGTTTTTTCTCAAGATTTTGTGATTTTCCGAGCCCTTAGAGTTTTCAGAAATGTTAAGAATCATTTTTTGTCAAATCCTGAAAATTCAAAATTTTTTTTGAAAAATTTAAATTCTGGCTTGAATTCAATTTTTTCCTGAAACTATTAATTCTTAAATTTCTGATTTTTTAATCTTATTTTCTCTCAAAAAACTTTTCGAAACATTTCTGGAAACATTTTTCAATCTTGAAATCCAAAACTTCAAAATTATTATAGAAGGTGGAATCTGAGCAAAAAAAGCTGTTCTCATTTGAAAGAGAATTTTCTAATCAATACAATTCTTGAAGGATTTTTTCTGGAAGCTTCTCAAGCATTTGTTGAAAAATTTCAAAAAAACAGTGACACACCGTGTAAAATGGCTCGAAAATTCATATATACAGTAGTTTGGAGCTGTGTTTTTCTAGGAGTTTTGAATTTTTGAACTTTTGAATTAAAACTTTATTGATTTTTATGTCAGACTTCACCTTTAAATTTTGTGTTTGTAATTTTTAAACCAAGGTATTTTTCTCGGGCGGAAAATCTGACATTTGTCAGAAAGATTCTTCAATCTCAAGTTATCCCAACATTGTAGGAAAATTCCAAAACCCTTTTCCTTATCAAAAAAACTTTCTCGACACCCATTTCATATTTCCCAAAACATTATCCAACACTTATATAACAATTGTTCACATATTTGTCTCTCCTCTTCCCCCCCAAATACTCTTCCGGATCTCACAGTTACCTGCCTGCCACTACTCATCAAATAATTGTCATTACCGGACGCAATTATCGTGTCCAACCTCTACTCTATCAGTACTTGATCGACACAATAGTAGATTCAAATCTTTTATTTTCCGTGTGTATTTTTTATCTGATAGGAAGTCCTTGTTGGTTAAATAATAATCCTCGATGGTCCTTCTCGAAAAAAACTGTCACTATTTTTTATGGTCCTTGACTGCTACTTTTGTTGATTATGCAATTCGTATACCTTTCTTTTTTTTCTCGGGTTTTCAAGTGAGATTTGATTCGCTTGATTGATTTTTTCTTAATCATGTGCTCATTAGTTTAAAATTTTTTATAAGAACGTCATTAGAACTTTTTTTCGCAGCCTACCTATTTTTCTTCTGAAAAAAATATTCTGCAATGCTTATTTTGGACACGAATTTGAAAAAACGTCTTGAAAATTCTTGGATGGGTAATTTTTTTGAATGATTAATTGTTATCAAATCAAACCCTAGAATTAAATTGTTTTCTGTTTTTCTTGAAATTTAATTTTTAAAATACTGTGTTGGTTTGGTGAAGAAATTGAGATTAGCTCAAAGATCTTCAATTTTTCCAATTCTAGAGTTTGCTCAAAACTGCTGCACTTCTGCGCAAATTAGCCCGAGAAATCAATAAAATAGTTGAAAATAAATAAATTTCAAAAAAAAGAAAAAGACATGCAAAAAAAGAGGGAGAGAAAAACGAGAGTGGGCGGAGTTGACTACGGTAGATGAAATGTGTTGTAGTCCAATAGGAAAAGAAGACATATGGCATGAGACACTCAGGGGGTCTCCAAAGCACTTTCTATAGTTTAACTACCTTATATAGGGGGGTAACAAAATGTATTTATTTTTTTTCATATGTGTTTGTTGCAGAGCTGAAAATTTTAAAAAAATTTTGAAATAAATTTTAACTTTTTTAAAAATATTTTTTCCAGGTCTCTCGTTGACGCGTGCTCGCGTTCCAAGCGTTCAACGTATGACAGTGGACGACGATCAAAATATTCCAAGCAAAATGCCTGCTGCCGGTAACTATGAGAACTCTGAAGGTATGTTTTTTGGAGGGTTTTTCTGAAAAACGAAACAAACATGAAATTTGTCACGCTTTGTTAAGTCGTCGTTGTTGGGGGGAAATAGAAGGGAGAGAAGAATTTGCTCAATGAGCCGGGATGAAACTCGGAAGCCTGCCTTTCAGTTCCACTGATTTTTGAGAAAACATATCTTGTCTCTTTTATTTTTTCTCTATTGATTATTCCTACTTGTTTTTTTTTCTCTCCTAATTTTCTGAATTTTACATACTTCAATGAATTCTGATTAAATCAATATATTCTGTCTTTTTATTTTTATTTTATTTTACCAATTTTCTGTTTAAAACTTTTTTATTCATACTGAAGCTATTTTTTCTTGAAATTTAGCAAGCTGAGTTTTTAAAATTAAAAACTTCTGATTCAAAATTTCCATTTTCAGAAAAAAAGTTTCATTTGAAATTTTTTTTTGTTGAAAAATGAATCAAGCTTAACTTCTGAAAGCTAAAATTAAGTTTTTTGAATAACTTCAAGCAACAAATATTTTTATATGTATAAAGTTTCATCTTAATTTTAAAAATTTCAGAATAAATGTTCATTTTCATTCCTTTTTGAGATCAATATTTTCATCTGAAATTTTCTTCTGAAACAGTAAAACTTTCGAGCTAAATATATACTTTTCCAATTTTTCCAACCTCTCATAAAAAAATTCCTGTTTCAATTTCAATTCCCATTCATAATTGATTCAACCTTCCAAAAAATGTTGCCAAAAATTTTATTGATCCAAAAAAAATATTCCAACAATAAACAAAAATTTCTCAAAACAAAAAAAAATCTTGCACTCTTCTTTCCAAGTCGCGCGTTTTTTTCAATTTCCACATGTACAGTACCCATTTTTATCGATTCATATCATATTGTTCATCTTGTTTCGTTTCGATTGTGACTGTATGTTGAGAAAAACGACTTTTTCTTCTTCTTTTCGTTGAAAATGCGACAAAAAAGAAAACGAATATATAAAATGGGAAGAAGAAGCAAAAAAAAAGCTTGAAATCAAAAAGGAGATAGATACATATAATCTAGTTGCACGAATCTTTTTCAAATTGCTTTTTTGACGCGACAACAATTTGAATTATCTTTCTTGAGCTTGGAGAAAAAATGCAATTTTTTTGTTGTTTTTTTGGAAAACACTTTGGAAATTTGTGAGGAAGGGGATCCCTGATTTTCAGAAATTCTGAACCTGATTTTTCAACCAAAAATAGAATAACTTGTTCTAAAATCAAAGATTTTTTATGGAAGGTTCTCATATATTAAAAAAATTCAAAGTTCTAAAAAACAGTGAAACACCAGCTTGAAAGTCCAGATTTACAGTAGTTTGGAGCTGTTTTTTCCGATTTTTATAAATATTTTAAATAGCTTTTTTTTAAACCAGGAGACCAATTTTTGAATTGAAATTGATTCAAATAAATCAATTTTTAAGTTAGAATCCACTTTCAATATTGCCCCAATTTTTTGTGGTTCAGTTTGAACTAAAAGTCTGGTCGAAAATTCTCAAATACCTCTCTTGATTCCAAAAAAAATTGAATATTCAAAAAAATTGTGTCAAAAAACGACCTCGAACTTTTTTTTCTGCGTGCGAACATTGGTGTCGAAAAAAATGTTCATCCACCAAGCCGCAATGACAGTTCTCTTTTAGCCTCATAAAAATAAACGGTTATTGTCGTTTTCGTCACCAAAAAAAAAACGTTTTCTTCATCTTTTCTTTTTATTTCTATCAACTTTCAAGGGATGAATTTTGAAAAAGACAAGGCAAGAATTAAATATCATGTTGCTCTTTATTCTTGTGCTCACATTCAATAATAATTTCTTCTTCTTTTCTTTTCTTTTTTCTCGAGCTCAATTTCACACCTTTATGAGCACATAGGAAGCGCGACCCTTTTTATTTTCATATATGTATGAAATAAATTGTCACAATGTGTGTGTGCATAAAATATTGTTTGGACCACTTTAGCATCACAAAAAAAATAGAAAACTAGAAAAAAATAGGGGGACTCTAATTTGTCTGATAAACATCGATAGATATATTACGCAATTATTATTATTTGGCTTCCAACAGAGTGTTTTGAGTGACAGCCATATGTAGATGAGAAAAACACAACAGAAATACATAGCAAAGGTATTTTTTTATTACACCGACTCGCTAATAGTTTAATTCCATGTCGGGAGAGCTTAGTTTTGCAAAAGGCAGCCAAAAAGATTAGTCTACCTCCTATTGCGCAATTATGTAAAGGTACATAATAATATTGTAGCTATTTATGTTAGGAAAATATTTGCTTTGAAAGGTATCTAGGAATGTTTATGGAAAATTTTGTAAATTAATTAATCGATAATGTTTTATGAAAAATATTGTTGATCTAATCCAGAAAGTTTTTCAAAAATCGATAATTTGAAAATTTGTTTTTCAAAAAAAAATACAGTATAACAAATATTTTCCAGATCTCAAAGTTTTAAAAAATCGATAAATTCTGATATATCCTACAGCAATCTTGTTTTAAAAATTTTTAGAATCAAAAATCCCATAATTTCTCTTGGAAGATTGTGATCCTTTAAATTTTTTAAAATCTTTTGAAAAATCTTTTAAAAATACAACAAATTTATTTTAAACATTTCAATACCGTTGTTTAATTTCACAAATTCGAAAAACGTTGTTCATTCCCCGATTTAACACAACTCTCAAAAAAATCAATAAATCATTCTCTCTCCCTCTGTCTCTACAGTAATCCTCTCCCCGACACTTTCATCGCATAATCCAATTAATTTTTTATCTCACTATCAAAAATCGATTCTCAATTCTCAATTCTAACTCCAGAAACAAAAAGATAATTAGAGGTTCTATAAAGCAACATCCGGCTCGTTAGAATGAGACACTTTGGCTCACTGACCCGTACACAATCATTGACCAAATCTGATTTGGCTCTCCCTCTCTCTCTTGTTTTTGTTTTGTTTTGGTTTCCCATAATTGTTACAACATATTTATATAGTAACAATAATAATAATTACAAATTTTACAAACAATACGAGAAAAAAAAAGTTTCAAAAACAAAAAATGTTTTTACAGATGGCGGACACACTGGTGTCAATCAACTTGGCGGAGTTTTTGTCAATGGCCGTCCACTTCCGGATGCAACTCGACAAAAGATTGTCGATTTGGCACATAATGGTTGTCGGCCTTGTGATATTAGTCGTATTTTACAAGTTTCAAATGGGTAAGAGCACGGAGTATCAGAGAAGGTGATAGAGACGCAGAGGTGCCTGCGTCTCTCACACTCTCACCAAGAAGAGTACTGTACTTTGATTAGCATCAACTCAATTTGATTCGAGAAAAAAGTTCAAAATGATTATGATCTTTTTGTGTCAATTTTTTTAGTGACTTGATGTAGTTTTAAGATATGAGATACCGTACCTAGTGGACTTTTAGATTAGGTTTCAAAGTACAATAGCTAGCTAAAAAGTGGCTTCAGGGGATCTGGAAGGAATTTGTAAAGATCATTCTGTTAGGGTTTTTAGGAATCGAAACTTTCATGAGACTTTGAGCCAAAAAATCTATTAAACAATTTTTTTATCCAGATGCGTTTCAAAGATTCTCTGCCGATACTATGAATCTGGAACCATTCGACCGAGAGCAATTGGAGGATCTAAGCCAAGGTACATCAAAACATTCATCAAAATCTAAACACAAAAATAATATTTTTGCAGGGTAGCCACAAATGATGTAGTTGAAAAGATAGAAGAGTATAAACGGGATCAGCCAAGTATTTTTGCGTGGGAGATTCGAGACAAATTACTGACTGAAAATATTTGCAATGCTGAAACTATTCCGAGTGTGAGTGAAGTTTTCGTTGAAAGTACTGTACTGTAAACAAAAATTTCGCTGAAACGGAAAAATCCAAGAAAACTAAACTCCTCCCCACAATTTGTCCTTTTAAAAATAAAATGAATGATAAATACTGATTACAGTTTCAGTTTTTATCATGTCAACCAACCCATCTTCTTTCTTATTTCATCTACAGTACTCCCCGCCAGTTGTTTTTTTTTGTTCGTTCAATTAATGTTGATTGCAGGTTTCGTCAATTAATCGAGTTCTTCGAAATCTTGCCGCTAAAAAAGAACAGCAAGCAATGCAATCCGAATTCTACGATCGATTAAGGATTGTCGATAATCATTTCTCGTAAGTGGCAGTCCCCAGGGACCAACATAATGAAAAAATACTCGCTTTTGCATCTTCTCAAATTGTAAAAGCTCGATTGTAAAGAAGAAAAATCATATATACATATATATATATATGTATGCACTAAATGATTTAGAAATGCCGCAATACTTTTTTTATGATTTAATTTATGCAAAAATTCAATTTCTTCCCATGCACACATTAGCTAGAAAAAAAAGGAAAAGAAAAAGAGAACAAAACGTTTTGAATAACTACTGTAATAATGTTTGTTTTTCGATATAATACACAATGGTATAATCAATGGACAATGCCAATGAGTGGAGCTGCGGTTGGTTTGAATTTTGCGCAAGTTCAACAACAAGCATTGGTTGAGCCGAAGAAGGAGGGCGATGAATTTGACGGTTAGTTTTGGCGCACTTTTTTTTATTACACGTTTTTAGAAAGGGTTTGAAAGGTTTCTTTAAGTAAAATACACAGTTGTTTTTGAGGGAGAATTTTCTAGAAACCCAAATTTTGATTTTGAGCCCAACATTTTTGAATATCAACTCAACATTTCTCAAATTTCTTCTGAAGCCTTTTGAATCATCAAAAAAAATTGTGGAGTCTTCTGAAGCCTTTTGAATCTTTAAAAGTTCTTCTACAGCCTTCTGAAGCCTTTCTGAATCATAAGAACCTATTGTGGAACTGTCTGAAGCTTTTTGAATCATTGAAAATTCTTCTAGAGTCTTCTGAAGCGTTTTGAAGCATTGAAAATTCTTGTGGAATCTTCTGAAGCCTCTTTGATCATTGAAAAATTTTGTGGAGCCTTGTGAAGCATTTTGAATCGTTAAAAAAATTTTTGGAACCTTCTGAAGAATTTTGAATCATAAATTCTATCCAAGTTTTTCAAATTTTCAGCCGGTCCCCCTTTTTTCCCAAAAAACGCGTAGGCTCTTTCTTCCTTCCAAAAAACATTGATAAGATTACAAAAATATTCCATTTTTTATGATTTGATTTGAATAATGTACAGTAAAACCCCTCAAGCATTATTTTGTTTTGTTCTCATTTTATTTTATTTCATCAAATCAAAAACATATTCGATCATGGCTCGCATATTTTATCGAACCGCTGCAGGTATTCTCTTCAGAGGTGAATTTATTCCCGGAAAAATATTTTCGAAATTTTGATGTAGACAATTCTGAAAATTAGATATCCATAATTATCTTTTGTTTGTCTGAAAACACACATTTTTTCCAAGCAGGTGAATTTTTCTAAAAAGCAATGATTAGTTCAAAAATCACTTTAGCTTCTGAAAATCGGAAAATATTTCTGAAAAAGTTTCCAGGCAGCCATGAGATCTATGAAAAAAATAAATTCAAGTTTTATTTGTTATATCTAGTAAGAACAGCAACACTAGTCCTTTTTTTCAGTTTTAGGTTTTCTCAAAATCAAAAAATACATATGTTCACGATAGGGTGTATGTACAAAAATCAAAGATAAATGTGACAAAACACCGTGTGACGCAAAAATCAATACAATAATATTGCCTGTTATTTGACTGCATGTTCCAGTGGCTGCCATGTAGAACATCAGTATTCCCGGCGAAATTATTGTTGATAATGGGATTGAGATCTGGAATTTTTTTGAGAATATATATATATATATAATTCCAACATGATACCTGTAGAGTAACTTTAAATAAAAACTTGAGTTGAAGCTTCCTGGTTTTACTAGAAACTGCTGCTGCATTTTCCGGCCTTAGTAAATGATAAGCAGCAGAGATAAGAAAATAGAGCACATTGAAAACCACATTAGCACCGATCAAAAAACAACAAATCGTTAAAAGTGGAATATTTGTTGTAACTATAACTGAATCATCTTCAAAATATTCAATTGGTGGGCAAGGACAATTTTTCAAGTATTCCATTTTACTCTGGATTTGATCTACATCATTTAAATAATATGGGATTGGAATTAGAAGACCGAAAATGTAGTGATAAGTGTAGTAAAGAATCAAAGTCCATTTTCTAGTTATTTTATATTTTAATGTGATGATTGCACTGTGCCGATTTTGAAATAGAATCACTATTGAAATACCCATGGCTGAAAAATTACAGATTTTTTTACATAAGATGCATAAGCCTGATCAAGTTACCATAAATTGCAAACTGCCCAAAATAGGCTATAAGATTATGCGGAATTCCGATTCTGTACAAAATTCCGGAAAATAATATAACTGGAACTGGTAGGAACAAATGAGGTACGCATAAAATTGTACATCCAAAATCTAGAATACATGTGCTGAAAAAATTATTATTTTGATTTTCAGATAGATTTCTCACGTACCATAAATGAAGCTGTAATAGAATATTTCGAGTATTCATCATTCTTTGAGGTGTAACTTTCAAAATCAGGTATAATCCCAGAATTTCTAGAGGAAAAATAATTGCAGAAATAACATGAAGACCTGTGAGTAGAAAATCTTGCGATTCTAGATAGGTTGTTCTAGAGCAAAAAGTGTAATTGGTGGAGAGGTAGTGTTGCATGTTACTTTTTAGAGTTTGAGAAGAAAGAATGTGGAGCAAGATTATTTATTTATTTCAGCTGCTTTTGAAAACCATAGATTACATATGTAAGCGAAAATATTCAATTATCTTTATGTTTTTTTTTGATTTTTGAAATACGTCAGATGGGATTCTAGAATTCACTGTTATGAGGAAATTTTGGGAAATATTTGAAGAGAAGCCAAATTTTTTCTAATTTTCTTCATAATATGAATTAAAACAATTTTGTCAAAAACATTTGAACTTCCAAAAGCTAACCGTATTTTCTAAATCATAGGAACAAAATTTCAGAAACAATTTTAGTTTTTTTTCCTAAAACTTCAGGTTTTGAGTTTGATTTCAAGCAACATCTTGAACTATTTATCAAAAGTTGAAGTTGAAATATTTCTCAACATAAAAATTTCCAAATATTCCTTGTTTCAAAAAAAAACGAAGAAAAAAACTCGTGACATTTTGTAAATACAGTACTAACCAATCGAACACTTTTCACACATGTCACAATCAATCAATCAACTAATCAATGTGTGATAAAACAAATCATCACTCCCTTTTAATGTACAAAAAACATCTTTCCCTTTACAAAATACGTTTTTTTGTGTGTTTCGTTATAATGAAATTCACTCATTCATCCGGAAAGATTCTTATCAAACCATTCATGTAACAACACATGTGGAATTGAAATCGCGGAGAGGAAGGACAAAAAACTAGAAGAGCCTAGTGGCTAGCTAGCTGTCGAAAAAATCATAAAACTTTTAATGAGACAACATAAATTTTATGCATACAAGGAAAAGAGGGACAAAGATGGGGTAGGCAGGTCAATTTTTGATGATTCATTAAAATGACAATATCGTTGTATTTTATCTACTCCCGTTCACCTCAACCCTCCTCTTATTCGCGCATTTTCACGACATTTTTCCTCTTTTTCGGTTTCAACAAGTTATATTTACCTATATTTAATGTGATTTTACATTAGGCACAAAAATCTATGATTTTTTTGGGCCTAGAAGATTTCTTGAGCTTGTGGCTGATTCCGGACGTTGAATTCTTAATTAGGGTTGGATACATCGGGAAAAGCTGGTGCCGGGGATTGAACTTGGGACCCTGAGATTGCCAGCAGCCAACACTACCACTGAGCTACTTCTTCTCTACTTTATCCAAAAAATTGTCTAAATTCAAAATATTTTTTTTAATTTTCCAAAATTTTCTTTAAAAATCTCCCCCTAGGTTCCATCATATTTTTTTTTCAAAAAAAAAAATTAGAAAGACGAAAAAAGACAAAACCTGTTCTGTTTTTTTCCTGGTGTACACTACCGTAGTCGCCAGCTGCCTACTGTGGGGGCTTATCAAATTCAAAATGAACAGACTAGAGAATTTCCAGAATTTTATGAAATAAAAAATGGAAGCTAGGTGAAATCAATACCAAATGAAAAATGAAATGACAAAAAAAAAACACAAAACAGTGACTTTTTGGTCATGTCTTTTGTCGTTTACTAAACGAATTATCGAGCGACTAATTTAATTTATTCACTAAGACAACAACCATAATCGCAATTTTGCGTCTTCTCATTTCGATATTGTGTTTCTTCACTGTGTGGTGTCGTCGACCATACTTTAGTTTTCTTTCGGTTTTTGGGTTCTCTTGATATCAGGAACTTCTGTACATTTTTCCCAAGAATTTTTTGATCTACCACTGTTACCGTTTCTTAATTTTGGAAAGCTATGGTCAAGCCTTGCTCAGGATGATCCAAAGTAATCTTGTGTGATTTTCAGATTCAGTAGAACCTTCAGAATTCAGTTCCTTTTTATATATATCAAAATTTGAGCCGAGCCGAAGTTTTCTCAGAATTTCACCCCTCAACACAGTCTGTTATCTAATGTTTATTCTTTAACCACACACATCATTACAAAAAAAAAACCTTTCATCACCCCAAAATATTTTTTTTCGCAAAAGAAACGCAAATCACTTTGTCATAGTTGTCCCATCTTTGCGCGCGGGCGCGTTGCATTTCACGCATCACCGCATTGTTTCCCCCACACACACAAAATGTTTATCTGATAACCCCAAGTCAACTTGGTTATTCAGTTATCAAACGAAACGATTCGAATAGTATGATTTATAGTTGTTTATGGCACCACAAAAAGAGCCCCGGCGGCTACTACTAAAAGGAGCATGATTTGTATATACACATCTATGATGGGCTCATTTTGCTTGCTCTTCCACTTTTCTTCTTCTGCTTCTTCTTCCATTAGCTTTTTCGCTGTTCCCTTTTAAGAGTCAAGTAGAAAAAGGGAGAAGCATGGCTCATCGGTTTGAAAAGGGTTACTGTAAAAAATTGTGGGGGCGGAGCTTATCGCGCTATGATTGGTTGTAGGCTTTGGTTAGCGCGCCGTGTGTGTTCTATCATCTCTCGCGCTCTCTCACTATCTCTACCGAAAATTCATCGTCGTCCTCCCTTCCCTTCTTCATCGTCATCGACTTCCCTTTCTGCCTATTTCCCCCTCTTCTGATCTTGATTGCTTGTGACAACCAGCCGATTGGAGGAGTAGAACTGTTTTTTGTTCGGGGCTTCGCTTCTGAGCAGCTTTCTTGAGCTTCACCTGAGCTTAGATTGGACGAATTGACATGGAAGCTTGCTGATTTGATTTTGATTTTGATTTATTCGATTATCTAAAGAAGCATTCAATATTTCGTCTAATAACAATATTTATTATTTGAATCATAATAATATATTTATTATGCATCGTGCGGATTTATATTCCATCAGTGAAACATTGCCAAGATGTGATCAATCGCTAATACGAGTTAAGCAAAAAGTTTATTTAATTTGTATAATCAGATCTCATTTTGCAACACTTATTTATTCCTTTTTTTTCTAAAATAGAGCTTCGGAAAAAACTTCAACGCTTCTTTAAAAGTCAATTTCCCACGCTGATTATTTCCAGCGTAATTGATGAAATTGAATCTGACAAAGTTCAAAGAAAAAAGTTTCATCTTCTTCTCTCCTCCTAATTTGTGTTAATTTGCAATAAAAACATTGTGTCCGATATCGATTTCGATGATTTCCGACATAATTGATTATGAGTCAGTGGTGATTTGTAGAACATATAATTTAGAAATCACTTTTTTTCCCGCGCGCGCCAAAATTTTTTTATTTTTTTGAAAAAAAATTGAATAGTACAGTATAGATAGAGGTGGGAGTGAATAAGAGAAAAACGTCAGTCAGCCATCCAAAAACATTTTTTGGTAGTTGACGCGCTGCGCTGGGGTCCCGCCTCCATCTATCTATCAGTTGATGGTCATATACAGTCTCTGATCGTAGAGAGTGAGATGATATCAACCAGCCACGCTCCGTTGGTGGTGTCTATCAAGACACCATTGGCCAACAATAATCCTACGCCAACTAATTCTGTTGCTGTTGCTGCTGCTCGAAGAGTCGCTGCCACTATTCGTAAAATCACTAAAAATGGTAACGGATGTCCGGTCTTCTCTCTAGTTGCATTAAGCGTTTCCGGCAGGAGCTCTATTTATCTAGCTCATCAAAATTTTCACACACCTGCCCCCTTTTTCACATCTATCATTATGTATTTTTCAGATGATGACCAAAAGCCGCCAAATGACCCGGATGAGGATGCGGCTGAGGCGAGAATGCGACTAAAACGAAAACTGCAGCGGAATCGCACGTCGTTTAGTCAGGAGCAAATTGAGGCTCTTGAAAAAGGTGAGGAACTGGGGGGAGATTTTTGGGGGGGTTTCCTGGGGAACTCTAGAAATCTGAGGAAGCCTGGGGAAGCTTGGAATTTTCTGGAAAAACCTGGGAGAATTTTTAAAAATCTGAGAAACCCTCAGAAAGCCTTGAGAAGCCTTGGGAAGTCTGGAAAAGCCTTTTGAAACCCTGAGAAAGCCTTGGAAAGCCTCAGAAGGCCTGAGAAGCCTTGGAAACTCTGAGAAAGCCTTGGGAAGCCCTGGGAAGTCTGGGAAAGCCTATTGAAATTCAGAAAAGCTTTGGAAAGCCTATTGAAACCCTGAGAAGCCTTGGGGAGTCTGGAAAAACCTCTAGAAGCTTCTAGAAGCTTCCAAAATCCATCTAAAGCCTAAAAAATTCCAATTTTTCACGAAATTCATGTTCCTACTTTAAAAATGAACCTAAAACTCCCTTCTTCACCCCAAAACCACATTATGATTTTTTTTTTCCAGAATTCGAAAGGACCCATTATCCAGATGTCTTTGCACGTGAAAGATTAGCGCAAAAAATCGGCCTCCCAGAAGCTAGAATACAGGTTTGTCACCTCACTTACTTACAGAGATTTCTGTATTCATTATTTCATTTATTTTCATGTTCCCAAAAAAAAGTCCAGTCATTCTCTCTCCGCATTGTAAATACATAATTTGAACTAATAAAAACGCAATTGTTTTCTTCTCGTTTATGTCTTTTTTACCTTACCGGCCAGGCCGGCTAAAATCGAAAACGAGAAAGAAAAAAAAGAAGAAAAGGTTTTTTTAACAGTTGAACAAAACTATGCCATCGGGGTCTTCAAGAGCCCTTGTCACCTCGACACACTTGTCCAAACTGGTTCTGTTTTTTGCCTTTGTAGTTGTTTGTATTTTTTTTTCTGGGTCTATAGGTATTTAGAAAGTTTGGAACAACAAATAAAATATTTTTTGGACCCTTTTCAAAAAAAAAAAAAAAAAGAGACAGAGACAAAAAGAAGCTTTGGCAATTAATCTTGATTAGCAAACAAAGTCATAATTTATCGAATTATCTACTAGAAGAGAAATAAAAACATATGTCTTTTATGTATATTTTTCAACAATAAAAACATTTTCAGGTATGGTTTTCAAATCGACGAGCAAAATGGAGGCGTGAGGAAAAACTGCGGAATAAACGTCCTGGAAATTCCGGCGGCAATATGGAATCCCTATCAAATGGAACGCCTACACCAACACCTTCAGCGCCTGGAAGTGCGATGGCGAATTCATTAGGATCGCCGGCAACCACACCAAACAGATTTACAAATAGTAGTTCTTCCGCTTTATCCACGTCGAATTTTGTGCCACCAACAAGTCAAATGTATACTGGTTTAACACAACAAACAATGGATCCCTATGGATTCGGGTTTGCAAATGCTGGCCTAGGAATGGCACCTTATCAACCAACAGCTGATTTTAGTGCACATCATATGTTTCCAGCAACAAGATCACCATATGAAGCATTCCATGTGAGTTTAGAATTAAGAGGCAGTTTTTTTTCAAATAAATTTTGTTTCAGTCATTCCAGAATTTCCAACCATATGCGAGAACCATGTCAACGAATACTCATGGATTTCAACCATCAATGAGTCCAGCAACAACTGCAGTTGGAGGTTAGTTTTCGAAAAAATAATCTGTAGAACTTCTAGGAAGATCTGTAGACTAAAATCTTCAACCTGAAATTCATTCCAAATCCTAACCAAAGTAGAAAACCATATATTTATTATATATAAATAAAAATATAAATATCTTTCCTTTTTCCCCTAACATTCCAATACCGTAATCCTCCTCACTCACCACTCTCTATTTCTCTTTCTTTCTTCTTTGTGTCGTCGTGTGACATATGCCGGGTGCTGTCACCTCCTATTTATGTTATGTCCAAATACATACGTTTACCTATCCACCCTCTTATATAAAATGAGAGGTAAGAAATATCCCAAGATTGACAGGGGTAGTTAAAAAGTATGGGATTTTTGAATGAATGAGGAGAGAGGAGTACGGTAGTTTGAAAAAAGTGGTAGATTTTTAGTGAGGTTCCTGATAATCTGGAAGATTCGAGAGATTTTGAAAAACAAACTTAATCTGAAACCTTTTTTTTTCAATCTAAAAATCCAAAAAAACTGAGTTTCAGCACAACATTCATCTAAAATCTTTTTCAACCAGAGAGAGAGATTCTGAAAATTTCAGAAAACTTTGGAACTGTTGAAATTTTGAGTCTCGGCACAAAATTTATCGGAAAGCGTTTTCAACCAGAAAGAGATTCTGAAAATTTCAGAACACTTTGGAAGTTTTGAGTTTTAGCACAAACTTAATCTGAAACCCTTTTTTAATCGGGAAATTTCGATGTTCTGAAATTTAGCTTTCAAAAATCCTTTTTCAATCTAAGATCTGAAAGTTTAAAAACATTTTCGAAGTTATGAAATTCTAGCAAAAATCAGAAGAAATTTCTGAATATTTTAAAGATGAGATAAAAATTCATTTTCTGAAATCAAAATCACAAAATTAAAATTTTCTAGATCTTTCAACAATAACTCCTGGAATGAGTATACCGGTATCAGCAGTGCTCAATTCAATCGATCAATCCGCACTAGGCGGAAATCCAACAATGCACGAACTTGGCGATTTACAACAAACACATGACCCGACACAATATTGGAGACAATAATAGTTTTGTCGCCAGCTCGCCTCTCCTTTTTTTCTTCTTGCCATTAAAAATTTGGGTTATTTTTCATCTCCTATCAATGTTAGGCTAAAACTTTATGCAATAATACATTTCCAAATATTATTTCTTTTTTCCTGGTTGGTCTTCCCCCCATCTTTATGAGCTTTTCTATCATATGTTTCTCCCAGTGTTCATTTTTTTTCCTTTTTTCTTTCCTGTTCCAAAGTTTCAACTTCTATCATTCCGTAGACCTTTGATCTTTTTTCCAATTGAAAAACTTGTGATTTTTGGTCTACAGAATGAATTGCACACCGAATGACATTTTTCCCACTTCTGGAATATTTTTGGAGAAAAGTTTCTGAAACTGTTTTCCAAAAAATAAATATAAATATAAATATATAGTTTTCATCAGTCCGATTTTTGTATGAAGTGTCATTTTTCTTTTTCTTTTTCAACTGACATTTCGCCCGTCTCATTTCTTCATTTCATTTCATTTCATGAAAAATCCAATCCCTGTTTCATATCATTCGAAATTTATCTGGTTGTTTTTGGAAAATGTTTCTCTATGGAAATACTTCTAATTCTCATCTTTTTTCTGTTTTTTTTTTCATGTATGTTTTTTGACTTCTTTTTTCTTCCTTTTTGCATTCAAACTGTCTTGTGGAATATTATTTTTATTTTAATAAACTTGGTTGATTATTGATTTTTTTGCACAATAACACACAGTGTAATTTGATCATTCAAAAATGGAGTTTGAGCAAAATAGGTTATTACAATTCTCGAAGAATTTTTTGGAGGCTACTCAAACATTGGTTAACAAATTTCAAATTTTGAAAAAAAAACAATGAAATACCGTGGCTTGAAAATCTAAATGTACAGTAGTTTGGAACTAAGCTTCTCTATCAATTCCGATTTTTTGAAAATTTTGTTAATTTTTTGTGCGAAAATTTAGAATCTTTAAATTTACTATTTTTGAATTAATTTCATATGATTTTTCCAATATTTGAAATTTCTAGGAAATTATTTTAACAAGTATTTTTTTCTAATTTTTAAAGATCTATTCAGAAAATTTCGTCAACTTTATCTGTTCCAAAAAACTTTTCCACTTTCTTCAAAACCTCATTCAAAAAAGTTTTATAATGCCAGCTGTTTTCCAAAAAACTTGTCGAATTCAAATCTCCCACCATTCATTCACCAATAAACTAAACCTGGCTTTACGAGCAATATAAAATGCTCGTAAAATTTTCCACCCAAGTCAATTCATGTTTTTTGCCTGACATTTGAAGATCAAAGCCTTTGATAAACCAATTGAAATGACTGCTCATCAATCAATGTTACACGGTGTTTCGCGCGCGCGCGCGCGTTCACTTCACTCACTCGGTCGCAAAATAATTACCGGTCGATCGGTAGGTCGAACAACAACATAAAAATGTCCATTTATCATTCCATCTCATCTCGCACTTTTTAACCTTCTCTCACCTTTGTTACGTAATTAGGGGTAGGGTTTTATCTATTTATATTCATCCCTCCAAATCTATTATGATGAGATGTGTTGTCATCATTCTTACGTGATAGTTTTGGAATGAATTTTGAGATGAGTGAAAGTGTTTTGAGTGACAGGTTTTCTGGATTTCTATTTTTTTTTGATTGGTGATAAGAAAATGGAGGGAAATGGGAACAAAACAATTTTATGGTGTTGGAAAGCGGGAATTATTTTGAATTGGGTTCGAAATTCAACATTTATATTTAAAATCTGAAATGAAATGAGCAATAGATTCCGGAAGACCTTCTGAAATTCAATGGGATAAAAAATTTCGAACTTGAAATGATAAATGGATTCAGGAGTCATCTTCTGAAAATATCTGAATCTTTCAGAAATTTTCTGAGGGCTCTAAAATTCTACTGAAGTACTCTGATGCGTTCTGAAGCCTTCTGAAGCTTTCCGAAGCCTTCTGAAGTCTTATTCAACTTTCTGGAACATCAGAGTTAGAAATTTTCAGATAAAAATAATTGACTTGAATTTTTTCAAAAACATCTGTCGTTAATTTGTCGTCTATTTTCGATTACCGTAATGCTCATTGACAGTTATGAAGGTAATAAAGGAGAAACGACGGAAACATAAAAAAGACTTTTCGCATTTTTCTTTACCTTTCGTTTTTTTCTGTCTTTGCATAATGGTGTTGGTGAAATATTCAACTAGACAGTTTGGTGCCGTTTTTTTTTCTGGCATTGAGATTGAGTTGGATTAATTGGGATGTTCAAAAAAGTGTTTTTAAGGTGGATGCTGAGCGAAAAAGAAATGAGAAATTCTTATTTGAAACAGCATGTTCAAATTAACTTCGAGAATGAATGAAAAATATCAATTTCACACTCAAATCATGAAATTTGGCTCGAAAATCATGGATTTGTAAAACTGGAAAATTTTCCAGATTTACAAATTTTGAGCCAAAAAACTTCCCAAAAAAAACGATAAATTTTGCTTAAATTATTTTATGTACAGAAAATCAATAATCAAAATTCAAATTTTCAGAAAGGATAGCAGTTTCCTTGATGGCAGAAGGTATTTTCAGCTGTGCACAATCCTCCGAATTGACATTTTCCAACAGCGGTGCCTGAATTATTCAGTATATCTTGATTAGATCAAAAGAGGGGGGTTTTGAACTTACTCAAATCAATAGCTGCCATTGGTGGTGAGATTCCTTCTGGTACACATTGCCCATAATAGCAAACGTGTTTAGATTGACAGTTGTCATTGATACATGGTCCGACGGCACGTTGGAAAATTTCGTCTGAAATTTAAAAAAAAATTGTTGAGCTTTACAAGAGCCCGCGGGCAGAAAATGAAAAAAAAATTCTGCCGCAAGGGAAGGTCGAACTGGCATCTTCAAATCGGAAGTCCGACAACTAACCGCCTGCGCTATTCATCCCGTTTTCAAATTTAAAAAATTCCGGAGTCACTCAGGGAAGCTTCAAATATTGAAACCTAATTATTTTCTCAAATTTTGTTGAGCGCAGAATTCGTAGATTCAATTGTTTTTTCAAATTTTCTCAAGGTACATAGATCAAAAATATTTTTTGAAATTTCAGCTCCCCCCTTTCCCGGTGCCCTTCCCGTACAACCCTGAGTTTAGGTAAACACGAAAAGCTCTTACCTCTTGTAAGAGCAGCAAAGCAGGAAGCAATAAGAGTAATCAAAACGAAAAGTTTAGTGTTCATCATCATTTTTCGCTAAACGAGATGTCCATTTCAAACGCGACCCGCTCGACTATTTATACACAAACATCTTCGCCGCCCCTTACACAATGTTTATTTTTGAGGAAGCAAAATAATACTAGCCGTTTTTTTCCTCAATCGTGATATTATTCATCATCGATGCGTTGTTTTTCTATACAGGGAGGATATAAGATCCTTTTAGGACGTTCAATTATTTGTACGAATTGTTGTGTGGACAGCTGCTGCTCAGCAATTTTTCCAGCCACTTCACCTTTTGGATTGTTGAAATTTGGAAAAAACATGGATAGGATAGTACATTTTGTTTATTGACACAGACTACTTTGTTTTTATTTTATCCCTTTTTGGAGCTGGATACAGGAGATCGTAGATGTAAAATGGAATGGTGAGAAGTGGCAACCAATAATAAATCGAGCACCAGAAGCGATGAACATCGGCGCCGTTTTTGAGAAGAAATCCGGTTGCGAGCATTTCGAATCCACGGCAACGAATTGTATGAATGTATCTGGAAAATCTTGGGTATTACGATTTTTATTGATGGAAAAACTTGCAGTCTCCGATCCAAAATTCACCAAAAAAACTCACAAATATCTAAACCAGGCTGGTCTTTGATTTGTTTCCGGGTTGACTGGGACTAAACGGTAAATGACATCTTCCAATTTTGCACACATTGCAACAACTCCGAAGGACCTGGAAATTATTGTTTTTAATTTTTTTGGCGTGATCATTTTTTCGTGATAAAATTATCAAGAATATCTTGATTTATTTTATACTAACATAAAAATTTACTTCAAAATTTTGCTTGTTGAGTTTATTTCTGTAAATTTCACAGATGGACCTGAACATCGAAATTATCAAGATCCAGGATGAAAAACATGGCTCTAGAGTTCGAAAGGGGTTCGGAAATAATGAAATTTCAAAACCCTGAAGTTCAATTTGGAATTTTTAAAACCACAAAGACTTTTTTCAGACAATTTTTTATTTAAAGGTTCTAAATGTAAGCAAAAATTTTAATTAAAATTTTAAATTAAATTTCAATTAAAACTAAACTTAAAAGTTATTCTCATTTGGAAGATCAGTAGAATCCTTGAAGAATATTTTTTCTGGAAGCTTCTCAAAAATTGGTATAAAAATTTCAAATTTCGAAATAAACAGTGAAACACCGTGGCTTAAAAGTTTAGATGTACAGTAGAGCTTTAAATTCCAATTTTTATAAAAATTTGTCAATGGCTTTTTTAACAGGAGACAAACTTTTGGATTGAAATTGATTTAAAAAAAATTGATTTTTATGTCAAACTTCAATCCATCCCAAAAAACTCACATAAAATATCCAGCATAAACCCCATGCCAAAGTGCCGAAACCAACATTGTCATCTCAACTCGCATAAATTTGACTCTCGAATGAACATAAATTGCTAGCCAAGTTTGAACAGATCGATTCCATGATTTCATTCCATCTCTAAAACCATTCGAAAATTCAACCATCGGAATATCCAAATTTACAATTGCTTCACTATCAACATTCACAATTTCAGTATTTTTCAATCTTTCATATTCCTTGATATCAGTTGGTCCAACAATGATTCTTGGTTTACTTGCAGATGGATAGATTCCGATTCCGAGAACTACACAAATTGATTCTGCTATCGCCCAAGCACTGGAATTTTTTTTTATGATTGTGGGTTGCTATTTCATAGATTGTTTTTGATAGAAACATACCTGTAAACTCTAGTTTTGAAAACCATGAAAATGAGGGCAGCATAAACCAGGCGAGTCAGAAAACTAACATTCCAAACATCATCACTTCGAATTGTCTAAAAAAAATTTCAAAAGATTATTTTTTAAGGAAACCGTTTTCCGTTTTCAAAAAAAAACTCACATCTAATGGACAATAATAATTGATCAATATGAATAATGGAACGGACCAGAGAAGCCTATAAATTCTCGACAAAACTTCATTTTTCGGATCCCAAGTTTTCAAAATTGGATTTTGTGCATCTAAAAGCATTTGATAGGTATAATATGGGCCGGTAAATAATCCACAAAAATGATAGAAATATGCAAGTTTGTGTAAAGTATCAGGAATATCAGTGAGATATCGCTTATTCTCGTCTTTTTTTGGATTTTCAGAGTCGGAGATTTCAAATGTTAATCCAATCACCTGAAAAATTTTTTAGAATATTTTTTTGGTTTCCTTTTGAGAAAAACTCACCCTTAAAGTTATGATGAGTTGCACAACATTTGTATGACTCAAAACTTCATCAACATCCAAAATCATATGAATAAATCGAACAATCATCAAATAGGTGAACGTTCCGATAAAGACAATCAATGTTTGTTGACTGAAAAAATTTGCTGATTTGTTTATAGATTCTGAAAAAAAATTACCGTTTTGGAACAATTGCATGGGCTAGAAGAACCAAGGCTACACCAATTAAAGAATAGACGATTTTGTGGCCTGAAATAAATAAATATTTTTCATGAGTGAGGGTTAGAAGGAAACATTTTGTCTGAATGGGCTCATTTTTATTATTTCCTGAATGATTTTTTAAATTGTAACTTTAAAAAGATTTTCAGAACTGTTCACAATATTTCAAACTAAAAATAGAGATTAATAAAATTTTCCGTTTCATTTATAAATGTTTAAAATTAGGTCTGTTTTCAATTTAAAAAGCATATTCTCTGTTATTTTTCCCAAATCTATTTTCGAAAAAAAACTCACGCAAAATAACCAAGGCCATCGAGAAGCCAATTCCACCAGACAGCAAAATATTATCCGGACGAAGTCGAATAAAAAAACGCTGTTGCAAATGACAATAGTAAAATACCCGTATAAATCCAATCATCCTTAGACATCAATCGGAGAAATTTCTCCATCTTGATTTAGTTTACCTGGAAAAAACATTTTAACAGCTTTAAAAACTGTAATTATCAATATAAGAAAAAAAACTAATCTATACACTCAAAAACCAAAAAAATTGATAAAGGGAGAAATATATTTGAATGCCACACAAACTGCGCAAACAACAAATGCGTCAATGAAGCGGGCAGCTGGCGCACATTTTGTGCAACGCGGACGCTAATCACTGGACATTTTTCGTTGATTTGTTGCATCTCCCAACAAAACTTTTCTCTTTTTTCTCTTTTTTTTTCTTTAGTACATTTGGAGGATGTGTTTCTTTTCTTTTTGTACTGAAAGAGAGTAAAGATTATACTTTTTTGAAATTATTTTTATGTTAGAAAAATTCTTTTTTTTTTCAGGTGTAATGAACAACGAACGATCAGAAAGTGAGTTAATAAAATTTCAAATGTGAAAATTGAAAATATTAACTTGAAAATTTTCAGTACAAAACGAGCTAAAAAAAGGTCCGTGTGCAGATTGTGGATTTTTATCAGCAAAATGGGCATCGTTGACAAGAGGAGTTGTTGTATGTTCAGATTGTTATGCACAACATACGTATCTCGGTTGGTTTTTTTTGGATTTTGGGGCTCTAATGAGAGTTAGGAGGGTTTTGAACATTTCAATTTTAGAATTTAGGGTTCAGTGAAGCTTTCAGGCCCAGAACAAATCCTGAACATCAAATATAATTTCTAAAAATATGAAATCATATTGAAAATGTTTGTGACTTGAACTTCTGGTCCCAGAATCTAATTTCCATCAATTAATCTAGCGATTGTTATTTTCAGGTCCATCTGTGAGCTTCTGTCAATTTATTGAAACCGAATCTTGGGATATTGAACATCTGAGGCTACTTCTAGCATTACACAAGTAAGTTTTCCAGATTTCAAATTTTTCCAACTTCATCTTATATAAATAATTTTCAGATCAAATGCGAACAAAATCTGGGAAAACACAGTGTCTGAAACAAAATGGAAAAAGCCAGCCTATCCGTGAGTTTCAGATATTTTCTGTAAATTCAAAAATTAATCTTAAATGTTTTCAGACAAGCTGGAGAGATCACAAAAATGTTTGTCAAGGAAAAATATTGTATTCAAGGATTTATCCCGAAATTGGGAGCTGGTGAAAACCAGGATAGTTTGAACAATCAGTTGATTGCTTGTGCGAGAAGTGATTTTGTTAATGTTACTTTGAGGTATCTTTTTTTTGAGAATCTCATATCAAAATCAAAATTTTGCAGGCTTCTCGTTCTTGGCGCCAATGTGAATTATCAAGATGAAGATAATGGAGATACTGCACTGCATGTTGCGGCAAGAGAAGGGAATTCGAATCAGATTGAATTGTTGTTTTTGTATGGAGCTGATTTAGCGATTAGAAATAAGCAAAATTTACTTGCTCATCAAGTTGCGACTGAAAATGGGAATGTAAGATTTTTGGGGTTTTAGGGAAACATTTTTAGCATATTCCAAAAAAAGTTTTACTCATTTGAAAGAGCATTTTCTAATTGATACAATTATCGAAGGATTTTTTCGCTTCTCGAAAATTAGTTAAAAAATTTCAAAGTTTGAAAAAACAGTGAAACAGCGTGTAAAACGGCTTGTGTTTCTCCGCCAATTCCGATTTTAATGAAAATTTGCCAATGGCTTTTTTAACAAGGAGATAAAATTTGAATTGGAATTAAAATCAACTCAAATTAATCGATTTTCATTTCAGAAATCTGAATTTTCCAAAAAATTAAGATTTGAAAAATTGATCTTATCAAAAACTTTTTTGTAATTTCACAAAAATTCCAAAAAAAAAAAATCAAACTTGCAATCTGAACCAAGTTTAAGAAAAATAGAAAATCGAAATTTCACAGCCTGTAAATTCCTAGTGACTTTTGACAAACTTCCTTATACCCATTCACTTTTTTCTTCATTTCTAATCAGCCCCAATTAATTACAGATCATAAATCAAAATCAATTAATCCGACTGCATTTTTACTTCACCGACAGATTCACCTATTTCCTTTGCAAACGAAAACCTGATCATTCGGCTGGCAAACATTTCTACCTTCCAACAATTAACCAATTCAAAAATCGCGCTTTCAAATATTTCGACACTTGTCAAGAGACCATTTTACATTGTTCGGATTCTACACTCTACGAAATGAGTCAGGATTTTTATGATGAAATTAATCGACGCGACAATTTGGCTGTTTGGCACACTAAAGTTCATGTTGAAAATAACACTGAACCGAATCTCTGGTTTTTACCGGTAAGTAAAGTTTATTTATATTAACAAAAAAAACTAATTCTAATTTTGTTCCAGCCGAATCCACATTTCTGCGCAGCTCGAAATCAAAGACGACAGAAATTCGGAAAAATGAGCCTTGCTGCTTTCGAATGTTTTATATATCATATGATTAGAGAGCAAAAACGGAGATTTAATGGAGAGCCGGCAACAATGACAACATCTACACCAAGACTGCAAACCAAACCAAAAACGTGGGATTTTTTTTGGGAGAAGGGTTTTAGAATTTTAGGAAGCAAGAAATCCAATTCTGAATTCACTTTTAGATATTGTTCTGACATTGAGTTAGGATTTCGAGCATAGCTTTCAGATTCATGATCAGAAAATGGAATTATTCAAAATCAGATATCTCTGTTTTGATTCAGATCAAAATTAAAAATTTGTGGAAATTTTTTCAGAAGAGCTGATCTTGATAGATCTGAATGTGATGATGCTCTTCCATCTTGCTCTCCACCAGTAACTCGACCTCTATCAAATGACGAACCGCTCTATGATGATATTATCGATGAGAAAATTTCTCTTGATGATATTCTTGAGATCAAAGAAAAATTGGCCGCCACAGAAAATATTGTTCATGCTTTGACAAAGAAGAATGAGAGTTTGACAAAGTAAGTTTCCCGAATTTCTGAATTTCATCCTCATTTTTATATTTTTGTTTTCAGACTTGTTCACAATTTGACAACACAAAACTCAAACATCAATGCCGAATTATTCTCATTGAAGGAGGAAATCAACAAAATCAACAGGAACAATGTGAATCGTCGAATTCCCTCACCATTCGGAGCGGATTCAACAGAAAGATCCATCCCAATCCAATATTATGGCGCAAGACAGAGTGAAGATCGCATCGATGGAAATGGCGGTGGAGCGAGATGGAGATCGAGTTCAAGTGATCGACGAAATTCGAATGATGTTCGACCGGTTGAAACGAGAATTGAGAGTGTTATTGAGACAACTCCTTCAGCAAGACCATCGAGAAGAAATCGCGATGAATTGAATTTTATTATTCAACAAGGAGAGCACATCACTAAATATATTCGATTATTGATTGAGAAAGGGCAGAATGGGAATACACAAAAATCTACAATTGATGGGGTGAGTTTTGATATTGAAATAGCAAACATGCTCCACCGCACAATTAAATTTTCTTGAGCTCGAAATAAGCTATCATGTTTTTTTTTTTTTGGTAGATCATGCTTCGAGTTTTGTGGAGCCCCGAAAAGATTTTTTTTATTTTTGTTTAGTTTTTATAATCAATTAACTAATTAATTACCCTAATTAAATTATTTCAGCTCTACTCTGCAGTCAATATTCTTATCCAACATCTCCCCAATTATATTTCAAATGATAAAATTCAATCACTTATCGATTCTCTGGTGGTAAGCGCATACTTTCTTGAATTACAAAAAATTAAAAACTGAAATGTATTTTTTCCAGCAACTCAGCGCAAAATGTCAAAGTCCCTCCTCAAACGCCGGAGAAATTGCAGAATCTGCTCAAATTCTCGCTGATAAATTGCGCATTGTTCTTCTTGACGTATAGATATCTTTTCCAATTTCTTTGTTTGTTTTTTTCAATTTCTTTATTCCACCAATCTACGCCATAACATAATTTATTTTGTCTTTGTACTCTTTTTCAGAGCGGCATTTTTTTGTTATATTTTGTCATTTACATGTGCCTTTTGTTTTTTATCCCCAGTTTTTCAAATATTTTTTTTCTTTCATGGTGCTCAATATTTTTTCGCTCTGCATAAATGGATTATTTTTTCTTTTGGGCTTTTGGATTACTTAAAAATTGTGGGTCTAGTTACGAGAAAATTGTTCTGGACCAATCTTTCAGGGCTTTGGGCCTCATCAAAAGCCCAGTGAGAATTCTCTATTACACTTTGACCTATTGTTATCAGTTAGATGAAATTAGTAGTTTGAACTGAGCGCGTACAAAAGGTTTAGAAACGTGATTTTATAATCTCTTGATTTTCAATTTTTCAAAAAAAAAGCTCTACTTTTTATTTAAATTTTATCGAAGTTCAAAGTGTTCGGTAGAGCGCGTTTGCTCAATTCAAATGCTCAATTCAAAAAAAAATTCATTAAAAAATTTTCTTATGATGTTATTGACGTCATATTCCAACAGAAGCCATTATCAATTGGTCTTTCGAATATCATCGATAGTCGATGATTTTTGCTATCATCATAAAAAAATCAAGTGTTGTAGTACAAATTAGCCATGAGAAAATGTTTCAAATTGCTATCAAATATTAAAAAAACTTCAAATAAAACGTGTGTATTTCCTTTCTTTTTGATTTAACCGCCGCCATGATTAAATTTTGAAAAGAGAGATTTCTTTATGAGGTGCGTTTCGATCAAATTGGCCAAGAGTTTTTTTGCAATGAAGAGGGAAAAAGGAAAAAAGAACCATAAAGCGAAACAGTCACGGCATATCGATGATAAGAGAAATGTTGTGCGAAAGAGCAGTTGAATTTCATTTTTTCGCAGTTTGATATTTCGGTTTCACTTTTTTTTGTTGGAAATTTTCAGAGATCCTTCAGAAACCTACTTCAGACATCTGATTTGTTTTTTTTTTCGTGCGACAAATCTGGTATATCTGTGTGAATGGGTATTGCACGGGGTGCTAATCATGTTCGACGTGGTCCACCGCCGGGTGGACCTCGCACAATAAAATTTGCGTTTGACGAAGAGGAAGAAGAGCCGAAATCAGAACTTCGATTTTTCTACATTGTCATTTTTGGATTTCTGATATTGTTTGCTGAAAGTGGAGTACGAATGGTAAGCCGATTATTTCCCAATTTTTTTTTGCTTGTTCGAATTAATGTTCTCTGTCCTAATCAACTGCTACTGATTGTTGCATAATTTTTTGCATCTGAAGGGGAAGAGGGATGATGTAATACAAAATTTTACTTTTTTTGAAGTTAGGATATCTCTAGAATAATAAACCCCCAAGGATTGTATTTTCGAAAGTTCTAGTCTCATTAAAAATTTTTTTTGGGATTTTGCAAGCTCTAAATTTTGGGATGAATTTTATTTCTCACTTTTTATTTGGATGACTCATTTTAGTTCTGACTTAAGGAAATATTCGACATCGAGAAGCTGAAACGTTCTGAAACTTCTACGGTAGATCAAAAATATTTTTCTCTGAACTTTTCATTTCCACTAGATTTTGTTCCATTTAAAGATTTGAGTCAGATCTCCAGAATTATTCGGTAATATTTCCAAGTAAACTTGATTTCGGGAATTTCAAAAGGAAAAAGTTTTATTGATTTGAAAAATTGAATTTTGGAAAATCTTTGGTATTAAAAAAACTTTCAGGAATTCAGAAGTTCAAAATTGCCCAATTTCCGGTCTCATTCAAATTATTTCTATTTGATTTTTCAAAAATTCTGAAATTCAGAATTGTAAAAATTCCATTTTCAATCAATAATAGGCTTCATCTTTTTTTCCAATTCTCAAAACGCTGTAAAAGTACACTGCATTTTGTTTTGCTTCTTATTTTCTCAGAAAAAACAACAAGCAAAAAATAAAACTTTACGATTGACCTTTGCACACATCTTATATTATCAAGAAATGTCATATTTTTGAATAATTTGTGATCGAATTTACACCTGTGAAGTTTGATGATGATAATTCCTAAAATGTGACAATTTTTTCCTCTCTTTTTGAAAAAACCTATGAAATTACACGTATGATATGAGATGAAGAAAAAATGATCTTTCCCAAAAAAACTCATAAAATAATAGTACTTTGATATGTATGTACATAATATGTATTAAAATTTTTTTTATAGGTGATGAACATTTTTGTTGAACCTGTCGAAACAACTTTCAATTGTACAAAAGCTCAAGCAGATTTGGCAATTATTTCAGTTCCAATGTCTGCAAGTCTTTTGACGGGTTTGTTGAGGAATTTTTCTGGAAATTAAAAAGATTTTGGAATTTTCAGGGCCTTTGATCTCATGGTTTTATAAAAAGTGTGGTGCAAGGAAGGCGATTTTAACTGGATCTGCTTTTTCATTTCTTGGAATGGTTTTGGGTCCACAATGCCCTTCGATTTATTTATTGATGATTTGTACTGGATTTTTCGGTAAGTCAGTTTTGGATTGGGGGCAAAATGAGAGGTTTTCTGTGGAAAAGAAGGGTTTTTTCACTTGAATAATAATTTTGGACAACTTTTTCAAGTTAATTTTTTATATCCAAACTCATTTTAAAAAATTATGCTCATTTGAAAGAGTATGTTCTGATTAGTAGGATTTTTTCTGAAATTTTTTGAAATATTAGTTGAAATTCTCAAAATTTGAAAAAAACAGTGAAAGCCCGTGTAAAATGGCTCGTAGTTTGGAGTTCTGTCAAATTTTATGAGAATTTGTCTTGGGTTTTTTATTCAGGATATAAAATTTTTGAATTGAAATTAATTAAAATAAATCGATTTTTATGTCAGAGCCCACCTCTAACTTTGAAACCTTTTTATTTCTGAATAACCTGAGCCTATATATCATAAGTTTAAAAAAAAATTCAGGTTTTGGATGTGGAATAATGCGAAATTCAATCATCTCCGTGCAATGCGAATATTTCAAAAAGAAAATGAATCGAGCCCTTGGTATTATTATGATTGGTCCTGCTGTTGGTATTTTCATTTTGCCACGAATTTTCAAACTGATAAATACTAATGTGAGTTTCAGTTTTTTGCAATTTTATGATTATTATTCAATAATTACAGTATGGCTGGGAATTTTCCTGGTACCTGATAGCGATATTTTACGTCTTCTGTGCTATTATGGGATTTTTTGTTACCAAAATGCCGACTGATCGGGGATCTTCTTCACCGGATTGTATGTACGGACTTAAGGTAACTTGGGAATTCACATTCACATTCACTCATCACGTTTATTCAGATTTTCAAAAAAACTGAAGTTATCCTATTTTTATTGTCAGTCTTCTTGGCGTCGTCAGTCAATTTCATTTATTATACAAATATTTTGAAATTGATGAAAATTGAGAATATTGAAGAGTAAGTTTTAATCAAAATTAATCAAAAAACCTGAAAAAAAATGTTTTTCCAGAAAAGAAGAAGTTTATAGTTGGCAAGGTATTGCGAGTGTTGTTGGAAGAATTGCGATTGTTTGCTTGATTGGATCGGAATGGGTGGGTTGGATGTTTGGAGTTCAGAATTCAGCTGATCTGAGTCTCTAGATTCAGATGATTTCTTACAGATTCATATCGGATTAATGATGTTCTTCGCATATCTTTTGGCTCAATCAGCATTGGCTGCACCATATTTCTGTTATTCATTGTTGAGTTTCAGAATTCAGAACTTCTTAGCTGGATTTGGAATATGTTAGTTTCCCAAAATCCAAAAAAAATTATTTGAAAACAAAATAAATTTTCAGCGTTTTATCAAGTTTGTATGGCTCCTTTCCTTGTGGCTCTCGTTGGACCTTCCCAATTATCATATGCTTATGGATATACAAATTTATTGAACGGCTTGGCTATTTTTGTTGGAGTTTTCATTACAAGTAAGAAAATCAACTCTGAAAAAAATTACAAAATCACAAAACATGTTTCCAGCAATCGTGTATACACAAGATTCTGAAGAGCCAAATCGTCTCTCATTTTTCGTGTCAGTTTGGATGGCTCTTGGTGCAATTATTCTCTCGATGTTGTCATCGGCGGTTCTTTGGAGAAGAGAGAAACATAAGAGAAAACCATCAATGAAACAAATGAAACACACGCCGGAATTGAATGCCTTGACAGCGATGACAACTGCAGAAGCTACGTAGAGAATATTTGGTGAGCAGTTTTGGTAGGATTTTGGGAGCTGGTGAGGGTGAAAACTTGGGAAAATGAATTTTCTGTCCATAAACACAAAAAAAATTGAGGTTAAAACAAAATTGAGCCTAAAACCTCCACTATAATTATCATCTGAAAATATGATAATGATACATTCACATGACTGAAAAAAAATAAAACTGTATGATTTTTTATAGAACAAAGAAAATCAAAGCGTCAACTTTCATCATGTTATCTGTCTCCCACTTGAAACTGTATATATATTTTCCGTTATTTTTCAAATTTTATTTATTTTCAGATCACGTCACATGAGTTCGTTTTATCAAATTCTTATCAAAAAACGGCGTGTTGTGTGTGTGTGTGTTTTCAATCCACTTTGTTCATTTATTGATTTTTCACTCGAATATTTTTACTCATTGTTTTTTTGAATTTGATTGTGAGCTGGAAAATAGGCATCATATTATTGTCGAGATCGATTTGCTCGAATTTTCCCCCAAACTCTTTTTTTTTCGATTGTTTTCCACATTTAAATAACCTGATCTCAATTCTGATTAACAACTTTGGTATAATCTGAGATTTTTGCTTGCTTTTCTTCTTTATTTTTTTCAAATCTAGTTTATGGTTTGTGTATAAATTCTCGTGTTTTGTGTCGCACTTTTTAAAATGCGATAAGATTTTGCTTATTTTATTCATTCTATGCATTTGGTGTTGTACTTTTAATTATATAAATAATAAATTCAATGAAAAATGTTGATTTTCTACGATTTTTTGGGAGGTCAGGGAGTTTTTTATCATTTTTTTTTAAAGGATTTCTGAAAGACGGTGATATGTTGAATGCGCAAATTGAACTGGGGCCAAGTTTTTCAATAGATTTGGACCATCTTAATTAATTCGGACCAGACTATTTGGCATAAGTTGAAATTCCTCTAATTCAATTATCAAAAAATCTAGTTGCTTATTAGAAATTTTAGAACTGAAAACTTTTCACGTCAATTTCTCAAATCAACCAATTCCGGTTTGAACTCCAAAGGTTTTTCAAGTTGGAAATCTCAAAATTGAGTTTATATTCTAGAATTTTCTAGTTTCTTATCAGATTCAAAATTGCATCACGTCACTCTCATTTAAAAATTCTACTTCCGGCTTGCACTATCATTAAAACTTGCATCTAACAATCTAATCAAAAAAAAGTCGAAAATTTTGAAATAAACATTTAATGGGTCTAAAAGGCAACTACAGTACATTTTTCAATTTTTTTTTTTGCGACCAGACATTTAATCAGTTCAATTTTGTGTGCTGTGATCTATCACAAGTTGCATATTTATTGATCACTTTGCACTCTTCTTTTAACCTCCCCCTTTCCCTTTTAGTCCCCCCGAATAGCTCTTTTTTTTCTTTGATAACATATTGTATCATTTACAAATATTACTACTTATTTTTTTAGACAAACATGTTTGGTTATGTTTTAGTTAATAATCAGAACTCGGTGATTTTTCTTGATGGTGATTTGAGCTTCAAGGTAAGTTTGAAAAATGATTTTTTGTAAAAAAAAATAATTTTTCAAGTTGCGACTTCAAAAATTGGTCCATAAACAAATTCGTCTTCGAAGTTTGGACAATGCATCAACTTCCAGTGGAATATGCACTGATTCGACTGATGGTATGTGGAAGATCTGGGAGCTTTTGATAGTGTGTCACGGGATTTTGAGCGTTATCTTAGATAACATGTTTGAGAATCTCAAAATTGATTATCGAATGTTTGAATTTTGGAGAAATGAGCTTCAATTTCAGATAGTTTCTGAATCAAATATTTGTTGAAATTTATATTTTTTAAAAATTTCACAGTTATTAAGGACTGGTACAAGTTGTGAATTTTTTTCAAAAAATAATTTTCGTGAGTTCGATTTGAATTAAGTATACATAGCTCACGTCATTTTACTCCTGATTATGTCTTGTATCTAAAAAATTTCAAAAAGTTTAACATAGCGATTAACACCTACTCATATTGAACTTTTAAAGTCTATCATATAAATTTTAAATACAGATAACGAGTCATTGAAAGCGACATCAACAAAACAACGGAAAAAATCTGGAATCATATTCAATTCATCTGAAATCTCACATATTCTATTGCCACTGATTTTGATCTACAGATCATCTTCCGATGGAAATGAAGATCCAATTAATCATCTTTCATCAATCCTTGGAAATATTTCATTTTCAAAAATTTATGATAACTACCTGATTCTATCATTTGCAGATCAGTGAGTTCATAATTTTTCAGAAGAGCCCCTAACTTTTTATTTTTGCAGAGAAAATTATCGTAAGGATATGTTGCAAATGGTGGAGCGAAGTATTTTATCAGGGTTTGGTCCTCTGATAACATTTTGCAACACAGATTTGACAACGGTTAAGAGACCAAAAGAAATGATGGGTCAAATCAGGGCGAAAATTGGGAATTTCAGATCAAAGCGTGAGTTGTCTGAAGGAATTTTCTACCCCAAAAAATTCCCAACAAAGAATTTTTCAGCATTTGTTGATATCAAAAGAATGATATTTTATTCTTCAAAAGTTGAACGGATTCAAAATATTTTTCTAAAATTATGCTCCCAATTAAGCGTATTTATCGGAAATAATCGAAGTCTTCTAATAAGTCATGGAGATATAATTGCAACTTTCAACAGCTCGGAAACTGCTTCGAATATTATGACAAGTGTGAATATCAGTGATTTATCGAATATTATCAGCAACTCAATTTCTGGATCAAATAAAATTAGTCAGGTTAGTCTTCAGGTTGATTTTAGAGCTATGATATTTTTGTTTTAGTTTTGGCTCCGCTCGACGATTGGTGTTATACCTTATTATATCAACGTCATAAGTCATCAAATTTTAGAAAATCTGACATTTGTTTCTTTTATTGAATCATCAGAAAACATCTTGATCCGATATTTATATCTTTTTTCAAAGCAAATTGATCAAATTCGAAAAAGTACGGACCTTAACAGGTAGGTAATTTTTTTCCATTTCTCATAACATCACAAAAGTTCAATTTTTTTCCAGAGACTTACGAGAAGTTCGAAAAACAGTGTTAGACATTCAAAATCTGTTAGTCGACAAAAAAACTGAAGAGCAAAATCCAACCGCGTTCCTCAAGAATCCCAATAGAACTTCGTCGTTTTTCAAAAGTATCTGGATGCAGATCGAGCAAGAGATCAAAGAGATTAATGGAGTTGAGAGAGAAAAACCAAGATCGGAATCGAGATTTTCAATTGGATCAATTCGAAGTGCATTTTCAACAATGTCTTTGAATTCGTCGATTTTTTCAAGGGTTTCTATGTCTGAGAAGGTAACGTTTATTTTGTGAGCAGAAATCGGACAGAGCATAAAATGTTTTTTCTGCAGACTGTCCCTCACAAACTTGATATTCTACTTTCATATGCAAAACGTCAAACAAATTCGTTAATTCAAGAATTATGCAGTGTCAGTATCCAACATGCTAACAAAACAACACTTCCATTATTCGATCAATTTATGGACAAATTTTTGAAACAACAACAAATCAATTTTATCAGTTCTCTAGAAATCGGTGGTCAAGAAGATGAAATTCAGTTGAAAAAGTTTTTACAACCATCCGAATATTTTTTGGAAATGTATGCATATCGAGTTCAATTCAACAGTCTTCAACAAGAAATTCTGCATATTTCTGATGAATTGAAGCAAGATCTTCAGAATATTTTGACTCTTCAACCGACCAAAACTTTTAGTTGTAATGTAGCTGGAAAATCTGGAACTTGGTATACGGTGCAATATGTGAGTGAAATAATAATTTTTTAAAACGAATAATATTTATTTTCAGATATATATTCCACTGGAAACAACAAACAAATCAACAAATAATAATCAAATAAAAACAAAATCTGATATTTCTTTAACCACAGTATTTCCAGGATGTATCAATAATAATTTGGCAGAAAAGCAAAGTTTGAAAATGTTAGATATTGTTTTGCAAAATTGTACATTTAATTTGTGATTTTAATTTTAATTATAATTCATTAATTAATCAATCCAGTGTTGTTTTATTAATCTTTTTTTCCGCACAAAGTCATAAATATTGTTTTAAAAAAAAACCCGTCACAATTTGATATTATATATATATACAATTGATAAGGTAAGTATGTACAATTATTCTCCTAATGATTTTTCTTTCATGATCGACTTAGGAGCTCAACTTCATCACTCCATCTTGAATAAATACAACCTTTAGAAGGTTGTGGCTCTGATTCTTTGTTCATTTCTTGCTTGAGGTCTTGGAATTTCTAAAAAAAAATTTAATTTTTCAATCACACAAAGCTATTTCTCACCGCAGCTGATAATTTCAAAAAATATTCGCGCAACAAAATTTCACTGCATGCAATTTCTTGACGATTAGAAACATCTTTACATAAACACGGTGTTATAACATTGTCGAAACTGAAATTTTTCAAAATAATTTCATTCAATATTTTTGTGAACTCACATTTCTTGAGGGCAATGTATTGGTTTTTCGAATTTAACCGATCTCTTTAAAAATTTGACAAAAGATATTGGATTTTGAACATCTGGGAATGCTTCACTTCCGAAAGAGAATAATTCGAGTAAGACGATTCCAAACGCCCATACTTCTGACTACAAAACAAAGTATTATCAAAAAAATTAATTTGAAACTAGATTTTAAAAACTTACCGAATATGTATAAGATCCATAACATTCCAATGCTTCAAGTGGATAAGTTTTGAAAGGAATCGCTTTTCTAGAATATTTTTTCCAACATTTCCAAAGTGATTTTTTGAATTCGCTATTTCCTTGAGAATCTCCAATTTTTGAGCGTTCGAAATCGATTAGTTTTATGATTCCTGAATCTGTTACCAAGATGTTTCGCAAAGCCAAATCTCGATGTGTACACTGAAAATGAAAAAGTTTGATGGGAAGAGGGAGGGTTGAAGGTGGAGTGTGTTTCAATTCAAAATTTCGTCTCTTGGTTGAAAAAACCATTGACAATTTTTTTTTAATCTGAATTGACAGAGAAAAACACTACTGTACATCTGGACTTCCAAGCCAATTTACACGGCGTTTCACTGTTCAATTGAACTTTGAAATTTTTTCAAATAAACCAATGCCATCCCCCCTTTGAAAAATCAATAAAAAACTCACATGTTGCTCTTTTAAATAAACCAAAGCAGAAGAAATTTGCCAGGCGAACGAAACAAGATCAAGTGTTGTTAAATAATCATCGCGATTTTTCTCATTTACAAACATCAGATCTAAAGGATTTCCCATATCAATTCCAGATGCACAAGAATACATTGGCAAATATTCATCAAGTGATTGTTTTTCAAAATAAGGCAAGACAATTCCATCAATCGATGGTCTAAATAACCAAGATTTCTGCTCATTTCTTGTGATTGCAATTGGTTTGATGATATTTGGATGATCCAATTTTCTCAAAATCCTGATCTCTTCTAACAATTTATTTTTAATTGAAGTGCATTTAATCGCAACTAATTCATCTTTTTCTGGCATTTTTGATTTATAAATTTTTGAAGTGTGACCATTCCCAATTTTTTTCGTCTCATCAATATCAAAATCGGAGTGAGGAATCACTTTGATTTCCGTATCAGCGACTCGGAATCTTGCAAAATGCCTAAACAAATATTTGAGATAGAAATAATAGCAAAAACCTACCTTTTGTAAACTTTATAAACTCCATAAGAAATTAGGGCGAGCAGAATGAGCACAATAGCCACTATTAATGGAACTTTGGAGATTTTTATTGGTTCAACATAATATGCACGGACTATTGAACTATATGGATTTAGGATATAAACACACGAAAATGTCATTGGTTCAGGGATATAATATGGAATATTCAGAGCATATGTTATGAGATTGCTTGAATTTTGAAAACGCTCCAACTGAAAATTTTGAAATGAAGTTGAAAAAAAAGTTTTACGAGAGTGATAAAACCAAACTTCAAGACAGCAAATTATTTTTCTTCAAGCTGATTTTGTCTCATACCTTTGCACAATATTTGTTGCTTCTACAAGAAACAAAAACATTCACATTCTGCAGTTGTTCAGTGTTATTCGACGTTGTCACACATCTCAAAACGCGGCTCCTATCATTTTTCTCATTCTACAATTTGCAAAAATAAATTCAAATTTTTTTCATTCGCACATTACCAGTTCAACTTCGAAATTTCGATCAAACACTTTGGCTTCTTCCCCAAAAGTTTGAGAAACAACATCATTCGTTGTTGAATCAATCCATTTTTCGCACTCCAAAAATTGTTGTCCCACAAATTTCGAAGAATCGATTGAGAATCCGAAACTGCAAAAAAATTGGCTGATAAGATCAGTGTTTTGCATCATCGATAAGAAAGAGCTTATTGTTTACACTAGAAAAAAAAGTACATAATTTAAACTCACATCGGATTATAGGAAGCATTCGTTGATTTCCCATTGATTTTCAGAGTGACATTTTCAGAATAATATCCTCCAATACATTCGATTCCGAGTCTTGATTTAATTTTGTCATGATTTTGAATGTTACGCACGAAAAAAATTTCAGGGTCACCTATGAAAATTGTTAACTATTTTTGAGAGAAAAAAATTTTAAAAAAATTTTAAAAATACCTGATATGAATAAATAAAACTCGAAATATTGCGATTCATCAACTCTTGAAACACAACGAACTCGACCAGTCATAGTGCTCTGAAAAATATAAAATGAAAAATCAATAATTTCACACTGTGTAATTGATCTCATAATATTCAAAAGAAATCCGGTAGATCAAAAAATTTGCAATTAATTGTTTCAAAAAACACTATTTGTGCAAAAATTCCGAAAAAAAATCAAATTGGCACAATTTTTTTAAAGATACTTTTGTTTAGATGAAATAATATTTGTTTTGAAAATAGTTTTTTATAGGTAAATTATTGATTTTTATTTTATCATTTCTTCAAATTTCAATTTGCAAAAATCTCACTTTCACAATAAAATGGACCATCGAAACACTTCCAAATTTCTCGCCAGTTATACGTATTCGACCTCTTTCTGTTCCTGATCGTTGGACAAGACAATCAACAGCGCCTCAAAAAAATAGATAATCATAAAAAGTGTGCATGCAGAAAACAAAACACAAACCTTGTGACATAATAGAAGTGTTTGAAAATACAATTTGAAATGATTGCATATTTCTAGCTTGCAAATATAATTGTCCGGTTTTTGATGTCTTAAAATTATTTTGTTATCAATTTTATTACATTTTGAATAATAATTTTCACTCACTTCAAACTTCTTTTTCTCTGTATCCATTGTAACTTCAACATCTTCTTTGGGAATAATTGAAAATATAGCCAGAATACAACAATTCAACAGCAAAAATATTTTGAGCAGCATATTTTCTTAATAATAACTAAATGATAAAAAAAGCAAGGGCAAAAAAGGAATCGAGATAAGGTTGAGAACACAAATAGAGCGGTTTTGCTGTGTTTAGTATGTATGTTTGTAGAAGAAACCAATAAAATACTTAGAAAGGCACAAATTATTCGCCAAAAAATGTACCTTTTCCAGAAAAAAAATTCTGGATCAATAGGTACAAGAGTTTAGTTAAATGATTTTCAATTAGTACAAAAAACAATCAATCAATCAATTTTTTTTTCATCTATTCCATTACTACTGTATATGTCTAATAAACCTAACTAAATATAGAAAATGAAATATCCAAAAACCGAAAAAGATATGATATCATCTATTTATTTATCAAGAAAAACGTATATTTTCTATTTTTTTTATTAAAACAGGTTTTATAGGATGACTAATTCGAAAAAAACTGAAGTTTCGATTGAAGATAGTCTAGACTGTGTGATTTTGCTGATTTGAAGTGAACTAATGTCGATTTTGTCACGTCTCATTGGAAAATGTGTTTTCAAGGTTGGATTTGCTTTTGGGAATAAGTTGGGAACGAGAAAAACCTTTTTTTTGTTTTTATTTATTAGAAAATATTGCTCTCTTGTTAAATAAAAATAATTCGAGCATACAAAAAACCACGTGTCTCAAAAAAAAAAAAATGTCTGACGTGAATAGTTCATTCGTGAGTCAAATCAATAAAAAAGCTGACATAGTCACAAAATAACTATTTCGCAATTAGCAGTTTGTGTAATTCACACTAGCCAAGAGTTTTTTACACACAATTTTGTTTGAATCAAGAAATGTTTTTCTGAAAAACATCAGAAACATTTTCGAAACTATCAAAAAGTAGACTACACTCTTCGCAACTCTTCCTTTAAATAAATATTCTTTGAAACGAGTTGTATGTAGTTTGAAAGTTTGAGTCAATATTTTCATTCCTTACTACTTGAACAATTAGTCTTCAAAATGTTTGTAGGTTGAACTTGATTGAATGACTATGTCAATAAGAGAGATTTAGAAAAAAAGACCACCGTGTTTGTTTCGGTGATCAATTGTAAAAAGAGAAAATATAGAAGACAGAGAAAATATTGAAGGAAACTTGAAATTTCTTGAGGGACATTATGTTAGAAAAATTCACAGAAAAATTTTCATTTTTCATTTCGAAGACTCTGCAATAAATCTGAAAATATCCCATTCTGAAACAGCTGTTTTTCAGCTATTATGTGTCCAATTATTGTTGGTGACTCATAGCTTTTTGAACCTTTTTTGAACATAAGCTCAAATTTTAGCTCCAAAGTTCAGACAAGTACTTTCAAAACATAAAGATGGAACTAATGTAAAACATCTTTTATCACCGATAAGAAAAAATTTAGATTTTTGGAAAAGATCGTACAATGAATACCCAATAAATAATCAATCAATAAATTTTTCAACAATGAAAAAACAATTCAATCCGAATCCGAACCTTCCAAATCAACTCGATCCTCATCATCCTCATCATATTCATCACTTCCATCATCTTTCTTCTCCTGTTTCTTGCTCATCAATTCTAATTCTCTTTCCATTTCTTCACGACGTTTCAATTTCTGATCTTCCTGATCCTTTTTCTCCTTCGCATCCGCCATTCTCTTTTCCTCCTCTTGTTTTTTGACACCACTATAATAATCGTCGAGACTCGTCTTTTTTTGTTCCTCGCGTTTCCAATGTGGTGGAGTTCTGTCTCTTTGGAATCTGGGTGTTCCACGTCCTTTTACACGGGTTCCGCCACTTCCTCCGTTTTGTGTTCGTGTGATTCGATCCTGGAAAAAATGAATTTGAATATTCTTAATGTTAGACTGGAGGTGGGGGTCGGGACTTAAAGAAATTGTTTCTAACAAAATTTGAAATTCAAAAAATTCAAAAACTCTTCTATAAATCAAAAAATTTCTGAAGTTTCAGGAACCCTGAAAATGACTCTTTTTGATAGAATTTTGAGAGAGTTACGTTGAGATTTAAGAAAATTTTAGAAAATTTTCAATTTTCTATGGTTTTTTCAGGGTTCAGTAAAAAGATTGAGTCATTAATTTTGAAATGTCAGCAATTTTAGCGCACTAATATGATTCAAACCTTTGGATTTTTTTCCCAAGCCTCTTCAGAGCCTGGATGTTTCAGGCTTAATTATTAAAACTCTATGAGACTTCCCCAAAAACCCACCTTAATACTACGTTCTGGACTTCTTCTTCTATCCGGAGATCTAGACGTCTTCCGACTTCTCTTACTCAATCGATCCTCCCGATTTCTGTCAAAATAATCATCTCGATCACGTTTACGACTGTGTCTTTCCTCTCTCGAATCTCGCCGTTTTCTACTACTTGATTCCTCTTTATCATCTCTTGATTTGGATCTAGATCTAGATCTGGATCTACGCAACAACCAATTTCGAGTTTTCGGCTCTGGTGGCAAATCTTCGGCTTTGACTGTTGATACATCTGGAACTGCGGAGGCTTGTTCTTCTTCGAGAAATTCATCCTTGTTTTCATCAATTCTAAAAAAAGGTATTGATTTTTTGAAAGAAATTTCCAAAACCTACACTTGTGCTTCTTCAGCTCTCGACTTCTTAAACAGCTCCCCACAATTTGTAATCATAACATCCTGATACGGCTTCGATGCATCATTCACACGAATTTGCTCAATCTTATCCACCAATTCTTTGCCTTTCACAACTCGCCCGAAAACAACATGTTTTGTATCAAGATGTCTTGCGATTGCTGTCGTGATGAAGAATTGTGAACTATTTGTGTTTGGACCTCGATTTGCCATCGACAATAAATATGGTTCCGAGTGTGATTCCATAAATTCTTCATCGTCAAATGTTCGACCATAGATTGACATTCCTCCGGTTCCATCGCTAGCTGTGATATCACCTCCCTAAATGGAAATGTATTGATTTTTTAGGGGAGGGGGGTGATGAATTCAGATAGACATACTAATTCTAACATGCTGAAAATGGTCCTGGATTCAGAAAAGAAAATAAATATATGGAAAATGGATTTTGGAGCTATTTCTGCACCAAATTCTAGCTTCAAAATAATTCTGGAGCTCAGTAAGTGCTCAAAATGAACATTTTGGGATCACTTCCAATAAATTTCATCAAATGCAAGCTCAGAAGCTATAGCAAGACAGGCTGTGTGAAAAATATCAGCATCATTTTGTAAAAATCACCAACCTGAATCATAAAATTCTTAACAACACGATGAAAAATGGCTCCTTTATAAGTCAACTTGACATCTCCAACTTTTCCATATTCACCAGTGCAAAGTGCTCGAAAGTTTTCCGCAGTTCTTGGCGCCAATTTATCAAACAGCTCGCAAATAATTCGCCCCTCTTTCTGCCCATCAATTGTGATTTCCAGGAAAACACGCTTGCTACTTCGGTCACTCATGTTTGATGACACTGAAAAATATTTAAAAATTAAGAGTTGTGAGGTGAAACTTTAAAGAAAAAAAGAAAAGCAACGCAACGCAACGAAAAAAACAATGTTTGAAAAAGGAAGCGAACAAAAAATGCGCCAGTCATTGACAAAAAGACACATTGCTTTCTCAGGGACGCACATAGAAATAGAGAAAACGCGCCCCAGCGAACAGAAAGGAAAAATCGTTGTTGCATTTATTTGTCTTGTTCTTGGAGAGAGAAAAGAAAAGAGAGAGAGAGGTTTAGAGAAAGAGAGTAGTTTTTGAAGGGAAAAATATGGGTTTTGAAGGAAAAAAATGGAATTTCGAAGGGAATTTGAATAAATTAGTTTTGAAAAATGAAAAATAAAAACAAGTATTGTCAGATTTTCAATTCTCAATAAAAATTAATTCATAAAAAAGTTTTCGTGGTTAAACATGTTATTACAAGTTCTCTTATGTATATAGGACCTGCTAAAATATTTTTTTCTGAATTATTTTTTTAAATATTTTATATTTTCAGAATTTCATCTGAACGTTTTGTAGTTGAAATAGAGAATTCCTAACAAAATCTGAAAAACCTGAAAATTTTCTCAAACCTGTGAAGAAAATTATTAAAGGGTTGGTGCTCCGCCAGGGAATCTTGCTTGGTTTAGATAGGAATAAGGTGCTCCTGGAAGCTTCCAGTTTTAGAAAAAATTCTAGTATCAATTCAGCCCATGTTTTTCCTCAAAAACACAAGCGAGTTAAAACCTACGAAATAAAGCAAGTAAATGCGCTCTAGCGCACAACTCGTTTTTGAATTTTCGTGCGTGTGTTTGCACACAACTTTGAAAATAACACGGTGACGCCTTTTTGCAGACGATTTTTTCACCAGGAAAACACCAACCCTTTAAAAATTTTTTACCAGAGCTCGTGCAGATTTAGATTTTTTAATAAACTAATTTGAACTGTTATCATTTTCTTGAACTTGAACATTAGATCATTCAAATTTGGCGAATCAATAGCTTCACTTCAGAAGACTAATTTGATTAGAGCTTCACGATTTAATTTTTCAATTTTAAAATCAATACTTCTCACAAGAATTCTTGAAGATTTTGTGAAATAATTTGAACAAAATTTTTCGAAGCTTACTTTATTTGAAACACAAAATTCTGCAGATTAATAAATATTGTTGGATAAATAAGGGAAATTAGGTTAACATATGCAAGATTATATAGATACGATTATTAGAAGAAGTTTTTGGTGGATAAATAGGAAAAGGGCAGGGATTATTGCTGGTTAATAAATGTAAAAATTAGGCAAGAAAAAGTTTAAATATGCAAGATTGATTAAATAAGTTTAGGATGAAAAAAGCAGAACTTGGAAGATGAAAAGCAGCCCAAAACTCTATTGGCTGAGAATTTGGCATCTGATGCATGGAATTGGATCCTGAAATAAAAATCAATATTTTTTCCATCACTAGAAATATGTCGCAAAAGTCTAGTATCGATTGATTTTCTTCACAACAACAACTCACCAAGCATCTGATCTCTCCCATCGGTCCAAATCTATATTCATCCCCTTGACAATCCATTCTTTGGAACAAGTGATGAAGATGATATGGGAACGGAAAGTTGTCTCGTGGATCATATCTTTGAAAATTTCTCAATCTTGCCGCATTAAATCCAAGACGTCCACCATTGTTGACGACGTTTGGTCCAGCTCGTTGGTTGCGACGATTTGGACGACCACGAGCAGCACCAGCAGGGGCTGCTTGAGCAGCGCGAGCTGGAGCTCTACAAAAAATCATCGTGGGTGGTCCTGGTCTTTAGATATTTAAAACTTACCCATTTGCTCTTTGTGGTCCACGAATAACTCCTTGCGGCCCTGCTGCGCCTGGATCGCGTCTAATAAGTCTCTCCAAAAATGGGCCGTACCTGGAATAATTTATTTTATACATAATTATTGATTGATGAAGCTAAACTCACAGAAAAATTGGATCTTCAGCCCCAAACGGATCGATTTCAATAATATCTGGAAATCCATGCATACCACCATTTGCAAATTCTATCATATATGTGCGTTGGAAAGGGTAGAGAGGGTATGGTCCAACGTTATGAACTCCGTTGTTTTGCAACATGTTCAGGACGACACGATGACCGATTTGTTCTCCGATTTGGGGATGGCTGAAAAATTCTTTTGGGTTTGGCTTTATGAGATTGAGAGTTACAGGAACTTGAAGGCTAAGTGTTTCTTCCAAACAAAATTATGCAATATGAATAAGGTAAAGGTGTTCCTCAAGAATTTCAATTTTTATAACACGCACAAATTAAAATTTAACATACAGAAAATCAAGTTTGAGGAGCAATTCTTATCCTAACATTTTTTTAACTTTGAAAAGGCCCGGTAAATCCTGACAGGATGAAAAATAGCCTATTGGAACCTTTTCACCCAACCTGTGGAGCCCAAAATTTCAAAAAAACTCACAAAAGCGGAAGTCTAAGATCTTGAACCGCGCCATCTTGTTGTCCATTGACTGCACCAACTGGATTGATGATATCGAAGCCACCACCATTTCTGAAACATAATTTTGAAATTTAAAAAAAATCTACATAATTTCAATTTTCAACTCACTGATTGTCACCTCGATCAGCTCGATGAAGAACGGCAAATTCGCCGGGTTGAACATCAGCCCTGTAATAATCTCAGGTATCTAAAAATCTACATATTTAGCCTAACTTACAATCCCGCTCCATTCAAAACACCTTGAACATTTCCAACCTCTCTGAGTTCTCCGTCTTCACCATCTCGGACGTGGAAAACGAAATTGAAATTCAGATTGTTCATTTTCAGCAGCTTTCAGTTTTCAGTTTTCTGAAAAAATATAAATACATATAGGTGAAAGAAATTCGGGGGCACAAATGCGAGTTGAGAGAAAAACTGACAGTATTTTGAGATTTATGAGTGTTTATACAATAGGCATATTTCATTTTTTGCACAAAAGAAGAACAAAGAAATTGGGATTTTTTATAACCAATTTTTAGGGTTTGGAAAAGCCGACCAGAGAAATTGATTTATGGATAGGAACTCTGAACTTCTGAACCTAATCTAAGGTTTTCGGAATTTGAAAATTAATAAAAAATAAATTTCCTAAACCTAAGCCTAAGGAGCCATTTTTTCTAGAAATTCTGAATTTTTTTAGAAAATCTCGGTGAGCTTCCCGAAAATCTGAAAAATTAATTTTCAGTTTGGCAAAATAATAGAAATTTTGATGAATTCTGAAAATGAAATCAAAAGCAAAAATTGCGTGTTTGTCTGATTTTTTAGTGCAAGAATGATATTAAATAAAAATAATGATAGGTTTGAAATAGGTTTCGTGTGTGTGTGGCAACAAAAAATTGTAATTGTGGGATTTGGCTCATGTGATCAATTTCAACATAATCATTGTTTTTTTGCATAGAAAAAAAGTGACGTGAACTAATTAATCTCAAAAATTATAACACATTTTTTTCTCAAAAAATATTCCTCTCTTCCACACACAACTAGTTTGTAAACAACAGGTGACTCCGCCCATTTCTAATGCTAGGCATAGCAAATGGTGTGTCCAGGAATGTGTCGGTGAACGCGCTCACTTAAGAAGAAGAGAAGGAATATGTTTTTTGTCCACTAGTAAACAGGGCCTTTTATAAGACCCATAGAACAATTTTTGGAAAACCTCTCTTGCGAGAGGTTAGAATAATGTTTTTGAGAGAGAGCTATGAGTTGGGCTCCATTAAAATTTGAAAAAATAAAGTTTTAGAACTGATGCTCCTCATAAAAAGTGGGTAGCTCGCAAAAGTGGATGAGAAATTGGTTAGATTTTGAAAAAAAAATTAGCTTGCCGCTAAAATGGTCGTTAGTAACAGTTTAGTACAAAAACTAAATGAGCAGAAAAAAAGCTGTGAAAAAATTGTACGGTCGCCAAAAAAAATCATAATGACGATCGAACAATTTGTAACTTTACACAAGAAAAAATGGGAAAGGAATGGCAATGTTTCTGTTTGAGAACAATTATAACAACTCATTTTTGGATGAATCATTGGGTTGTGAGAGACTTGTGGGAATTTGACTCTGTCGTTTTTTGCTATGAGCGATAGAATGTGAGTCATTATTGATTTTTGGGAAAAGATATCGAGACATATAAATTTTTAAAATAAACTAATAATTTGGAAAAAAACAAAGTTCTTAGCAACTGGGAAATTCAAAAAAAAACATTGTAGTGAACAATTGTCAACCTTTTCTAAAAAATTATAGAAAATTTTTTTCTCAAAAAATCCTTCATCAACAGGTGACTCCGCCCATTTCTAATGCTAGGCATAGCGAGTGGTGTGTCCAGGAATGTGCCGGTGAATGCGCTCACTTAAGAAGAAGAGAAGGGATATGTTTTTGTCCACTAGTAAACAGGGCCTTTTATAAGACCCATAGAACAATTTTTGGAAAACCTCTCTTGCGAGAGGTTAGAATAACTATATTATAAAGAGCTATGAGTTGGGTTCCATTAAAGTTAGGAATGAAAATTTGGAAAAAAAAAAAAGCTTTTAGAACTGATGATCCTCATAAAAAGCGGGAAGCTCTTAAAAGTGGATGAAAAAAATTAGCTTGCCGCTAAAATGGTCGTTAGTAAAGGTTGATCGGTTTCGAAAACTAGAAAATATATATCTGTGAACACGGCTTTTGGTCCAGATGTACATTTTTAGAAGGAAAATGAAAACAGGTGTCTTTCGAAAACTTGTGAAAAAAATATGAATAGAGTGGCAGAACACGAGACTAAGCTCCGCCCATTTTTCGAAACTTGGAGTAACATTTGTATGGATCGATATGACACATCAAAAAAAATTGTTTTGAGACATGGATGTGACGAAATTCAGCGGGCAAATAAGAGATTTAGAGAAAAAAGTTTCAAGAAAAAAATCCTCCGAAAGATTTGGAAATAATTTGCGTGCGAAAAATAAATCAATATTGCTAGTTTTGGAAAAAAGGGCAGCTAAAATAGTACTATGAGAGCTTATGAATTTTTTGTACCCAAAATTGTATCTTTCTGGTTTTTTCTGATTGTGAACTAATTTATGTATATTAAAAAAAATACCTTTATGTGAAATTATCTTTGCAGGGCTTAGCTCAAAAAATTTGAAAAAAAAGACCAGATACAGAAACATATCTTTAAAAAATACAAAACAAGAGTTCTCCCGAAAGAAAAAATACAAAAAAAATGAAAAAAAAAATATGGAGAGAGAAAGAGAGAGAGAGAGAGAGAGAGAGTGACGACTAGGAAGACTAGGCTCCGCCTCCAAATTTTCGATTTTGGAGTGACTCACATCTGTGTTCCGGAAAAAAAACTTACACGTGGTATTTTTTCACCAGAAAAAATCGTCCTATTTAAAAACAGGTGTCCTTAGGAGGAAAACTGGCGGAGAAAAAGTATGCTAAGAAAACTGGGAAAAACAATTGGGAAAAATCGATATTTTTGTTCAAAACATGTTGACCGATGCTTTTTTTAGAGAATTGGAATAAAGTAACTGAAACTCGAATCAAAATCGATATTCCTGGTTTCTTGAATGGAATAAACTGGAAAGCTGAAAAACAAAAACTAAGTAAAAAGTACTATGAGAAGCTTATATTTTTGTACCTGAAATTGTATCTTTTTTTCTGACCTCGCAGAACTAGTAAACAGAAATATTGAGGTATCACTATTCTGAAGTTACCCTAACTTTCTAGATCCTTCTCTGGTCCCTCACAATCAGTAAATGTGTTGTGAGTTTAGAAATATAGAAAAAAACTAGTACAAAAAAATAAATGAGCAAAAAATTGTACGGTCGCCAAAAAAATCATAATGATGATCGAACAAATTGTAACTTTACACAAGAAAAAATGGGAAAGAAATGGCAATGTTTCTGTTTGAGAACAATTATAACAACTCATTTTTGGATGAATCATTGGGCTGTGAGAGATTTGTGGGAATTTGACTCTGTCGTTTTTTACTATGAGCAATAAGATATGAGTCATTATTGATTTTTGGGAAAAGATATCGAGACATATAAATTTTTTTATAGAAACTAATTGTGAGAAACTAATAATTCGGAAAAATATAGTTCTTAGCAACTGGGAATTCAGCAAAACATTGTAGTAGAAAATTGACTTTATAAAAAAAACAGCTTATGAGAAAAATCTAAAGGAACTACATCGATTTGTGAACCAAGACCACCCACGACGCCTGAAATTCTGAACTAGAATTTCTAGGTTCCTGAAGAATATCTTGGAAGACAAAAAAAAGTCTTTTTTTACCACGAGCAATGCAATATGAGTCATAGATGTTTTTTTTTTTTGAAAAAAAGGGACAATTAATTGATTTTTAGAAAAATGTGTTCAGCTAACTAATAATTCGGAAATAAAGAAGTTCTCAGCAACTGAATATTCAAAAAAAATTGTAGGGAGAATTGTCGTTCAAAAAAAACCTCTCATGAGATTAAGCTAGACCACCCATAGAGTTTGATTGTTTGAAAACAAATAGCATTTTGAAAAATCATAGCTCATTAGTTTGTATAACAGCCTGAAGATTTCTAAAAATATGTTTTTTTTTAAGCAAAAGTTCTTCTGTTCAAAAAGGTCTTTTGTGAAACTTTTTGATGAACAATTATCTAATTGGTCTGAAGAATTTTGAATGAAAAATGCACCTGCCAAATGAAAAAAAATTCTTTTCAATGTTTTCGAAAGCCTTGGTAAGATAATCACTATATGCCGTTTAAAGGGAATTGTTTTAACTTGAAGTTGTAATTTCTTTAGAAATATAAGTTTTCTATTAGTTTTTGACTAGCTGAACACGATCCTGCGCGTCAAAACTGCAAATTTCAACTTCTAACATGAGTTATCTCGTGACATAGTTCTGATTCATTATAAAACTGATCCTTTTTGATGTTGTGACCCGATTTTCTCCAAATCAAATCAAATAAACGAATCCCCCTTCCGAAACAGCCTTTCTAAGTCTAATTTTCAAACACCCTCTGGCTAGGTTGAATTATGTTAACTCACAATCAAAAAATTTCAATGATCTTGTGCTTCTCTCTTTCTTCCTAAACTTATCCCAGGCCAAATTTCACTGTGTTTTTTCCTAATAGAAAAATGCAATTTCGAGGAGACGCAGACAGTCGCTGGTCTCGACACGCAGTGTGTCTGCCACACACTATTTCTCCCCCTTTTTCGGCGAGAGATTTGTCTGCACACGTTAAAGTCTGCGTCTCCCTCGAATTGCAAAAAAAAATACAGTGATTTCACCATAATCTGATCTCATATTTCAGATCACCCAAACCTTTCACAACTTCCCCAAATTCAAAAAAATGTCGACAAAGAAAGTACTCTCGAATGCTGTAAGTTTGAAACAAAGCGCAATCTTGCAGAGCCCCAAAAAATGATATTTCAGGCCAAGGAGGCACTCCATCATGCAGATGAACTTGAAAAGGAGGCGAACCGTCGCAGAAGTCTTGAGGTTTGTTGGAATCAAATTCTCATATCAACATAAATATATTTCATTTTTCCAGAGAAAGTCCAAAAATTCTACACAATCGTATAAAAAGGATCGAACACAATCACGCACAACTTCCCGATCCAACTCTCGCTCACATCACTCCAATTCGACTTCTGGAGGAGCTTCAGGTAGCAGCTCATCAAGAAGCCGCTCCAGACGATCATAAAATCACTGCGGTTCTTCTCAATTATTTCACTTCTTGTTCCCTGTCCCCAAAAAAACAAAAAATCCAAAAAAAAAACTTTCTACTGTCCCCTAAAAAACAAAAAACCCCAAAAAATTTCGAGCAACTTTTTTCTAGTCCATTTTTTTCTTTCCCCATTTTTTCACCCGTATCTTCCCTTTTTCCAAATCAACGTGTTCAATTTTTTCTCCAAATTCTTCTCTTTGAATTGAGTTTCAGCTCAAGTAAAGAATCCCGAAGAAAACTTATTCAATTTTCAAATTATTTCCCACTGTACCCGTATTTTCCCTTTGTGAATTTCAATTTTTTTTGTATTCTGCATTTTTCGTATAAAAATTAGTTTAGAAAACAAAGTTTTCAATTCACAATACTTTGGATTCAACTTACATTAGCTTCCCGGTTTGAAAAAAACACTAATTTAATTTTTTTAATCTGGAAAAATAGTTTGAATTCTGTTTAAATTTTCATGAAAAATAAACAGTTCAGAGAAAAGCACATCCACCAAAAAAAACTCGTGTAATTGAACCAATTTCTCAACAAAAGGCAGAACACAAAAACAAGCCCCGCCCACTTTGCATGCAAAAAATAGAGACGCGCGCAGCCTGTTAGTTGTCGGGGTGCGCAAAAGAATAAGAGGGGAGACAGTTAATTCGAAATGATGATTGTTGTTTTCCTACAATTAACAAAAAAATAAAGAAACGAAGTGAATACAAGAAGCATTTTGTATAACACTAATCTATTTTGTTACTGTATTTCGGTGGCAAAAGGATTAATGTAATACAAAATCTTTCTTGTATTCATGAAAAAGAGGGGAAACCTAACAAATTTTTTTTGAAATTAGATTTGAAAAAGTTTTTGAGTCCGACGAAATTTCGTGGTTTCCGATGTCCTTGAGTCTTGTAATTTTTTTTTGATTTTCAAATTCATTTTGGTAAGATGCCAGCTCATTTTTCAATACTTTTACATCTAGAATTTGATTTTTTTCTTCTTTTAAACTTTGAACAAAAAATGAGGAAGGAAATGGCAATGTTTCTGATTGAGAACAGTTAAAACAACTCATTTTTCGATGAATCATTGGGCTGTGAGAAACTTGTGGGAATTTGACTCTGTTTTTTTTGCTATGAGCAAGATGTGAGTCATATATTTTTAGGAGAAAAAACAAAGTTCATGTATTGATTTTCAGATAAAATTCTTTGAAACAAGAATTCGGGGAAGGGGTCTATTAATTGTGACAAACTAATATTCTGAAAAAAATTTTTAGGTAAAAATTGTCTTTAGAAAAACAGAGCTTATGAAAACAATTCAGAGATTTTTGAACGAAGACCACCCACAACGCCTGAACTTCTGAACGGGAATTATATACGTTTACAAATAGTGAAACAGTTATGCGATCCATTGATTTTTTATGATGAGCAATGCAAGATGATTCATAGTTTTTTTTAGGGAAACAAATATGAGAGATCATTTATTGATGTTTTCGAAAGATGTTGAACACAAGAATAACAGTCGAATTCATGAATAATTTCAAGTTTTTTGGTCAAAAAATGACTTGTGGCAAAATCAGGAATGGTTCCTAATTTTACCATGGATGACGTCATCGATCAAGCTTTTGTAGTTTGTATGGAATGTTAAAAAATTGCTGAATATTGTGAATTGAAAACTTCGTTTTCTAAACTAATTTTTATTCGAAAATTGCAGAATACAAAAAAATTGAAATTGACAAAGGGAAAATACGGGTACAGTGGGAAATAATTTGAAAATTGAATAAGTTTTCTTCTGGTTTCTTTACTTGAGCTGAAGCTCAATTCAAAGAGAAAAAATATATATAAACAGCCCAATGATTAAATATATATAAACAGCTCAAAATATAAACAGCCCAATGATTCATCCAAAAATGAGTTTGTTCTCAATCGGAAATAATTGTTCTCAATCAGAAACATTGCCATTTTCTTCCCATTTTTTGTTCAAAGTTTGAAAGAAGAAAAAATTGAAATTCTAGATGTAAAAGTATTGAAAAAACTTCCACTAATTGAAAAATGAGCTGCATCTTACCAAAATTTGGAAATCACAAAAAAATTACAAAACTCAATGACATCGGAAACCACGAAATTTCGTCGAACTCAAAAACTTTTTCAAATCTAATTGTGAAAAAAAAAATTGTTAGGTTTCCCCTCTTTTCATGAATACAAGAAAGATTTGTAATACATTAATCCTTTTGCCACCGAAATACAGTAACAAAATAGATTAGTGTTATACAAAATGCTTCTTGTATTCACTTCGTTTCTTTATTTTTTTTTAATTGTAGGAAAACAACAATCATCATTTCGAATTAACTGTCTCCCCTCTTATTCTTTTGCGCACCCCGACAACTAACAGGCTGCGCGCGTCTCTATTTTTTGCATGCAAAGTGGGCGGGGCTTGTTTTTGTGTTCTGCCTTTTGTTGAGAAATTGGTTCAATTACACGAGTTTTTTTTGGTGGATGTGCTTTTCTCTGAACTGTTTATTTTTCATGAAAATTTAAACAGAATTCAAACTATTTTTCCAGATTAAAAAAATTAAATTAGTGTTTTTTTCAAACCGGGAAGCTAATGTAAGTTGAATCCAAAGTATTGTGAATTGAAAACTTTGTTTTCTAAACTAATTTTTATACGAAAAATGCAGAATACAAAAAAATTGAAATTCACAAAGGGAAAATACGGGTACAGTGGGAAATAATTTGAAAATTGAATAAGTTTTCTTCGGGATTCTTTACTTGAGCTGAAACTCAATTCAAAGAGAAGAATTTGGAGAAAAATTGAACACGTTGATTTGGAAAAAGGGAAGATACGGGTGAAAAAATGGGGAAAGAAAAAAATGGACTAGAAAAAAGTTGCTCGAAATTTTTTTGGGGTTTTTTGTTTTTTAGGGGACAGTAGAAAGTTTTTTTTGGATTTTTTGTTTTTTTGGGGACAGGGAACAAGAAGTGAAATAATTGAGAAGAACCGCAGTGATTTTATGATCGTCTGGAGCGGCTTCTTGATGAGCTGCTACCTGAAGCTCCTCCAGAAGTCGAATTGGAGTGATGTGAGCGAGAGTTGGATCGGGAAGTTGTGCATGATTGTGTCCGATCCTCTTTATACGAGGGTGTGGAATTTTTGGACTTTCTCTGGAAAAATGAAATATATTTATGTTGATATGAGAATTTTATTCCAACAAACCTCAAGACTTCTGCGACGGTTCGCCTCCTTCTCCAGTTCATCGGCATGATGAAGTGCCTCCTTGGCCTGAAAAATCATTTCTTGGGGCTCTGCAAGATTGCGCTTTGTTTCAAACTTACAGCATTCGAGAGTACTTTCTTTGTCGACATTTTTTTGAATTTGGGGAAGTTGAAAAGGGTTTGGGTGATCTGAAATATGAGATCAGAATAATTGTAAAAGCTGAGGAGAAAGGAAGAGAAAATGAAGGTTAAGGACTACGTAATTTTGCTGATTGTGAATTACCATTATTCAAACTAGGCAAAGGGTGGTTTTGATTTAATTTGGAGAAAATCGGGAGAGGGTTTAGGTACAATTTCAGGTTCATTTTTAAAGGTATCTCTTCAAAAACTGGAGTGAGTTGGAGGGTGATTTGCCTTAACTCAGAAGCGCCAAGGGTCTCTGGGGTTGATTATAAAATATATCTGAAAGCTGGACTGACACTTGGTATCATCTACAAGTTGACTGAAGATTAGTTATTGGGTTGGGAAGGGGTAAATCTTTGTGCAAGTGGGGAGAACTGAAAAGGTTCAAGATTTGGCTGGTCTTGGCTCTGGGGAACAAGGGAGAATATGAGGAATATAAGAAGGAGAATAGGAAGAAATATTTGAGAATGAAAATTTTTGGATTTTCCTCGCTCTTTTATGCCCTGATTTTTCATAGGCCACGCCCACTTTCAACAAGAAAATAGGCGTGGTCAACGATATATTTCATAATCCGAAAAATATTGTATTTATGCTGGAAACGCAGAGATTGCCCAATGAAAAAATGATATGAGCAAAATTTCGCAATCAATTTTGAAGCTAAACATGGTAATTCTCATGGAAATGATTGTAAATATAGTCACATCATCAAGAAGGATCAGTTTTCTAATGAATCAGAACTCTGTCAAGAGATAACTCCAGTTAGAAGTTGAAATTTGCCGTTCGCGTTTTTCCAATCATGACCTAGCAACAAGTTCGAAAAGTTTAAAAAAGTTTAGAAAAGGTTCACGTGAAAAAACGTGAAGGAATATATATTGTCAGATGACCTAGAAACAATATCAAAAAGTTTAGAAAAAGTTTAGAAAAAGTTTAAAAAAAGTTTAGAAAAGTTTAGAAAAGGTTCACGTGAAAAAACGTGAAGGAATATATATTGTCAGATGACCTAGAAACAATATCAAAAAGTTTCGAAAAAGTTTCGAAAAAGTTTTGAAAAAAGTTTAAAAAAGTTTAGAAAAGGTTCACGTGAAAAAACGTGAAGGAATATATATTGTCAGATGACCTAGAAACAATATCAAAAAGTTTCGAAAAAGTTTAGAAAAAGTTTTGAAAAAGTTTAAAAAAGTTTAGAAAAGGTTCACGTGAAAAAACGTGAAGGAATATATATTGTCAGATGACCTAGAAACAATATCAAAAAGTTTCGAAAAAGTTTTGAAAAAGTTTTGAAAAAGTTTAAAAAAGTTTAGAAAAGGTTCACGTGAAAAAACGTGAAGGAATATATATTGTCAGATGACCTAGAAACAATATCAAAAAGTTTCGAAAAAGTTTTGAAAAAGTTTTGAAAAAGTTTTGAAAAAAGTTTAAAAAAGTTTAGAAAAGGTTCACGTGAAAAAACGTGAAGGAATATATATTGTCAGATGACCTAGAAACAATATCAAAAAGTTTCGAAAAAGTTTTGAAAAAGTTTTGAAAAAAGTTTAAAAAAGTTTAGAAAAGGTTCACGTGAAAAAACGTGAAGGAATATATATTGTCAGATGACCTAGAAACAATATCAAAAAGTTTCGAAAAAAGTTTAGAAAAAGTTTTGAAAAAGTTTAAAAAAGTTTAGAAAAGGTTCACGTGAAAAAACGTGAAGGAATATATATTGTCAGATGACCTAGAAACAATATCAAAAAGTTTCGAAAAAGTTTTGAAAAAGTTTTGAAAAAGTTTAAAAAGTTTAGAAAAGGTTCACGTGAAAAAACGTGAAGGAATATATATTGTCAGATGACCTAGAAACAATATCAAAAAAGTTTCGAAAAAGTTTTGAAAAAGTTTTGAAAAAGTTTAAAAAAGTTTAGAAAAGGTTCACGTGAAAAAACGTGAAGGAATATATATTGTCAGATGACCTAGAAACAATTTCAAAAAGTTTAGAAAAAGTTTAGAAAAAGTTTTGAAAAAGTTTAAAAAAGTTTAGAAAAGGTTCACGTGAAAAAACGTGAAGGAATATATATTGTCAGATGACCTAGAAACATTTTCAAAAAGTTTAGAAAAAGTTTAGAAAAAGTTTTAAAAAGTTTTAAAAAAGTTTAGAAAATGCTCACGTGAAAAAACGTGAAGGAATATATATTGTCAGATGACCTAGAAACAATATCAAAAAGTTTAGAAAAAGTTTAGAAAAAGTTTTGAAAAAGTTTAAAAAAGTTTAGAAAAGGTTCACGTGAAAAAACGTGAAGGAATATATATTGTCAGATGACCTAGAAACAATATCAAAAAGTTTAGAAAAAGTTTAGAAAAAGTTTAAAAAAAGTTTAGAAAAGTTTAGAAAAGGTTCACGTGAAAAAACGTGAAGGAATATATATTGTCAGATGACCTAGAAACAATATCAAAAAGTTTAGAAAAAGTTTAGAAAAAGTTTAAAAAAAGTTTAGAAAAGTTTAGAAAAGGTTCACGTGAAAAAACGTGAAGGAATATATATTGTCAGATGACCTAGAAACAATATCAAAAAGTTTAGAAAAAGTTTAGAAAAAGTTTAAAAAAGTTTAGAAAAGGTTCACGTGAAAAAACGTGAAGGAATATATATTGTCAGATGACCTAGAAACAATATCAAAAAGTTTAGAAAAAGTTTAGAAAAAGTTTAAAAAAAGTTTAGAAAAGTTTAGAAAAGGTTCACGTGAAAAAACGTGAAGGAATATATATTGTCAGATGACCTAGAAACAATATCAAAAAGTTTAGAAAAAGTTTAGAAAAAGTTTAAAAAAAGTTTAGAAAAGGTTCACGTGAAAAAACGTGAAGGAATATATATTGTCAGATGACCTAGAAACAATATCAAAAAGTTTAGAAAAAGTTTAGAAAAAGTTTAAAAAAGTTTAGAAAAGTTTAGAAAAGGTTCACGTGAAAAAACGTGAAGGAATATATATTGTCAGATGACCTAGAAACAATATCAAAAAGTTTAGAAAAAGTTTAGAAAAAGTTTAAAAAAAGTTTAGAAAAGGTTCACGTGAAAAAACGTGAAGGAATATATATTGTCAGATGACCTAGAAACAATATCAAAAAGTTTCGAAAAAGTTTTGAAAAAGTTTTGAAAAAAGTTTAAAAAAGTTTAGAAAAGGTTCACGTGAAAAAACGTGAAGGAATATATATTGTCAGATGACCTAGAAACAATATCAAAAAGTTTCGAAAAAGTTTAGAAAAAGTTTTGAAAAAGTTTAAAAAAGTTTAGAAAAGGTTCACGTGAAAAAACGTGAAGGAATATATATTGTCAGATGACCTAGAAACAATATCAAAAAGTTTCGAAAAAGTTTTGAAAAAGTTTTGAAAAAGTTTAAAAAAGTTTAGAAAAGGTTCACGTGAAAAAACGTGAAGGAATATATATTGTCAGATGACCTAGAAACAATTTCAAAAAGTTTAGAAAAAGTTTAGAAAAAGTTTTGAAAAAGTTTAAAAAAGTTTAGAAAAGGTTCACGTGAAAAAACGTGAAGGAATATATATTGTCAGATGACCTAGAAACATTTTCAAAAAGTTTAGAAAAAGTTTAGAAAAAGTTTTAAAAAGTTTTAAAAAAGTTTAGAAAATGCTCACGTGAAAAAACGTGAAGGAATATATATTGTCAGATGACCTAGAAACAATATCAAAAAGTTTAGAAAAAGTTTAGAAAAAGTTTTGAAAAAGTTTAAAAAAGTTTAGAAAAGGTTCACGTGAAAAAACGTGAAGGAATATATATTGTCAGATGACCTAGAAACAATATCAAAAAGTTTAGAAAAAGTTTAGAAAAAGTTTAAAAAAAGTTTAGAAAAGGTTCACGTGAAAAAACGTGAAGGAATATATATTGTCAGATGACCTAGAAACAATATCAAAAAGTTTAGAAAAAGTTTAGAAAAAGTTTAAAAAAAGTTTAGAAAAGGTTCACGTGAAAAAACGTGAAGGAATATATATTGTCAGATGACCTAGAAACAATATCAAAAAGTTTAGAAAAAGTTTAGAAAAAGTTTAAAAAAAGTTTAGAAAAGGTTCACGTGAAAAAACGTGAAGGAATATATATTGTCAGATGACCTAGAAACATTTTCCAAAAGTTTCGAAAAAGTTAAGAAAAAGTTTTGAAAAAAGTTTAAAAAAGTTTAGAAAAGGTTCACGTGAAAAAACGTGAAGGAATATATATTGTCAGATGACCTAGAAACAATATCAAAAAGTTCAGATGACCTAGAAACAATATCAAAAAGTTTAAAAAAGTTTAGAAAAGGTTCACGTGAAAAAACGTGAAGGAATATATATTGTCAGATGACCTAGAAACATTTTCAAAAAGTTTCGAAAAAGTTAAGAAAAAAGTTTTGAAAAAGTTTAAAAAAGTTTAGAAAAGGTTCACGTGAAAAAACGTGAAGGAATATATATTGTCAGATGACCTAGAAACAATATCAAAAAGTTTAAAAAAAGTTTAGAAAAGGTTCACGTGAAAAAACGTGAAGGAATATATATTGTCAGATGACCTAGAAACATTTTCCAAAAGTTTCGAAAAAGTTAAGAAAAAAGTTTTGAAAAAGTTTAAAAAAGTTTAGAAAAGGTTCACGTGAAAAAACGTGAAGGAATATATATTGTCAGATGACCTAGAAACAATATCAAAAAGTTCAGATGACCTAGAAACAATATCAAAAAGTTTAAAAAAAGTTTAGAAAAGGTTCACGTGAAAAAACGTGAAGGAATATATATTGTCAGATGACCTAGAAACATTTTCAAAAAGTTTCGAAAAAGTTAAGAAAAAGTTTTGAAAAAGTTTAAAAAAGTTTAGAAAAGGTTCACGTGAAAAAACGTGAAGGAATATATATTGTCAGATGACCTAGAAACAATATCAAAAAGTTTAAAAAAAGTTTAGAAAAAGTTTAAAAAAAGTTTAGAAAAAGGTTTAGAAAAGTTTCACGTGAAAAAACGTGAAGGAATTT